GCAAGTGTTTCTTAAATAAGGATGTTTCCTAAACTTGAGCCATGCTTTCTAATGAAAAAATGTAAGGAACATTAAAACTGGGGTCTGACCCATATTTTCCTGAGGAATAAATGCAAGATAGGGATTAAAATAGTGTCTTTCATATATAAAAATGTGAATTTGGTTGAAGGTTCAATTAAGTTGCATTGTGATTTTGCCTGATCTGTCATTTGGGCAGTGAATAAGCTGAAGTTTATGTTTCTGGAGGGTTGTTTGTGTGTAGCGGATGTAGAGGAAGGAATAACTACTGGATGGTCAGTAGTTTGGCCTGAAATCATTAAGTGTTTGTCTAGATAAAGATATGGTTGTTTGACCTTCAGTAGATGTTTAATATGTTTTACATATGTCCATGTTTATATTTAATGACGTCTGCATTGAAGTTGTATGGAGACTGAGATCGATGTAGAGATGCTGATGCTGCATTTATAAGATGGAGCTATTTTCTATCACGCTGTTTATCTTCAGAATCGTTACCCTTAGACACCTCATTACGCTGAACCAGATCAATGGTACAGATCTAGACAGTTACAGGAACACTGGCGGGATTACCATACTCTAAATCTTCGCACACACACACCCTGTTCAATTTAGTAAAAAAATCTGCTAGATTTTTTTTTTGGGAAAATAGGTAAAAAAATATGGAAGCAATTATGAGAATCTTGCATTTTAACAAGTAGATAAAGCTTGTTAAAATACTTCGACATAAACCAGAGCTGTCTGAACAGTTATATTAGGTTTCAGTACACAATTGCTTCCTACCAGCAGATTCTCTCCTCAGCTGTTTAAACGGATGTGCTTATCTACAGCTGGGTAATAAAACGCAACTTTGAACTCAGGAAATTGGTGTTCATTCTGTTAAAGGAGAAATATACATGCAGGTTTTTTTTCGGGTCTCAACATGTTCACACTGTGAAAAGATGTGGAGAAGCTGGCGACTATGACCTTCACGGCTATGAGCTTCACGTGTGGTACTATGATATGTCTACCGTACGGATTCTAAAGTGGACTTGATCAAATATGTCCGAAGTTCCTGACAACTGTCATAGGGTTATGCATTTGTCATGATTTTTTGAAATTGAAAAATTAAAAGGACTCCTGTTTTGAATCGAAGTTGCCACAATACTGTAATGATTGCTAGCTAAAGTTTGACTGTCAACATGATCAATGTTTTGTCCAAATGTATTATGACATTGAAAACTGATGCCTAAGATACCGTGACAACATTGAACTATTATGATATGTCACAATAATTGACCTTGTACCTACTTTAGTCGTATTTTTTAGAGTCAATATGGTATTGGTAACTACTAACTGGCACATGGGGAAAGAGGGGGGACTATTTAGTAGATTAATGTAGGAAACTTACACAGGATATATGGCCAGTGCATATGATAACATTAATGTGCCATGTAACAGCTTAAGGTCAGCAAGTTCTTAACTTATGTTTAGATTAAAGGAACTGTACACCATCGTTCGTGCAGGTGAACGTTTTTTGGGGTTTTGTTTTTACATATTAAGTATTATGGTATGTGTACAGTTGTGCAAAACAAAACTAATAATTGAACATGAGAACTTGCTAAACAGGAAATCAAATTTGGTCATTCGCTCTACATTTGTGGAGTGATTGCAGTCACAAATGTCCAATTCCAGAAGTGGTCTAACTTAATGTTACCATCAAGTTGAAATGCATCATGATCATTGCCACTATTCATATTTAAGTCCTATCCAGTAAAAGTAATCCACACATATCACGTGTTGTACATGCAATGCATTTTATAGAAATATTAGTTATTCTCAATTGCCAATCCTACACTTTATAAATGATGCTTTCTACAAATTATATTGCACAGCCTAAAAATGAGGCCAACTTATTGGCTGCAAGGCCTACAGATATTTTTTTTTATTTGACCTTGACAAGGGAGTTAACTCTCGGGCCAAATCATAAAAAAAAACTCATAGTAAAACTCTTCTTGACAATTTTAGTGTCGCGACATATAGGTATTTCTTTGTTGGCGTCATCGGTTGCGTAGTCCGAAACAAAGTTTCTGTGGATAACTTGAGTTCCCTTGGGTTGATTGAACTCAAACTTGGTACACATATTGCATACCAATATTACGTGCCTTTTTTGGTGGAGTTATGCCACTTTTATTGCCAAATAAGGGCATTGTGTAGTAAATTCAAGATTTTTTTTGATTTTTTAATCAATTCCTTTCAAAATTTGTACTGTTATGCTAGAAGCAATAATGTTCAACATATATTACAGCTTTTTCTGTCAAGTTTCAACTTTTTGCGTTTTGGCATATCTGTTTATGCGATAACTCAAGCACTTTTCTTACTAAAAGAGCTGAGCAGGCGACACATCCACTCCCATGCAATTCTTGTATTAGCTGATGCAGTAGTGGTTACCTAGTAAGTTGACACAGGGAGAAAACATTTGCAACTCTAGTTTGCAGCTACAAATTTAGCTGATAGACCTGTACAATCTTGTAGTAAGAGGTTTTCCTTGTAAATGTTCGAAATGGAGACATATTGCAGACAACTGGCTGTTTAGTCATGAAAACAAATTGCCTGGTATGTCATGTATAAGTGTGGGATAATTTGGAGGTTTCTGTACACAAGGAGCTGGTAGAACTGCGGCTAGTTTTGGTCACTGGTTCTTATTTCATCAAAGAAATCTTCATGTGAATAAAGTGCAAGCTGTAAGTCTAGTAATTCAATAAATTAATTTCTTTCAAGGAGTATCTGTGAGAGTGTGTGTGTACTGGGATCTGGGGAGCCATGATCAAAGTCAAGCTCTCCTTATTGATCTGACGGTCACGTTCCTTGGGTGAATATAAAGTTTGTCGTAAACACAGAAATATTTTACGAAGATACACTGCTTCTGAGTCTAGATTTCATCTTGAGTGTCATTCCTTCTTTGTTGTATCTTTTTGGAGATATAGACATCCATTTCTGAATCAGAAGTTTTACTTTCTGTGTAGGATGTGTAACAGAACCCAGATGGCCTTACAAAAAACATTAGGTAGATTGCAGGCTGCCTGAAGTCAAAACTCAACATGTAATTCCATTTGCTTGGTATCTGTTTTAAATCGACTGTATTTTGAATTTATTATGTCAGAAATTTGAGATAGCTGTTCAAGCTGTTGTGATTTGATATACTTAGAAGAAATCTATACAGTCGAAATATCTAAAGGTAAAGGTCACTCAAGGTCACATAAGGTCACTTTCTTTTAACAATAGTATGGCATGCAGGCTCATCTGCCAATATGAAAAAATAAAAAGGTCTTCATGGTCAGGTGATCTTCAGAAAACCTGTATATAGGGACTGCCAAAAAGGGAGGGTAAGTCTTTATAAAGTCTTTATAGTCAAGTGATCTAGGAAAATTTGTCTATAATACCACCCAATGGAGAGAATAGAAAGTCTCAATAAAATGATCTTTAAAATTCCTGTATGTATTAAATACCACCCAAAGTAGAGAATAAATGTCATAATAGACATGTGACCTTAAAAATCCTGTCTACAAAGAACACTCAAGTCTTAATACATCCAATGATATCAAGGAAACCTGTGGTTAAGGACCAACAGGACCACAGTTCCTATAGAAAACATCATTTTGTGTGTTCTTAATTTTTTAGTTTAGGTAAATGGTCTTTTTACACAGGTAGATTTTTAAGGCAGTTTTTCACTGTACCTGTTATTGTAATGAAAGTGTTCTAGCGGATTCCGAGAGGTTTGTTTGCTAGTACTGGTAGCACAGAATACATCTACAGATTCCTATGTCAAGTACAAAACGTACTGTAATCTGCAGAATCCTGTATCATTAGCATTCATAACCACCCACGTGTGAGTCATATCGCCAATGTATGTGTCGACCGTTAATATGTAGAACGTGCAGGGTTTAAATGTCAGGCCCTAATTAGCCACTATAATTAATGTTAGGGTGTATAAGCTGAAATATAGCAGATCATATAAATCTGATTCCTGACTGGTGATTTATGGATAAAAGCTGCTGATTAGTACGACTCTGTTGCTGTTAGGTAGAAAGGGTGCCGATGTCGGCTGTTGTTAGGTAGAGAAGGTGCTGATGTTGGCTGTTAGGTAGAGAGGGTGCCGATGTCGGCTGTTAGGTAGAGAAGGTGCTGATGTCGGCTGTTAGGTAGAGAGGGTGACGATGTCGGCTGTAAGGTAGAGAGGGTGCCGATGTTGGCTGTTAGGTAGAGAGGGTGCCGATGTCGGCTGTTAGGTAGAGAAGGTGCCGATGTCGGCTGTAAGGTAGAGAAGGTGCTGATGTCGGCTGTTAGGTAGAGAGGGTGACGATGTCGGCTGTAAGGTAGAGAGGGTGCCGATGTTGGCTGTTAGGTAGAGAAGGTGCCGATGTCGGCTGTAAGGTAGAGAAGGTGCCGATGTCGGCTGTAAGGTAGAGAAGGTGCCGATGTCGGCTGTAAGGTAGAGAAGGTGCTGATATTTACCAGGTAACAGAGGAGGCCTGGTTTAATCCTCAATCCTACCCCCCAACCTAGCACCCCCTCTCCCCCCTGCTGATATTAACAAGGTAACAGGCAATCCTTCTGTCCCCCAATCGTAAAACACAAGCTAATCTAGGTTGTATCCCTCCTGATAAATTTTCCCAAGTGAATGCAAGATAAGACCAGTATCACGATCTCCATATCAGTTGTAATTATTCACTGCCTTCTCTCTCTCTCTCTCTCTCTCTCATTCTTGATGTTAATCCAGTCGCCGAAGTTCTACCCTGTGTAAACCTGTAAGGTCATATGGTGTCAAAGGTTACCTCTTTTAGGCAGGGTCACATAAAAAGGTCAATTTGAGGTCTACTTAAAGGTCAAACCATGTAAAAAATTTCATATTTTCCAACATACATAAATATGAGTAAAAGACACTACAGAATAGTACATGTAACTGACATACAGATAACATTGCCTCAATCTTTCTGTCTTTTCAGGTAAAAGATAGGATATTAAAATCGCCCCCTAAAAGGCAGCTGGATCCTGTTGAACTTCTACTTCAGGACATTCGCCAACAACCCAAGTTGCGCCCAGTGAAGGACGGCAAGCTTGTAGGTGAGTGGCCCGTTGCAATTTACACAGGAAGCAGAAATCTCCAGAATATGTCAGTATCAATGATTGGTCAAAGTGAAAAGTGATCATGGTCTTAATAAGAAGAATATTTTCAAGCATATTTTTTGGAATTAGTTAGTTCAATTTGTAACTTTTTTTTTTTTTTTTTTTTTTTTTTAAATTTCAGTGGAAACATCAAGAACAAAATTGAATAATGCAGATGAAACAGAAAGTCCCCTTCCTGTCAGAAAGGTCATCAAACCAGACTTCAATCTTCTACGTAATTTTGAGGTAAAATGTCACAGCGCTTCTTCTGAAAATTGAGGTAACACATAAAATCACTTCTGATCTTCTACATAACTTTGATGCAACGTGTCAAAGTGCTTTTTCGTACATTGAAAACAAATGATTTCACAATACTTCAAAAACTTAAATGTTTTAAAATTTTGAATTCTGAAGATTCACTTCAGAATTCTTTTTTTGTTTGTTTTTTTCACAACTTTTAGAAATGAAAAGCATTAGGCAGTGTATAGTATATGGATTATCTGTTATATTTAAAGATTTATTGCAGTCCTGAAGTGAATATAGAAAATCAAACCATCTTTGCTGCATTTACAAATCTTAATACTTCCTTACACTCAGGATGATACAGATGAGTCTGAATGTAGTCTACAGTCGTCACGGCGATCCAGTGTGGCATCCCCATCTCCAGAAAGGGAGATGCGTCCATGGCAACGAGCTGGTAGGTCAAGGCCATTCAGACAAGGTTTCATGTGTAACAATGGATGAGGCTTGAATTTTGAAATTTGAATATCGTAAATATAATTCTGATAAACTTAGTGATTAGCTCTTTTTGCTTTGGTGTATGTAAATAATGTCCAACACTTCAGAAAGCAAGTATTGTGGACTATATTGTAGTCTAGATCATTGGCCATTAATCCTGTCTTTCATTTTGTGTATGTGTGTGTATAGGGATACCTGATGGCTATTTCACCTGGTTAACTGATTCAAACTCTGTTTCTATCTTTCTTCAGTGGTACGAGACCTGGCTACTACCCAGAGCAGGCCTGTGATGCTCCAGCGTAGGAATACGATAACGGTGTGTGAGTCGCCTGCTGTACAGGTATATCCCACCAGCACACCACAATCCCCTATCTTGGAGGAGACTGATGAAGAGAATGTATTTCCACAAAAAGCGGCCCCTATTAAGTCTCCATCCAATTCGCATGATATTGCCGTGAAAAAAATCAGGCGTCAGTCGGCAGTTTGTAAATCGCATGTGTCTGCCAATGATGTTCGACAGAGACTGAGTTTAAAACTGCATGGTAACACTCCAGCAATGTGCATGTCTTCTCAGGACAGGGTGCATGGTAGGGCTAATCTTTCTTCACAGTCCTCGGGAAGTTACGAAGATCTGCTGTCTGATTCATCATCTCAGTCGTCACCACGTATGAGAAAAGTCAGTGAACCATTACTATCGACATACCAACAGAAAGTTCAAAGGTCAGTGAGTGTAAGTGATATGGCGGGGAACAGGCCTCAGCCAATGACAAGGTCAAGAACAATGCCCAAAGTCAGCAGCGAGTTGGAGACAAGTGAACAATCTGGTGTGTCTGATGAGACAAACAGACCTGTCCCTCGACCCCGCCCAGTTCCTGCCCCCAGACTGAGTCGTAGCTCTTCCCCCCTACCCACCCAGCAATTAACCTCCCCTGCTGTAGTTCCCACCAGTATAGGAGCAAAATCTCTTTCCCCATTGGTGTCGCAGCAAGATGCTTCCCCAACTCCAGCTAGACGAGAAACTTCCCCTAAACCAGTGAAACGCCACCGATCTTCTGTGCATAGGTCATCAACTCAGAGGGAGCATCATAGACATAGACTGAATTCCTCAGAGGAGGAACAACCCTCTGAGTTGAGCTCTGATAAGACTTTAGCTTCAGAACAAAAGCATAGATCTTCAGAACGAAGACAGCGTTCTTCTGAACAAAGACAGCGTTCTTCTGAACAAAGACAGCGTTCATCAGAACGAAAACAGAGTTCTGCTGAACACCGACAGAGTTCTTCAGAACATCGACAACATTCTTCTGAACGTAGACAACGCTCTTCAGAAAGAAATCAAACCACTGATTCTAAATCTCGAGAGCGTAAACAGCGTACTTCAGAGAGGCGAATCCCTGTTGACATGAGCTCAGAGGTGAGTTCTGTCCCCTCCACACCTTCTACCTCTACCTCCTCCTCTGTAGTATCCTCTCCCTCCCGTGTCTCCCCCGATGCCTCCCCAAAACCCAGCCCCACCCCTCGACCACGCATCCAGCGTTCCTCCAGTCACCATATTAAACGACAGATGACCATATCAGGTGGGCCTGTGCCCACTGCAGACACTGATCAAACAATTCCAAAAGCAAGAGATTCTACAAGGGATAGTCCAAAGATATCTATTCGGAAGGAATCTTCTTCAGAATTTGGAAGAATGACACCCAAGACAGATTCTGCTGTGGACAACCCAAGGGTTCCACGCCGATCAGGTTCATCACGGACCCCGCGACCAATGAGCCTGATAGAGGCAGACGACCGCCATGCTATTATACAAGAGGCAGCGGAATCTAGTCTTCAAACGAATGGTGCATCCAGTTTCTCGTCGCTTGATGTGCGAGACCTGCTGAATGTAAGTTCAAGGATGAAGTCCTCCGGTGCTGGTGAGGATCATGCTTCTACTACTAACTGTAACGGTAGTCCTACACCTAGCTCCCATCCATCTTCTGCTGTGCCTGCTGCTGCCGGCTCTGTGAGTATCCTAACAACCTAGCTAGTCTGTAACCATTGTAGTATCACAACCCAAATCCTTCCAGAACGTGTTGTGCTTTTACACCAAGGCAGTTTTTGTCCCACCATATTTGTTTGATTTACACTTTGTGTTAAATGATGTTATGATTTTTTTCTACAGAAATACACTTTAGTATTCCCAACAGAAAGTACCTACAGCCCCTATTGGCCTCATGTGTAGAATCTCCTGAGTAAATCTCCATTGTTTGATGCAAATATCTTATCAATCATTGATCATAAATGTTGTTCACCTGGGCCAAACCCCCAAGCGTTAGTCAGTAGGTGCTAATAGTATAGCTCTTATTCTGTAAGCTACCCGGAGAGTCCCTAGTTTACAGCTGTAGATCAGTGAAAATCTTATACTTTACTCTCTGGCTTAAGACATACTGAAACGAAATCTCTACAAGGATGTTATTTTATTTTAAATTGTTAAAACTTCTAAATGTCTTCCTTTGTCAGATGCATCAAGTTTTGATCAAGGTGACACAATTTAGAAACAAAGATATTGCCTTGTTGTCCTTGATCTTACACTAACACAATGTATAGCGGGAAATTTTCGTCCGATCAAACTTTCGCCCTTCGCCCATGTAATTAATTTTTGCCCAATGTTGATTTTGCCATTAACATTTCATTTCTATGCATATAATGTTGTTTAGTTATATTCGCTGAAATGATAGGAGGGTGAAAAAGGCAAAAAATTAAACTGCAGCAAAAGAAATCCCAGTATACACTATTGATATCATACTCTCATATGTAAAGTTGGCATGTTGTACTCCTGTCAGCTTCAGGTTACCAGGATGAAAGTTGCTCTACTCCTGTTAGCTTCAAGTTACCAGGTAGCAAGTTACTTTCTTGTTAGCTTTGAGTTATCAGGAAGCATGTTGCTCTCCTTTTAGCTTGGAGTTACCAGGGTACATGAGAGGATATCAATAATGTTAGTGTTAGGTGCGGAGGAGGACAAGGCGCTATATTTGTTGTGACTTAAAGCCTCTACTGCTGTTCACTGACCTCTAACCTCTGCTCATCATTTACCTGTAGAGTTATTAAACCTTTATGGGGTCTCATTTATACATAATGTAAAGGATTAAAACTCTCATCAAATCAGAATTTCTCATAAATTGAAATATCAGGTGGATTTACTTGTCTATGGCCTCATGTGATGTAAAAAAAATCTGTTTACTGTTGTAAATCGTTAAGGGCTTTAACTATGCATATACATTTGGTTATACTGTCAGACTTAATGAATTTTGAAATTTTCATAAATTCTTGGACATAATTTTTTTAAGGTTTACTAAAATTTCAGAAAAATTGGAAGTCTTTTGTGAACTTTGAGTATTTTTCTGAGGACAGTAACATTTTGAATATTTAGAATTAGATATAAGTTACCCATTACTTGATTCAGATAGTTTGTTGAGGTGCCCGGCCATTATTTATAGAAGCTTCTCTGTGATGAGGCATACTAAGTATATAGGTACATGACATATTACCTTCTACTATAATAGGATCGTTTCTGTTTACACGTCTAGTTTGATACCTAGTAGATGTTAGCTCAATGTGACAAACATTTAATCACACATTTTATTTGGTAACATCAATATCACTCGGAAATGGCAGTTAGATTACACTTTCAAGGGTATAATTGGACATAAACTTGGATCCAGGTTAACATGTCAGATGGGAAATAACAGAATAAATTCCTTTCTCCTCTTGTGGAATGAGATGATTCGTGTTTTGAAATTTTAATTAAAAAATGCCAGAATTGCTGTCACATTGAGCTATACATGGAGAGTTACACTCTTCATTTCTGTTTGACAGGTGTAGGTGATACATAGTACAATAGTTTTAGATACTGTTTCTCTTTGACTTCATCAGTTTGAAATCCACTGTAGACTTTGCAGTTCTGTATATAACCCAGCGTGATATTAGTTATTGTTGAATAGCACAATCACTTATTGTATAGTTACATGTGCATATTTTAGGCAGATTTCATTTTAGTAAGTAGTCTTCTTTGTAATGCCATAAATATGCTTTTGTTTTTATTAGTCCATATATTATTTTTGTTAGTCAAAGTGCTGAACATATAATATTACTGCTGTTATTTTTTTAAATTTTAGTTTTCATTCTTTTCCTTTTTTGTTATATATGAGTTGGTAATGACATCTGGCATGGCGTGAGATTCCGTAGAGATTTGAGATTGTATGCTATACACTAACCTACAGCGATCACTACAGTATTTTAGAACATTTTACACTTGTGTACGTGTGGCTCTTTGATCTTGGCATGGCTGTTTTTTTTAACATTTGACATAAATACATGTAACTTGCATCGTGTTAACCTATCAATCATTTATTTCAAGGATTTTTCTTCATCGATAATTCTTTAACTTCATCAGTTAAAATATATTGTTTTTGGATAACAGCAAATATAATACAAAGTTTTCATACTTATTCTTTATTTAACCCTGATTTCTATTTATTTCTGGTGATAAACCTTTCATTACTGTTTTTATATGCTTTAAGTATGAGATCATGTTTTGTAATATATTGTGAAATGAAGACTGTTTTATCAAAATAATTGCTTTTTTGTCTTTGAATACTGTTATGAAAATAATTTCACAACACCATTTTTTCAGTGTTTAATTCACATGAACATCACAACATAACGATAACTTCACCATTCTCTATCAGCGTTGCAGATAAGCTGGGTTTTTGTCAGCCAAATAAGTTTCACCATGATTTATACCAAGAGGTGTTTGTCAGTAGGCCTACAAAAATATGATTAATTTTCAAATTGCCTTTCTTTGTTTCAGCCCTACTGACGTCATGAATTGACCGCTGGTCAGTTGTGGTGATGTAGGACTGAACAGGTAAAAGCTGTAATACTGACATTGTTTTAATCAAAGATGTCCATGTTTTCTTCCACCAGAAATGGTCACATCCAATTGAATGTCTGTCTTTGACTCTTGAGGAGGTCACTCACATCCGCACGGTCCTGACCAAGGCTGACCTTGAGACTGTCATCACACAGAAGGACCTCTACACATTACTGGCCAAGGGCAAAGTAAGTACAAATAGCAATCTTACACTGTTATACAAAGTACATATAACAAGCTCAAACAGTTCAAGGTCACTCACATGGACAAAATACAGACATCAAGGTCACACACTGTTATACGAAGTCCATATAACAAGCTCAAACAGTTCAAGGTCACTCACATGGACAAAATACAGACATCAAGGTCATACACAAGCCATAAGTAAGAATAGATGTCAAGGTCACTCACATGGAAAAAATACAGACATCAAGGTCACTCACATAGAAAAAATACAGACATCAAGGTCACACACAAGCCATAAGTAAGAACAGGTGTCAAGGTTACTCGACTCTAGGACAAAGTGAGCACATGTGTCAAGGTTACACACAAGGATTTAGCAGAGTTGTTAAGGTCAAACAGGGGCAAACTACAGATGACAGTGTTACAGATGGCCAAAATCTATACAGATGTCAGGGTCACTCTCAAGGACAAAGTAAGCACATGTTTTAAGGTCACTTATGGACAAAGTAAGCACATGCCTCAAGGTCATTCTCATGGACACTAAAGGACAATGTGAGTACAGATGTCAAGTCAAACGCACAGAAGGTCACTCTCAAGGAAAAAGTAAGCACATGTTTCAAGGTCATTCTCGTAGACACACACAAGGACAATGTGAGTACAGATGTCAAGTCAAGGTCACACAAGAGCAAAGTAAGTACAAATTTTAAAGTCAAACACAGGACAAAAAGTTAGTACAGATGTCAAGATAACACACAAGGACAACGTCAGTAGGGATATTAAATGGATATCTACTACACAGTTTACAGTGTGGCACCAGCTATTCATCAGCTAAATTCTTGTATCAAATTGTCATTTTTCATCCTTGTCAACTACCCTCATACTGGACTAAGTGTGGCCTTTTGTTCTTTCAGATTTGTTTTACATGTAAAGAAGTGAAGTTCTCCATGTTTGGACAGTGGGGAACTCGGTGTAAGATATGTAAGAGAAACGTCTGCAATAACTGTCTCCGCAAAGTAAGTACTTCCTCACAGAGATTCATTGTCAAGTATATGTAATAAGCCCCTCACCTATTATTATAAGTGTGTTTGTTTCAAATTTACATGTATTTTATCATGCTGGTATTTGATAAAAGTTTTGCTTCAAATTCTATGCAATTCTGAAGTAATCAAACTATGATTTCAAAAAGAAATCGGCCAATAATTTTTCGATTAATTATTACATTTTTGAATGAAATTGTATTTTATTAATGTAATATTAACTCATCAATGTAAGAAAGTGCTACCTACTGTGATATTAATCACCTCCTTAATTAGTGTCCATGATAATTATTGTAAAGCGGGTTTTTTCCCCCAGAACTACAAATTTGCATTTTATTTATGTTATACAGATGAATGTGCCAACTGAACATTTTGAGAACATCCCTGTACACACTCTCAGTCCCATACCTCTCAGTCCAGAAACACTGGACATCATCAGGGCATATGAAAGGTAAATTATATGGAATATGAAAGTAGAATCTATGTCAAGTTCATTGCGGTCACTTACTATTTATTGAACACTGTAGATTAGATATTACAATTTCAGGGCTAAAATATAACTTTCTATATTTTTCATGTGATTGTTTGTTAGTTATGTTAGGGTTTACTAGTTACATTTCATTGTAAGGTAAAAGCAATGTTTAATTTGATCATGGACGATACCTGATGGGATAGAAGTGTTTATATGACATACGCCAGCTGGTCTATAAAGTATTGTATAATGTTTCAGTACGGGGTCAGTTCCTCACTCTCCAACTTTGCAACGCAAACAGCAGCAAAGGCTGGAAACAAAATCTGTGAAACCAAAAACACTACAGCGTGCCAACACATTTACCGCAAACCAGGGTCCAGCCATGCTACCCAACAAGAATCTCCTGAAGGGCCCACAAATGAACATTTGTCGTGACTGTAAAGGAATGATCATGGAGATCATAAGGACAAGTCGAACCTCGATAGCACTTATAAATCAGGGGAAGGAACTCCCAAAAAAGTCCGCCAGTTCAAGTTCAGATGATGGAGGAAGTGGCATGAATCTCTCCTCACTGTCTCTCAATGTAAAACACTTCTTCGCTCCGACAAAAGAGTGACATGCGTCGGCGTGGTGGATGTGTAGCAGAGTTGTCCTTACGGCTGCTGAATGCTGAACAAATATTTTCACCATTGATGCAGTGTTCTAAATGGAGTTAATGGACAGACATTCCTTCTGACTGATGACTAGTGTGATAAATGTGAGCGGGATACAGCTGGAGAAAGTCTTGTAACACCATCCAAGTCACCTTTCTTCAGAAAGAATATTTAAGCTGCTCGCCTACTAATCAGTGTCTCAACAGTGACAGAGCAGCTTCATATTTTTTATCTTTTTGTTTTATGCTGAGCACAAAATTGGCTGATATTATGATAACAGATTTAAATCAAAATTGTTGGTTCTGGCAAGACGGACATTCATTTAATCGTAACTAATTGTTATGCCTTGCTACTTTTTGAATGAGTCAGTGTAAAAGAGTTGCAGAGATTCCAGTTGAGAAGAACAAATATTTTATTTAAAATGCAGATAAGGTGTTGATGACTAGCAAATGAACTTAAAAAAGCCTATGTGACACCCTAACTGTTTTACCCATATAGATCTGTGTCTCCATGTGTTTGTCACTGCCGAACGTGTCGATCTGAGTTGTAAACAAGATATAGACTTACTGATAATAGTCTTGTACTGTTAGAGATTTCGTAGATCTGAAGACTTTATCACGTTTGGGAATACCTGGGTCTGCTTTACAACAAGTTTTATTTTTAATACATTCATATTTTAATTTAAAATTTTCATAAATTCGATAATGAATTTTCCAGTTTTTGATATTTTAAACATTTTGTTTTATGATATAGTATTCATATATGTGGTGTGTTTTGCCCTCTGCTGTTCATGTTTCTTCAGGAAAAAAATATATTACCGGTGCAAAAAATCTTGACAATATTAGAACAAGCACAAAATATCACCAGTTTGAAAAATTACATAATTTAGCCATCATACGCATAATTAACAGGTCACTAGGCATTGTTTGATTTAAACTTTAAAGGTTAATATGCAGACATTTTATTCAATATTTCATAAGTTTGAACAAAAATCATTGCTAGAGGCAATCTTAAATTCTATATCATACATCTAATCAATTGCTTGTTCATCGGTATATATAACTTACCACAATCAGTTAGGACAAACTCTTGGTACACCCAGCTGTTAACTCATTCACCCCTGAAGACACATTTGAACTCTTCCAATTCAAAGGTTGGAATAGCTCATTGTAAAATTTCAGGGGTGAATGAGTTAATCAGATATTCATTTAATTGTATCTTCCGGGGAATATTTATATACCAGTACAGGTATACAATTGAGTGCCATATTCTAATTAAAATTAAAGACAATTTGCAAGGACAATTTTTATTTTGTTTTTCAAAATGATTATCAATTCCAGCCGGTAATTTAAACGATACTTGGTAATTGTGTTTTCAAATTCCATGTGAAAAAGACAAACAATTAACTGCATAGAAAACAGTTAAGTATACAGACATGAATTATTTATTGTGTTCAGCTGATAACGAAACATGTAAGAGGTGCATGAAGTAAAATGTTTGGGGGCAAGTGTGAATATAGCCGACTAGAAAGTGAATATAGCCGACTAGAAAGTGAATAGCCGACTAGAAAGTGAATATAGCCGACTAGAAAGTGAATACAGACGACTAGAAAGTGAATAGCCGACTAGAAAGCAAAATGAGTACTAAAGGAAGGGTTAGGGGGAAAAGGGAAAGCATGTGATATAAAGGGAAAGGGAGGGATTAGGTAAAAATGGGATGAATAGGACAGGGAGTGTGTCTGTGAATACGAGAAAAACAGAGAGAGAGAGAGAGAACGTTTTTTGAAGGTACATTGTATATCCTTTATGTAGAATAGGGGTATTGTATGTAGTGGAAATTTGATAGGAGAGCTGTAGAGGTCATTAGGGGTCAAGTTTGGAGAGGAAAATGTGTGTTATGTCATTGATTTCCTCATTTGAGTATCTCTGTATATATAGTCAGAACTATTCCATTATTTTACCATTGTGGTGCTGTAAGTGATATTCTGTGATTTTGTAATTATTTGTGTTAGATTTCACAACTGTCATCTAATGGAACACATGTAGTACATGTAATTCCCCACCAGTATATAGCCGGCCATTGTTTAGCTTGTTTCCGAGGACAACCCCAGGCTGTTTACCATTGTGATATTATAGAGCACAACACAAACCCTATTTCTGTGATGTGATGCGGTACCACAGCCCTGTTGTTTTATACTGGCTTTATACACAAATTAGGAATTGAACATTATTTGAAAGATGCTGTACATCTCTTGAATTGACACGTTGTAGTGTTGGTGTTGGGACAGTGTCAGTGTTAAAATAGTGATATAATAGGGATTGTAATCTTCACAAACAACTCATACCCAGTATAATAAACATGACAAAAGTGTAGAGCAGGTCTTGTCTGCCAGGGACCTTTACCCGACATGCAGGGAACGTATTCATGAAATCTCATTCTCATTCTCAAACTTTATTGTAACTCATTTAAATCATGTAATATGGTCAAAAATCAAGTAAAACATTGAAGACAGTTTTCGTCTTTAAGTCTGTCCATAATTCTTCCATATCATCGACAAAATGTGATTTTTTTATTGATTTATCACGGAAAAAAGATATAGGGGTTGAGGACAAAATCTTATTTGAGCATGAGAATGGTTTCATGAATACGGGCCCAGAACTCAGTTTGTACTAATGTATAGTTACTGTCACCAGATTGCTGCAGAGTTTTATTATTTTTATAACTTTTTTCCAACATCACCTTGACAAGTCTCTAAATGAAACATGCGGGTATATGTTCAATTGCTTTCTAGCTGTTAATCAAGGGGTCTGCAAGTTAATAACCCAAAACAATTTTTATTATGGTGCAGATGCTGTTGAATGTGATTTTTTGTGAGCTGTTGTATTTACATTCCCTATTCAACTCTTACCTGAATGTATAGCTAGACTTCAGAAGTCAAAATTCTCTTTGTTTGCAATAGGTTGTTAATTACATTACAATATATATATATGCAAAGTGAAAGTACAAACACAAATGGCACTGTTTAAATTGTTAAAGTCCATGACACAGTGGAGAGGCACCTATTATTGAAAAACACATTTTTTTATATTATTAAACTTTTAATGAAGATCAAACGAGTATACCATTGTTTGTAGATATGTTTCCTGTTGAACAGACTGTTTGTTTTACCGTTGACCGCAGTCCGTCGCTGTACAAAGTAGTGCTGAATTATTACACAGGTTGTTGAAATCTTCAAAGTTTATTTATCTTGAAAGCAAATTGTTCAGCAAATGAAATGGTTCAAGCATTCAGGTATTTATCACAAATTAATCATAGATCTTGAAAAATAAATCTGTATGTCATGTCAGAAATTTCAAATGGTTCCCACCTAATTTCATGTGCTTTTGAAACTTTATAGCATTAATAATTTAGCAAAGATCAAATTAAATTGATTTTGATTAATTGAAATATTCCTTAACTTATTTAAAGTAAGCATAAATTTTCAACTTTAATTTTAGTAAAAACACACAATGATGGAGACATTTTCAGTCTGATCTAGACTGATTTATCATGAATATATATTAGCAATGATTTCTAGCTGTTACATGATCCTACAGTGAAAACAGATTATGCATGTAATGTGAACTATTTTCAGTTTAACAGTGCATCTGAAAATCTTTTATTCTGAAATTTGTATATACAATGTAAATGATTGTGATACCTGTATGTGATACCTGTATCAGAACAAGATTATTGGTGTTATGTGTATCATTTGTGTATTTCGGCATCTACCAGTCAATTGCGAATCTCAACAGTTACAAAAGATCAAATATCCTTCCTTAATACTTACATTTTTTTTACTAGTACAGAGCCTATAATCAAACATTTTTTCAGCTATCATCAGTGGTGTTATAATATCGCCTTTGGTATTATAATATAAAACCCAGGTCTATATATATTACCAATGGTACATTGTATTATGATATTAATCCTGGTCTTAATCTCACCAAATATAAATGAATAAGTTTTTATACTTCTAGATCAAATTTTGATTGATATTTTTTTTTTTTTAATTTTATAGGTTGAAGTTTTAAATTCATTATGTCAACTCTAGTTGTTTTGCTCCACTCTAAGATAATTCGAGGTTTGTGAAGTATGAAGGTCTGTTACACACAAATACATAAGTTGTTGTTATAGGAATACACAATATAATCATAAGATAAGAAATGCTTGTTATCCATTAGTACCACAGTACTCCATCTGTCCAAGTGTGAATGTGTTTATTTTTCATTTAAACTCATCAGGTCTTGATATAGATATTGTTTAGAATAGAAAATGTATATTCTGATTCACAATATCGTAGCAAAGTCTAAGAAATAGTCATTTAATTTATTTTCATATTTGAATGTTTATTTTGGAATGTTGAACACAGAACTATTTATTAAAAATTTCTAAATTTCATTTTTTTTCTTTCCCTAATACTTTCATCACCATCATTTTTAAGTCATATTAGAAATGTGAATAAACTCTAGATATTTATTTGATAGATTGGTATATATTGAGGTTTGTTGTAGTTGATAATGTCCTGTGGTTTGAGGACTGCATAATGATTTTGATCCGTATCACTTGTTACCCGTCACCTTCACTCTGTCCAAGTTAGCCGTTAATCTTACAGGGAACAAAAGCAATAAATGTTCCTGTAATTATAGAGCATCACCCCCATCTTCTGTATCAAGTGTTGTTTCATTGATACTTGTACTATTCTTCTAAAATTTTCATTTCACAAAAAGTTATATACATTTGTAACTTGTTTTAAGACGAGGGAGTTAATGTTAACCCTCATTCCTGTATCAAGTGTTGTTTCGTTGATACTTGTACTTTATTCTTATAAAATTTTCATTTCACAAAAAGTGATGCAACTTGTTTAAAGCCGAGAGCGTTGATGTTTCATAGACCCCAATCTCCTTTACTGGTCAAAGGACATCATTCGATCAATGTAATTCTCTCATAGTGATATTATTATGCTTCTTTCGCCACAGATTTTCATTCCTAATCTAGAAATGAAATACACTGTAATGTTGTTTGAGTGTCGACTCGACCATCCACTCCCTTGGTTTTACCTGGTGTCGTCTGCGTAGACCGGTAGTGGCAGTTTGTATTGTAGATCTTTTTTTATTATCTGAAATCGATGCATACCAACACCACATGAAATAAAATATCAGAAAAAAATTCCGTGCTTGGTCGTTGTTTGTAAGAGTCCTGTGAATTACATAACTTACAAGTTTCAGTTTACTACTGCAGTTAGTGAATACCAGCCAACCATTTGGGTTTGTGTCAACAAATTAGTTCGAAAATTTAAAACCATGAAAGAAAATAGTTTTAAAAATTTTGCATAATCAAGATACAGTATATATGGCTAGATTGCTATTGTTTTAATCCAATCATCAAACTGAATGTTTGAATCTTGAATGACTTTCAAAAACTGCCATTTTTGTGGTAAGAAAAACACATAAATGAACGGATGTGACTCGTTTTGAAGTTATACCTATGAGGAGCTTGATTTATTGCTCAAAATAAAGGTCAAAATTTGGTATAAAGTGGGGTAAAACTAAATAACAGTACTAGTACTCGCAATATTCCACCATCCCATTAAGTACTTCCAAATTTGGCCATCATATGTGACGGAGTATACAAGATCTGCCTTGGACTAGATGTGACGGAGTATACAAGATCTGCCCTGGACTAGATGTGATGCAGTGTAAACAAGGGGCCATAACTAAGCGTATAGTAGGCCAGGGTACAGAACCAGATTTTCTGCCATTGCCAACAAAATTTGGCAGTTTTAGGTGACAGAGTATATGAGATATTCCCCGGACAAAGTAACATTCTAACTGAAGGTGTGCAAACCTGGTAGTACTGGTCTTGGACTTAAAAGGACAAGAAAACTACTGAATACAAGGTGCATAATCAGGTACAACTCTCAACATTGTCAAAAATGTATAACTGGATCTGCCCTATGTAACGCATGTTCCAAGCAATGTAAATTATACAATGGAAATAAATTTAGTTTCAATATAATTTATTTTCAAGGTTTCATAACAAAAACAAAATTTCGAATAAATGATATAAATTATGCATACTCTCGTTATAATGAAATAGAAATGGAAGCTGTTGGGTAATGTTACACACAGTTACCATCTCTCCACCGATCATCATTAATGTTATTCTATAGTATGGATTAAATACATGTACAAATAGGGTTACATTATAGTCGGGCTGGGTGTGCCACAAGACTTCACCATGTCCCTCCACACAACTCGAGCAGAAAGCACTGGAGTCTCGCAAATCGGTTACAAGTATAAAGTTTGTGTAATAGGAAAATAAGGTTATTATACAAAATTATTTCAATAGAACATATTTAATGCTCACTAGTACATTACAAGCTGTCAGAATATCTTTCCAAAGAAAGTGTGACTTGCTTAACCCTTTCACCACTATAGACCATAATGGACTCATCCAGATCAATGCATGGTAGAGTCTACTAAAGTTACATAGTGGTGAAAGGGTTAAAAAGCGTCTCTTCATGAAACAATTACAATACCAGCTGTAACACATTTTCATTTCATGAAATATCAACTTAAGGCGATAACATGTAGAGCAGTGTTTCATGTATAGCTAAAGGTTACCACATTTGCATGGTGCAAATGATTTGTCCTTTTTAACCCAAGACTCTTCAAACATCACTGAAAATTTACAAATTTTGTTGCATTAAGGAAACGTTTATGCTAAATAAAGTTTTTGATTACAAATCTAGCTCGACGACAGGAAGTGGAATATCTTCAATGTTACCTAGTCTCAATTACTACCCAGAATTCAAACTCAAATTGGTCAAGGTTTCACTCACTCATGTTGATCTGGATTTCACAATGACATGAACTTAATACACTCAAGCCTCAATGAAATGCACCTCATACACCCAAATTTCAAACACTCAAAAATGACCCAAATTTCATACACTTGGAAAAAAGACATGGATTTCACACTTAACAACAGAGCTATCTGACTCCACTGCCCATGGAATCACAGAAAACTGGAATGGATACGGTAGGATTAATATCTTGTTCACCGTCATGGAATAATGGTTTGAAGTTTACGGTGGGTATATGGTGTGGGTTATTAACGGAAACTGACCAAGAGTATAAAATCTCATTATTGATAATCACATTCAAGCATAATAGTATTTACATCCATTGCTGAGATTCTAGTAACAGTATTTGCATCAAGTAAATAAAATCAATCACAGATTGTCTTATTAATTGAAGGCACACCTACATACATGGTAATGAAACTACTGATATCATCTAGAACTCATTTTGACAATGAATTTCCTGTAAGACTAGAATTTTGTGTAATTGAACTCTCTATCAAAATTTAGGTTTGTGTGGTGTGAATGTAAGACCAGGAGGGAAGCTGAGGTTAGGAAGAGGTTTGTCGGCCTCGTCCTGTAGTCTACTCAGGTGACGCTCCTTCTGCTCTAGGAGATGATTCAGTCGCTGGATTTCTGCATCTTTTTCATCCACAATCTTCTTCATTTGTGCAATAACCTAAAACAAAAAATAATTTAATTTGTCAATGAAAGGTTAAATAATACATTTTAAGAACAATCAAGGTCTCAAAATATAACAGATTTCCTGTTTGTATTTAGAAAACATTGAAGTCAATACACTGATGAAGATTAGTCACACAATGGGAATGGATGGACATGGGAAAAACTATAATGCCCCCATTTTGTTTTGGAAAAGGAAGGGGGGGGGGGGGGGGGGGGAATAAAAATGTCCAACAATTACGTTCAAAAAAACATTTATCATTCAGTTGTTTCCATCTACCTTCATTGTGGACCTTTAAAGGTAAGGTGGTAACACATTATTAGGGTTATATAGACGGAGGACATTACCTGGTCTTTAAAGGTAAGGTGGTAACACATTATTAGGGTTATATAGACGGAGGACATTACCTGGTCTTTAAAGGTAAGGTGGTAACACATTATTAGGGTTATATAGACGGAGGACATTACCTGGTCTTTAAAGGTAAGGTGGTAACACATTATTAGGGTTATATAGACGGAGGACATTACCTGGTCTTTAAAGGTAAGGTGGTAACACATTATTAGGGTTATATAGACGGAGGACATTACCTGGTCTTTAAAGGTAAGGTGGTAACACATTATTAGGGTTATATAGACGGAGGACATTACCTGGTCTTTAAAGGTAAGGTGGTAACACATTATTAGGGTTATATAGACGGAGGACATTACCTGGTCTTTAAAGGTAAGGTGGTAACACATTATTAGGGTTATATAGACGGAGGACATTACCTGGTCTTTAAAGGTAAGGTGGTAACACATTATTAGGGTTATATAGACGGAGGACATTACCTGGTCTTTAAAGGTAAGGTGGTAACACATTATTAGGGTTATATAGACGGAGGACATTACCTGGTCTTTAAAGGTAAGGTGGTAACACATTATTAGGGTTATATAGACGGAGGACATTACCTGGTCTTTAAAGGTAAGGTGGTAACACATTATTAGGGTTATATAGACGGAGGACATTACCTGGTCTTTAAAGGTAAGGTGGTAACACATTATTAGGGTTATATAGACGGAGGACATTACCTGGTCTTTAAAGGTAAGGTGGTAACACATTATTAGGGTTATATAGACGGAGGACATTACCTGGTCTTTAAAGGTAAGGTGGTAACACATTATTAGGGTTATATAGACGGAGGACATTACCTGGTCTTTAAAGGTAAGGTGGTAACACATTATTAGGGTTGTATAGACGGAGGACATTACCTGGTCTTTAAAGGTAAGGTGGTAACACATTATCAGGGTTACATAGACAGAGGACATTACCTGGTCTTTAAAGGTAAGGTGGTAACACATTATCAGGGTTATATAGACAGAGGACATTACCTGGTCTTTAAAGGTAAGGGGGTAACACATTATTAGGGTTATATAGACAGAGGAGATTACCTGGTCTTTAAAGGTAAGGTGGTAACACATTATCAGGGTTATATAGACAGAGGACATTACCTGGTCTTTAAAGGTAAGGTGGTAACACATTATCAGGGTTATATAGACAGAGGACATTACCTGGTCTTTAAAGGAAAGGTGGTAACACATTATTAGGGTTATATAGACAGAGGAGATTACCTGGTCTTTAAAGGTAAGGTGGTAACACATAATTAGGGTTATATAGACAGAGGACATTACCTGGTCTTTAAAGGAAAGGTGGTAACACATTATTAGGGTTATATAGACGGAGGACATTACCTGGTCTTTAAAGGTAAGGTGGTCACACATTATTAGGGTTGTATAGACGGAGGACATTACCTTGTCTTTAAAGGTAAGGTGGTAACACATTATTAGGGTTATATAGACAGAGGACATTACCTGGTCTTTAAAGGTAAGGGGGTAACACATTATCAGGGTTACATAGACAGAGGACATTACCTGGTCTTTAAAGGTAAGGGGGTAACACATTATTAGGGTTATATAGACAGAGGACATTACCTGGTCTTTAAAGGTAAGGGGGTAACACATTATCAGGGTTACATAGACAGAGGACATTACCTGGTCTTTAAAGGTAAGGTTGTAACACATTATTAGGGTTATATAGACGGAGGACATTACCTGGTCTTTAAAGGTAAGGTGTTAACACATTATTAGGGTTGTATAGACGGAGGACATTACCTGGTCTTTAAAGGTAAGGTGGTCACACATTATTAGGGTTGTATAGACGGAGGACATTACCTGGTCTTTGGTGAGGAAGAGTTCACTCTGTAGAAGCTCCTTGGCTGTTGGACGGTGGTGGGGGAAGAGGGATGTCATCTTTTTCACAGCACTAGCCTGTACACCACACGTTAGTCAGATTAACATAACAGTGGATAGGACTTTCCAATGTGAATACAAGTCTATAAATATCATATCTATCAGCTAAGAAAACAACTTAAAATTGAAATATTCCATCAAGGTCTCTTGCATATATGTACTTCAAAATATTAGGACCATATTGAATAGCCTCACCAAATAGGGAAATGACTTTCAAGCACTAATTTTCAGTTTCATTTTAAAAAGAAAAGGAAACATTGTATGTTTGATGAAAGACATATTACAATGGTATACATATAAAATTTTAATGGGTTATACTCATTCTTTATGTACATGAATACAAACACATTTTAATCTGGCAAGCCAAGTTTTCGAATGATACCAGGTAAATTATTTAAATCTTTTGTATCCTTAATTAGTAAAAATTACTGTACTTTCTCAACAGTGTCACTCCACCCTAACAAAAAGTGTAAACTTGACATGCACAATACCAATCTAAGTTGAATTGAAGGTCAATTTTGATTGTATGTGAATCTATGACAAAATGAAGTTACCGCAGTTGGACAGCTCTCCGTAAAACCCTCGTCCAAATATCCGTCTCTTAGTTCTCCGAGGTGCTGCGACTTCTCCATTTCTGTATCAAACTTATTACATATCTCGTACAGCAGTACCCCCAGGCTGTAGATATCACACTGGAAGGTAAGACAGGGTCATTTATTAGGCTTAAACGTAAGTCGTCTAATAATAGCATACTATGGCAAACAACATATGTATCTTCCATACCTGTGGGTGTTGGATGAAACTAACTCCCACATATGACAGCAGTCACATTAACAAAGAATTAACAGAGTGTGTGATGTTGACAGAAATCTCAACTCAAAGGTAATATTTTGAGGTTTAACAGGTGACTGTGCCCAGTGCAAACTTCTAAAGTCTTATTCTACACTGAGCTATAACAAAATTGCCTCTAGCTGAAGCTTGTAATGTGACTTTAACACACGTACAATGCACATCCTTAACACAACCTCCCCCCCCCCCCCCCCAACTTTTCTGATTCTTCGCTATTTAAGGCAACCACAATAAGGTTATTTCTAACCCCCCCCCCCCTCAGAGGTTCTCCACTGGCCTAGAACAGGGAGGGTCAAAACAGCACAAGTTTGCAATAAGAAGGATGTAGTGAAAAGAATAAAATAAAGAGTATGTATCCTATATACAACAGGAGATACATGTGTGTAACTATGGTTTACCTTGTTATTGTAGGAGTGGCCTTTGAGCTGTTCTGGCGAGGCATATGTCCTTGTTCCAACCCCAGAAGTGTGGTCACTCCACATAAAATCACCTGTCAAACATAATCATGAATATAACCATCTGTGTCAAACTAGCTTGACTAAAACCATCTCTGTTTAACACCAGCTTGACTATTACTATGTCTGTCAAACTCAGACATGATTATAACCATCTGTATCAAACACTAGCTTAATTATAACCATCTCTGTGTAACACCAGCCTGACAATTACTATCTATGTCAAACTCGGACATGATTATAACCATCTGTGTCAAACATAGCTTATTTATAACCATCTCTGTTTAACACCAGCTTGACTATTACTATGTCTGTCAAACTCAGACATGATTATAACCATCTGTGTCAAACAATAGCTTAATTATAACCATCTCTGTTTAACACTAGCCTGACAATTACTATCTCTGTCAAACACAGGCATGACTCCAACATCTTATGTCAAACACAGGCATGAATATAACCTTATGTGTCAAACTAGCTTGACTGAATCCATCTCTGTTTAACACCAGCTTGACTCTTACTATCTCTGTCAAACTCAGACATGATTATAACCATCTGTGTCAAACATAGCTTATTTATAACCATCTCTGTTTAACACCAGCTTGACTATTACTATCTCTGCCAAACTCAGACATGATTATAACCATCTGTGTCAAACAATAGCTTAATTATAACCATCTCTGTTTAACACTAGCCTGACAATTACTATCTCAGTCAAACACAGGCATGACTCCAACAACTTATGTCAAACACAGGCATGAATATAACCTTATGTGTCAAACTAGCTTGACTGAAACCATCTCTGTTTAACACCAGCTTGACTATTACTATCTCTGTCAAACTCAGACATGATTATAACCATCTGTGTCAAACACTAGCTTAATTATAACCATCTCTGTTTAACACTAGCCTGACAATTACTATCTCTGTCAAACACAGGCATGACTCCAACAACTTATGTCAAACACAGGCATGAATATAACCTATGTGTCAAACTAGATTGACTGAAACCATCTCTGTTTAACACCAGCCTGACAATTACTATCTCTGTCAAACACAGGCATGACTCCAACAACTTATGTCAAACTCAGGCATGAACATAACCTTATGTGTCAAATTTGATTGACTGAAACCATCTCTGTTTAATCCCAGCCTGACAATTACTATCTCTGTCAAACACAGGCATGACTCCAACAACTTATGTCAAACACAGGCATGAACATAACCTTATGTGTCAAACTAGATTGACTGAAACCATCTCTGTTTAATACCAGCCTGACAATTACTATCTCTGTCAAACACAGGCATGGCTCCAACAACTTCTGTCAAACACAGGCATGAATATAACCATTGCTGTCAAACTGTTTTAAGTGCTCAAAAATGCTTAAACCTGGAGAACAAATCACTAATCTAGTGATCTACAAACAGAGCTAAAGGCAATTCATCTTGATGAAACAGTTTTCCATTCTTGTCATATGGTAACAAGTTTAATGGAACCTGTACCAACTATTACTAAGTAATTCTTGGGAAAGATCTTACATTGGTAGCAAGTATATAAGTACCTGTGGAATCTGGTGTTGGCGTTAATAGGAAGCTATCAGCTGATGGTGACAATAGATCGTCCTTTGCCAGGCCAAAGTCTCCAATCCTCACATGGTTCTCGGGTTCATTGATGAAGATATTTTTTGGCTGCAAAAGTGAAAAGATCACCACTTGAACAAACCACAATGAATACTGTATCCCAAATCAATGTGATCTTAAAATGATTTGGTAACTGAAACTAAAGCATTCATTACATGAGGTTTTGAATTTTGTGATGTCTTTTCTTTTTTGTTGCAATAATTACTGTGATTCACTTTTCTTTTCTTTATCTCTACATTAAAAATCTCAGTTATTAAAACAAAAGCTCTGTTGATATGAGTAAATATTTACATTTACATGGCATTGTCACTAGATAACCTACTTGAAAAGCTGTGTGGTTGATGGGACTTTAAATAACATGCACCGCAATTCTTAGCCAATCAGCATGCGACAATACACTGTTGCAGTTATTGAATAAATTTGTTTAGACTGTCGATAAGGTAGGATTCTTAAATTTCAAATATAATTTGTAAGTTAAAAAAAACCTTGAAAGGAGGAGAAAACGTAGAAATTAGCATTGAACTGTTTTTGTATGGCATTTATGATAGTGCGCATTATGTTGTTTGCTTGCAAAGCTGTGTCATTCAAATAGATCATAAATACCATACAAAGACAGTTCAACGCTTAAATATAGGCAACAAAATCGTCCACGGTACCTTGAGATCTCTGTGAATGAGTCCCTGAGAATGTATGAAATCCACACCTTTCAATATCTGTTTGAATATCTTGAGATTCAGTCCAGAGTAGTCATTTCTGAAATCTGAAAAAAAACGAATTCATCTATTTATTCACTTACATACCAAAACACAATGTATCACTGTTTTTCACAAATGACATATAACACCTAGCATTGTATGCAAAACTTTTTTGAAAACAAATCCCCCACCTTTTAAACAGCTACATGTGCTATTTCTCCTCCTGATCCACTGGTCCAGTGTCACACTGCATAACTCCATTTGGATAAACAGACAGACATGCATCTGAAATCACAGTTATATTCTCATTGTAATAAATCATGGATGATTATGTACATGCGTTCTATGAAAAGAGGGCCGAGAGAGGCCAATCATACAGAAGTTGTCAGCAGGGAGGTGAGAGAAAAGCTCTTTATACACAAGGAATAGGATTAGAGCAGGAAGGGGATAGTGGCCATTCACCAATAGGTGTGAACAGAGGGGAGGGTATGGAGGCCATTTAGAACAGAATGTGGTGAAGGCAGGGCAGAGCTGATGCAGGAGAGAACGAAACAGAACAAAGTTTGAGAGAGGACTTTACACAGACAAGGGAGGAGTTTGAGGATTTTATAGAAATAGGAGTAAAAAGGGATGAAGGCGGGTTTTATTCTGCCCTGAGATAGAAACAAATTTATAGTTTATCATTTTATTCCATAAAAGTTGACCGACCTTTGAATGAGATAATTACTTCTGATATCTGTTCTGATTAATCCTACTTTATCCTGCTGCTGAGATTTCATGTTACCTTGGAATTAATGATGTCCTCCGAATATTGACTGCTCTCTTCTTGTGGATGTCTGTATACCCTCTCCCCATTGATAGCTGGATCACAGCTGAGGCTCCTCCTGGTCACAAACCCCTGACTCCAGAACATACTTACATCTGTCTGTTCAAACACGGCACTTACATCTAGGGAAAACTTGCTTCTTATGGCAACCAATTTTTGAGAAAAGGAGAGGGTGTCGGGGATACCTTCATTGTTTTTGTCAGATATTTTTCTCTTGCATGTGTGTTTGAAAGAACTTCTAGTGAAATTCTCCTGTCTTTGAAGTGAAAATAAATTGAAATGACCAACTCTATCTCGACTAGACTGATTTCCCCTCAGTCTGTCACAAGCTTCGCACGAGTCATCTGTAGTACTACCATCTGTATCACCACTGTCACTAAGCTCAGTAATTTTCCCCGGAGAGCCAACTTTCACTCTGCTGGATGGCACAAAAGATTTTTTGGAATGGGACATGAACAATATGCCGTCTTCAGATTCACTGCCATCATTGATCCCACTAAAATTTGGAGAGAAAAAAAAATGTTTTTACTTAGACATACTTTTTGCAGACATGGAACAACTTATATTTTGCATTTTTTTTTTTTAAATTCAAGTCATTTTCTGTTTTAGGTCAAAAGGTGTGTTCTTACTATAAATGCATAAATCAAGGAAATTAGACTTAACCAACAATTTGTTTCTGTGAATTGTAAATGTTCTCCAGAGTTATAAAATGTTGTAAAAATTGTGCAAAACAACTTTGAATCATAGATAGGAGGTTTTCACAGACAGCCTTTTTTCAGCGCGCAAACAAATTTATTTTTGTATTTTCATGTTACTAGCAGACACGTTATTGGAGAAAATAGTTGATAATTATGCAAGTGTCATCGTGTGTTGAGAATATGGGAAATGTGTACTTGGATTTACAACTTAAGGTCAGATCCTCAGCTGCCCTTGTTTTGACCTCAAATTTTGCATCCTCAAGTAGAATTTCCATATTTCTTCTGTCACAATTGTGATAAATATTCCATTTTCTGTAAAGTTAAAATAGGAATGGTCTTTCTTAAGTTTTTGTCTTTTACCTTTCTTCATAACCTCCTACAGGCTCTGTTACATTGGTGTAACCTGCAATAAAATGGTATCAGTATTTATTTTATACACATACAGTAAATATAACATTACACACAGCAGATAAGATATCACATACAGTAGATATAATTAGAGGCGTCACGATTCACTGCGATGCACTTGTACCGCGATTATTTATGTTCGATTCGATTCGTGAAATATTTTTCCGGATTTACGATGCGTCACGATCTGAATATGCTACTTCAGCCGAAAATCTCTAAACCCTCAACCAATCAGCTGCGAGGATGCAATTTTCACAAGGCATTCATAACAAAATGACGGACCGCCGTAAGGAAATGAAAATGTGTGATGCTCCGGCAAGCTTGAAATCAAAAGTGTGGAAACACTGCAGGTCTCGGTGTATCGACGGCTTATATATCTCATTTTGTTTATATCTTAAAATAAACGTGTATCGAATCGAAATAATTGAATCGTGGAACAAATATTGAGATACTTACCGAATCGTTGGTAAAGTGTATCGTGACAGCTCTAGTTATAATATTACAAAGACAGTAAATATAATATTAAATACACAGGAGATGTATTTCTCACATCTAGACACCCTGTTTCTTGTTCTCTCTCCATACTCAGTATAAACTCAAACCTAGACACCCTGTTATTATTACTACTAACTCGCCATCAGTATCATGTGTTCCCTGTCATCTGTTACTACTAACTCACCATCAGAATCATGTCTTCCCTGTCATCTGTTACTACAAACTCACCATCAGAATCATGAGTTCCCTGTCATCTGTTACTACTACCTCACCATCAGAATCATGTGTTCCCCGTCATCTGTTACTACTAACACGCCATCAGAATCATGTGTTCCCTGTTATCTGTTACTACAAACTCACCATCAGAATCGTGTGTTCCCTGTCATCTGTTACTACAAACTCACCATCAGAGTCATGTGTTCCCTGTCACCGGTTACTACAAACTAACCATCAGACTCATGTGTTCCCTGTCATCTGTTACTACTAACTCACCATCAGAATCATGTCTTCCCTGTCATCTGTTACTACAAACTCACCATCAGATTCATGTGTTCCCTGTCACCTGTTACTACAAACTCACCATCAGAATCGTGTGTTCCCTGTCATCTGTTACTACTAACTCGCCATCAGTATCATGTGTTCCCTGTCATCCGTTACTACAAACTCACCATCAGAATCATGTGGTCCCTGTCACCTGTTACTACAAACTCACTATCAGTATCATGTGTTCCATGTCACCTGTTACTACTTACTCACGAGCGGTATCATGTGTTCCATGTCACCTGTTACTACTTACTCACCATCAGAATCATGTGTTCCCTGTTATCTGGTACTACAAACTCACCATCAAAATCATGTGTTCCCTGTCATCTGTTACTACAAACTCACCATCAGAATCATGTGTTCCCTGTCACCTGTTACTACAAACTCACCATCAGTATCATGTGTTACCTGTCACCTGTTACTACTAACTCACCATCAGTATCCCTGGTTTGGTGCTCCAGCCAGGCACCATTGTATCCCACAATGTTTGAATGGCGCAAAGTCGCTAGAGCTTTCACTTCTCTCAGAACCTGAAAAACCCAGCACATGTGGAGTCAACAGGAAATCATCTCCTATTCCGGTATATAAATACAGAGGTCACAGCTGTATTAATGGCATTCAGCTACATATGTGAGCAGCCTTACATTTCATTTCTTTTCTCTTGTTATATGCAAAATACAGTTGTCAGTAGAACAAGTATAAACAATTTACTGTTCTATTTCAAATTGTTCACACTAGTTTAGTTCCGTGTTTCAAACTGTCCCTAAGTAGAATGTTGTTTCTATCAGATTTCTCCTTTTAACTATACAAACCTTCAGCCATATTTCTGGTTTTGAGTGTTTGAATCGTATTTTCTTTATGGCATAGTCAGTTCCATCTAATTTGTGCGCGGCCTGCAATAGATATAATTATTAACAGATTGATTCATTTTTAATGACAGTCATGTCTTGTTAACAAAACCTGCACCATACATTTTGTATTACCTGTAATACTTCTACATTTTCATTATCGCATCTACAAACAATGCATGTACTACCTATTTGTCATCATTAATAAAACATCTGCTTATAAAATTTACAAAGCAAAGTTGACCTCGACAGCTGAAGTTTTCAACACACGATAGGATAAGTCTTTTTTTTTAATGTTGAAAATGGGTTATATTTATGTACCCAGATTTTTTTTATATATAATATTGGTATTGACTAGGGCTGCAACTATATATTGTACGAGATATATCGCGATATTTTGGATATGGTACACTAAACAATATTTTTTGGGAGGTCAAGATTTACCTACGATATTTCCCCGGATTAGTCGTTTCTAAATTTAATCTGCTCATATCTGTTCCAACATGGCGAGTGACAGTTCCAGCCTGGCATGCACGTCGAAAGACGTGAATTGTGTGAAAATTTAAAGTCATTCCCATTTTGGGCCAAGTCTATTTCCTGTTGTAGTATTGCTATTAAAAATTTGCAACATATCTTTTCGCTTTGCTTCTGTCTTTACTATATATATTGTGATATGTATCGTATCGTGACCATAGTATCGTGACACATATCAAATTGTCATGTGAATGTATCGGTGCAGCCCTAGTATTAACCAGCTACACTCTAACTTGCTATACCTTATAGACAGTCCCAAATCCACCTTTTCCGATTCGAGAGATTTCTGTAAATTCTGACTTGTACCTAGATGTCTGCATCTGGGTCAGTTCATCAGAGGACAGCAGTGAGTAATGCTGAGTGTCTAACCTAAATGAAAATATACAATCATAAAAAATGTCATGTAGTTGTACTAAACACTTTTAAGAATTGATAATACATCAGATAACATACTTCTGATTTCTCCTCAGAAATAATGTCCAATTCATTTCAATCATACTGCCTAGCAACAATTTTTTCAAGTTAGTCGTTTGTTATTGGTTTGGGATTCCTGTCGCAGAGTTTAGATTCCTCTCAATCAGTTCAGTCATACAGTTCAGGCCAAAAACTGTCACCCTTAATAGTTTCTACTAAATACACATTTGATTTAGGACAAGATCAATAGAAAGCCTTCCTTGGCCTGAAAATATGTTATCATTGTTGTCTTGTTAGCTATGCCAAATGGAGGCTTAATGCACATTTGTAAGCTGTTACCGATAAACAGAAATACAAAATTGCTACACAGAAACATAGAGCGCAGAACTGGAGTCATAATCACTAGTTACCTTCCATTAGCTGCGGGAACTAAAGCTTCTAGGCCCGATCGTTTTTTTTTTTTTTTTTATTATTGTTATTGAATTATTGTTATTGTCTATGGTCTGATAACAAAAAAAACACATAAAAAACGGGTCTAGAAGCTGCGATTCCCGCAGCTAACCTTCCATTTGCTGTGTATTTGATTAAATTAGAGAATGAAAAATATAATGTATCACATAGCCGTCCTGCAGGTTATATATATAAATCTTAAAAATAAATTTCTGATCTGTCGAAAACATTACATTATCTCATAAAATTCTATCTAAGCTTTTTCAAATTTATAACCTTTTAGCTGTTTTCTCATTTTTCAAGAAATTTGATCTTTTTTTATTCACTTAACCAATATGACAATGCCTTACTGAATATCTGAAAATAATCCACATAATTATAATATGCCCGAGATGTGACTGCATACCTGACTGTGTCTTCACTTAGCCGTCCTGCTGATGGTAGTGCCCTGAGAGGTCTCTGCAGAAAACAAAAACATAATTTTCATCGCAATTCTAGGCCATTGAATGATGTATGTGTCTAGCTTCCTGTGAGACCTTTACAATTAAGCACAGAGTTTTGTTAGGTTTTCTTATAGAGGCATTACAGTCCTAATAGTAACTAATAGTGGACCGACAATCTTCACAGTATCTAACGTCTTGACTACAAGGGTAGGCAATATAAACTCCTAAGTTAAACTCTTACTACACAGATACACTACAAAGGACAAACATAATGATTGCCCTGAATTCCTCCACAGCATTGCAAGAGAATGCTATAGGAGTGGTAAGACTACAACACCATTGCAATACATTGTAGCAAGGAATGTTATAGGATCACAATGTCATTTGTTAAAACTTTCATGGGTTTTAACATTACAGAACTGTACAGACAAGAGAATCAGTGGAACTGATAATGCTCCCTGATACATACTTAACTATTTGTTGTGTCATAATCAATACAAGGAAATTTGACTGTCAGGTATCTTTAAAGGAACAAGGGTTTTGGTGCTTAGGTACTGCCCACCACCACCATATAGACTTTATCATTTGTAGAAATTTTCACAAGTTATCCTATATACTGTAAAATTAATGATGATCCAGACAAGAAAATATGACAGAAGGAAAGACAAAAAGGCAAATATATGCCCTAAAAAAAACATTCTCAACAGTATATTATGAATTTCCTTCTACCACTTGCAGAGTCCCCCCTCATATTAATAGGCAAAATAAAACAAAAAAAGAACATTTATATTTTACAGTGCAGGGCTACACAAGTTGAGTCAAACTTTGTATACAAATACTACTTGCTATAAAAAGACTTTTTATTCACAAATGACCATTTGAAACATTGTTTTTATTTAAACTCAAAATACTGTTTATATTACTTGGTTCATGATTTCATGAACTGATCAAACATTGGAAAAACAATTTACCGATGTGAGTTTCAGCATGGCTGCCCTGAGTACATTGTGCATGAAGTATCTGTACTGGGTTCTGATACTGCCCATCTCGTCTAGCACAGTCATGGGGGAGACAACGTCCATCTTAATCAGGTGTTCGCTGATCACTGAAACAAATTCAATCAACAGTGTCAATTAATACACAACAGTACTAGTAGCATGTCGCTTTGTTCTGATGTAAAGCATACCTCATAAATTCACTTAAGTCTCAGCTTTCCATGTATTTGCTTGTACAATTGGACAACCAACCTTGCATGACCCCAGTTATACATGCACAAAATGGTCCATATCTAGATCACACTGCTGTATTAGTTTGGCAAAAAAGCATTCATTATATTTGACAATTTCACAGGGTAAAATCAATAAAATATACATACATTTTATAAAAAGATATAATATAAAACTCTGTGTCAAAAATGCAGAGTAGTGAGGGGATAATTAAGGCCATATCACATTTTTCCATCATTTTCAAATCCATAGTTTATTAATTACAACAGCATTTTCTTGGAAGAAATCTGTACAAGCATTATGTACTTACTCTTAAACAGTTCTCTCCCCTTGACTTCATCCTTGGCATAGGCCACACATAGCTGTTCCAAGATGGAGATCATGAGTAGGTGTGATGGTACAGACCGCGGTACCAAGGCCGCTTCCTCCTTACCAGGTCCCTCGGTCCTAGTGGACGGCTGTGGGGGCCCATCTACCTCACTCACCAGGTCAGAATCTGTATGCAGTCAAATATACAATGTTATAATGTATAGTAACACAATGTTAAAATAAAGAATTTAAGCTTATACAGTACCTTAATGTCAATGTATGTGAGCAAGCTTCATTTTCAAAAAGATGACAAACTTGAATCATATTGATTTAAATTGATTTCTTGATTGATAACTTTGATAGGAATATTGTTCCATACTGAAGACTGAAAACAGAGTCACACCCATTTCAATATTCTAAATTTAGCTTGGGATTTACAATGTCCCTTTTGAGCACTAGCTTGCAGATAAATTTTAATTACACTCCTGTTTAGATAAAAAAAAAAAAAAAAAAAAAAAAACAAACAAACTTTCAATCCACTACCACTGAAATGGCACTTGGTGACAACCATGCACCTCAAGCTTGTTTAAACAAAAACATTGACTTTAATGGAAACTTATACAAATTAAAAAGTTACATGATTTAATAACAGTATCTTTAGACCAAAATTGTAGTGTCTATCATAACTGGTCACAACCCAATATATTCCATAACCAATCATAACAAATATTCATCAGTTATGACTTATAAACACATATATCTATAGGTGTATGGGCATCGTGTCAGGTTAGACTTCCCAGTTAAACGAAGTCTATTAATTATGAAGGGATTTATAACAGAGTTCATTACATACAGCCACATAGAACCTATACACAAGCATCAATGTTCAGTAATTACCATCAAAGACTCGGATTGGCTTTGGTCTATTGCCTGTGAACTTGAATTCTGACTGTGTCCCGAAGACCAAGCATCCAGCATGTTTCCTCCCATTAGCCATCCGTCTTGTTCATTCAGAGCTAGAAGATTTCCTCTTCCAGTTTTTTCATTGTGTTGTTCTGAAATGTAAAAGATAATTGTTATTGTGCTCCAAATTCTTCCTTTCAACACAACAAAGTTAAAGAAAAAAAAACGAACAAGAGAATACCAATGCAATGTGTCAACAAAACAGTTATTCAAACTCAAAATCAATAAAACTAGGGCAAAATATAAACAACTTAGATTTACTTTGAGACCCTTGATAAAGTATTACAAGGACTTGAAGGAGAATAAAACCAGGCAAGTGGTTGAAAAGGGATAAAGCTGCATTTGTCTTCTAAATGGGGGTTGTTCTTTCAATGAAGTATCGATTGGAACATGGAGTTAAGAAAAGACCATATGGAAAACTTTGATCCTCACTGCAGCTAGTCCAAGTGTCCATATGGAAAATCTTCAGTAAAAGGAATAGACCTCCACACGTTAGGTAAACATCCATGAAAATGAAGCCAATTTCTAGCTTTCAACATATTCTTCACAAATTCTAATATAAATACCTTAAGATAATGATAAATTGTTGCCTCGGACTCAGAGACAATTGTTTTTTAAGGTTTTCTCTAAATTGCACAGAAAGTTTTGGATCTTTCAGAAACTTCTATTTGCCTAAATTCCAAATACTGATGTTGATTATAACCATTGAGAAATGTTACACATCATGTATATATTTTTTCAGACATAGTAATATGTACAGTATGTATATATCTTTTTACAAAAATATGTACTATAGTAAACAATCTAATCAAGTGCTTTAAACTGGTTATAACCCACACAACTGGTCACCTGGATAATGTGCTGGCCATCATCAAATTCAAAAGTCGTTACAATTTGTTTAAACTCCAAATTATTTTCATTCAAATAATAAATATCCATCCTGCACAGTACTGGTACACTAACAGCAAATGAATATTATAAAAGTGGCAATGAACCAAAATTGGTATAGAGGACCGAATTGCTCAATTCATCCCAAAAGTTTTATTTCCACCGTCAACATCAGATCGTACAGACTACCTACTCCAACGGGCAGTAATGTGCCGATGGGTTTCTGGAATTTTCCGTGCACATTCAGCAGATTACAAAAAGCCGACAAATCAATGGAACTCTGTAGAAGGTTTTCAAACATGTACAAGGTGTTGTGCAATAAATCGACGACATGCTATTTTAATCCTCATAGCTTTACGGTCGACTGCAGCACATTGTAAAGTGAGAGATGACACTATTTTTTTAATATAGTTCAGGGTCACTGCTTTCTGTTTCTTATTTAGTAAATGACGCAATGTCCAACGAAAGCCGAAAGGCAATGATAATACAGATAACCGAATTCTACACCAAAACGATTAAAGCGTAGCATGTAAACATTACATTGTTTATCATCATAGGGTTACCGTTCTATCTGCGCCCCTTATCGGCGGTATTATCTGCCGTTTGATACATATAGGCCTACCATAGGTTTCGTTTCCAACGCAGAAAGGGAGATAATCAATACAAAATGCGAAATGGTAAATAGTTACGAAATTTTCTATTGCGCGAAACATTATACACTGAAATAACGAAAAGTTTTTTTTTTTGTCTGTTGAGTGTTTCAAATGAAAACAAATCTTGATTGTACATGGTTTCGGAATGACAAAAATGTATAGATACTGATAAAAAATATAATATTAAGTAATGTGCCTTTTTTTATGACGGCTCTTTTCAAGCCCAGATATTTTGTTACAGCTATATTCGACCTAAACTGTTTTAGGGGTTTAGATCGAATTTCGGTATACGAGTAACTATATGCAAGCAATTATGGTGTTTTTTTTATTTACCGAAAGTCGATTTAAACCCTCAAAATATGTAAAGTTACTCTGAACACCTTAATTATAGTGTATGTCAAAATATTATAAAGCTGTGACAAATATCGTGTCCCTGTTCTAAAGCCTTCCGCGAATCTACAGTACTTCAGTAAATACACGGCTTTATTATAGTTTTATCAGAGGCGTTATACATCTTTCTACTTCTTACATCTTGTATACCAAAGCTCATAACTTTAACAATTAATGATAGCGTCAGATAACATGTTATGTATCTTATATTTCTTAGCACGGCCTTAACGATCTAAGCTTAATATCAGCACGGAATTCCGTGATCTTATTAATTTAAATATCCATTAAAACACACCCAACCTCTTAGTCACTGTATGTATTGAAATAAAACAATCTTTCGAAATGGCTCTATAAAGTAATTACACTATCCGATCCGTTCCCGGTATTTTTTTGGAATCATGGATCACGTGATCGAACAATCAGAGGACAATGGGTTACCACGTGATCCGTTTGTTCCACCACATGACAACGTCATGAGAATGATGTTTACTTTTGGAGACTTTATGAAGCGGGAGTTTTCAATTAAATCTATTTTCAGTTAACGATAACGATTTTCACATTTTACAACTCAACCTAAGCAGCATGGGTAAGTTGTTGTTTTATAAATACTTTCTGCCGACAGGAATTATCATATTCATTTGTGAATTAATGTTTTCCCGGCGGTGGAACTTACGCGTGGGTTAAAAACGTAGGAGCTGAAGTACTCACTTTTCACTATTTAAAGTTCGTCAACTGCATTAATGATTGCGACTTTATTTTACATGCTTTAACTTTCCTGCGGTCGTGATCAAGCACAAATCAACATAAAGTAAGATAATCATGAAAAAGTTTATTAGCATTATGATACGAATCCAAATTAAATCAACTATAGATTTATTTTTTCTATTTAGGTATCCATGCGAGGTATTACCCAAGTGATTGCACGGCTACTTGGGGAAACCAAACATATAAAAGTACAGGAGAACCTAGCAACCAAGGTATCGACCCAGGTACAGATAGGGAACATCTCCTTCACGTGAGTACATAGACATCTACTTCCTTTTGGTATTGTCATTACTTCGATATCTACTCATCTACTTTCTTGTGGTACTGTCATAACTAAGACATCTACTTTTTTGTGGTACTGTCATGATTAAGACATCTACTTTCTTGTGGTACTGTCATAACTAAGACATCTACTTTCTTGCGGTACTGTCATAACTAAGACATCTACTTTCTTCTGGTACTGTCATTAATAAGACATCTACGTTCTTGTGGTACTGTCATTACTTACACATCTACCTTCTTGCGGTACTGTCATAACTAAGACATCTACTTTCTTCTGGTACTGTCATTACTAAGACATCTACGTTCTTGTGGTACTGTCATTACTTACACATCTACGTTCTTGTGGTACTGTCATTACTTTGAGATCTACGTTCTTGTGGTACTGTCATAACTTATACATCTACTTACTGCATGTGGTACTGTCATTACTGAGACATCTACTTTCTAGTAGTACTGTCATTACTTTGAGATCTACGTTCTTGTGGTACTGTCATTACTTAGACATCTACGTTCTTGTGGTACTGTCATTACTGAGACATCTACGTTCTTGTGGTACTGTCATTACTTAGACATCTACTTTCTTGCGGTACTTTTATTACTAAGACATCTACTTTCTAGTAGTACTGTCATTACTGAGACATCTACGTTCTTGTGGTACTGTCATTACTGAGACATCTACTTTCTAGTAGTACTGTCATTACTGAGACATCTACTTCCTTGTAGTACTGTCTTTACTTAGACATCTACTTCCTTGTGGTACTGTCTTTACTTAGACATCTACTTTCTTGCGGTACTTTTATTACTAAGACATCTACTTTCTTGTGGTACTGTCATTACTTTGAGATCTACGTTCTTGTAGTACTGTCATAACTTACACATCTACTTACTGCATGTGGTACTGTCATTACTGAGACATCTACTTTCTAGTAGTACTGTCATTACTTAGACATCTACGTTCTTGTGGTACTGTCATTACTTAGACATCTACTTCCTTGTAGTACTGTCATTACTTAGGCATCTACTTCCTTGTGGTACTGTCATTACTTAGACATCTACTTCCTTGTGGTACTGTCATTACTTAGACATCTACTTTCTTGTGGTACTGTCATTACTTAGACATCTACTTCCTTGTAGTACTGTCATTACTTAGACATCTACTTCCTTGTGGTACTGTCATTACTTAGACATCTACTTCCTTGTGGTACTGTCATTACTTAGACATCTACTTCCTTGTGGTACTGTCATTACTTAGACATCTACTTCCTTGTGGTACTGTCATTACTTAGACATCTACTTCCTTGTGGTACTGTCATTACTTAGACATCTACTTCCTTGTGGTACTGTCATTACTTAGACATCTACTTCCTTGTGGTACTGTCATTACTTAGACATCTACTTCCTTGTGGTACTGTCATTACTTAGACATCTACTTCCTTGTGGTACTGTCATTACTTAGACATCTACTTCCTTGTGGTACTGTCATTACTTAGACATCTACTTCCTTGTGGTACTGTCATTACTTAGACATCTACTTCCTTGTGGTACTGTCATTACTTAGACATCTACTTCCTTGTGGTACTGTCATTACTTAGACATCTACTTCCTTGTGGTACTGTCATTACTTAGACATCTACTTCCTTGTGGTACTGTCATTACTTAGACATCTACTTCCTTGTGGTACTGTCATTACTTAGACATCTACTTCCTTGTGGTACTGTCATTACTTAGACATCTACTTCCTTGTGGTACTGTCATTACTTAGACATCTACTTCCTTGTGGTACTGTCATTACTTAGACATCTACTTCCTTGTGGTACTGTCATTACTTAGACATCTACTTCCTTGTGGTACTGTCATTACTTAGACATCTACTTCCTTGTGGTACTGTCATTACTTAGACATCTACTTCCTTGTGGTACTGTCATTACTTAGACATCTACTTCCTTGTGGTACTGTCATTACTTAGACATCTACTTCCTTGTGGTACTGTCATTACTTAGACATCTACTTCCTTGTGGTACTGTCATTACTTAGACATCTACTTCCTTGTGGTACTGTCATTACTTAGACATCTACTTCCTTGTGGTACTGTCATTACTTAGACATCTACTTCCTTGTGGTACTGTCATTACTTAGACATCTACTTCCTTGTGGTACTGTCATTACTTAGACATCTACTTCCTTGTGGTACTGTCATTACTTAGACATCTACTTCCTTGTGGTACTGTCATTACTTAGACATCTACTTCCTTGTGGTACTGTCATTACTTAGACATCTACTTCCTTGTGGTACTGTCATTACTTAGACATCTACTTCCTTGTGGTACTGTCATTACTTAGACATCTACTTCCTTGTGGTACTGTCATTACTTAGACATCTACTTCCTTGTGGTACTGTCATTACTTAGACATCTACTTCCTTGTGGTACTGTCATTACTTAGACATCTACTTCCTTGTGGTACTGTCATTACTTAGACATCTACTTCCTTGTGGTACTGTCATTACTTAGACATCTACTTCCTTGTGGTACTGTCATTACTTAGACATCTACTTCCTTGTGGTACTGTCATTACTTAGACATCTACTTCCTTGTGGTACTGTCATTACTTAGACATCTACTTCCTTGTGGTACTGTCATTACTTAGACATCTACTTCCTTGTGGTACTGTCATTACTTAGACATCTACTTCCTTGTGGTACTGTCATTACTTAGACATCTACTTCCTTGTGGTACTGTCATTACTTAGACATCTACTTCCTTGTGGTACTGTCATTACTTAGACATCTACTTCCTTGTGGTACTGTCATTACTTAGACATCTACTTCCTTGTGGTACTGTCATTACTTAGACATCTACTTCCTTGTGGTACTGTCATTACTTAGACATCTACTTCCTTGTGGTACTGTCATTACTTAGACATCTACTTCCTTGTGGTACTGTCATTACTTAGACATCTACTTCCTTGTGGTACTGTCATTACTTAGACATCTACTTCCTTGTGGTACTGTCATTACTTAGACATCTACTTCCTTGTGGTACTGTCATTACTTAGACATCTACTTCCTTGTGGTACTGTCATTACTTAGACATCTACTTCCTTGTGGTACTGTCATTACTTAGACATCTACTTCCTTGTGGTACTGTCATTACTTAGACATCTACTTCCTTGTGGTACTGTCATTACTTAGACATCTACTTCCTTGTGGTACTGTCATTACTTAGACATCTACTTCCTTGTGGTACTGTCATTACTTAGACATCTACTTCCTTGTGGTACTGTCATTACTTAGACATCTACTTCCTTGTGGTACTGTCATTACTTAGACATCTACTTCCTTGTGGTACTGTCATTACTTAGACATCTACTTCCTTGTGGTACTGTCATTACTTAGACATCTACTTCCTTGTGGTACTGTCATTACTTAGACATCTACTTCCTTGTGGTACTGTCATTACTTAGACATCTACTTCCTTGTGGTACTGTCATTACTTAGACATCTACTTCCTTGTGGTACTGTCATTACTTAGACATCTACTTCCTTGTGGTACTGTCATTACTTAGACATCTACTTCCTTGTGGTACTGTCATTACTTAGACATCTACTTCCTTGTGGTACTGTCATTACTTAGACATCTACTTCCTTGTGGTACTGTCATTACTTAGACATCTACTTCCTTGTGGTACTGTCATTACTTAGACATCTACTTCCTTGTGGTACTGTCATTACTTAGACATCTACTTCCTTGTGGTACTGTCATTACTTAGACATCTACTTCCTTGTGGTACTGTCATTACTTAGACATCTACTTCCTTGTGGTACTGTCATTACTTAGACATCTACTTCCTTGTGGTACTGTCATTACTTAGACATCTACTTCCTTGTGGTACTGTCATTACTTAGACATCTACTTCCTTGTGGTACTGTCATTACTTAGACATCTACTTCCTTGTGGTACTGTCATTACTTAGACATCTACTTCCTTGTGGTACTGTCATTACTTAGACATCTACTTCCTTGTGGTACTGTCATTACTTAGACATCTACTTCCTTGTGGTACTGTCATTACTTAGACATCTACTTCCTTGTGGTACTGTCATTACTTAGACATCTACTTCCTTGTGGTACTGTCATTACTTAGACATCTACTTCCTTGTGGTACTGTCATTACTTAGACATCTACTTCCTTGTGGTACTGTCATTACTTAGACATCTACTTCCTTGTGGTACTGTCATTACTTAGACATCTACTTCCTTGTGGTACTGTCATTACTTAGACATCTACTTCCTTGTGGTACTGTCATTACTTAGACATCTACTTCCTTGTGGTACTGTCATTACTTAGACATCTACTTCCTTGTGGTACTGTCATTACTTAGACATCTACTTCCTTGTGGTACTGTCATTACTTAGACATCTACTTCCTTGTGGTACTGTCATTACTTAGACATCTACTTCCTTGTGGTACTGTCATTACTTAGACATCTACTTCCTTGTGGTACTGTCATTACTTAGACATCTACTTCCTTGTGGTACTGTCATTACTTAGACATCTACTTCCTTGTGGTACTGTCATTACTTAGACATCTACTTCCTTGTGGTACTGTCATTACTTAGACATCTACTTCCTTGTGGTACTGTCATTACTTAGACATCTACTTCCTTGTGGTACTGTCATTACTTAGACATCTACTTCCTTGTGGTACTGTCATTACTTAGACATCTACTTCCTTGTGGTACTGTCATTACTTAGACATCTACTTCCTTGTGGTACTGTCATTACTTAGACATCTACTTCCTTGTGGTACTGTCATTACTTAGACATCTACTTCCTTGTGGTACTGTCATTACTTAGACATCTACTTCCTTGTGGTACTGTCATTACTTAGACATCTACTTCCTTGTGGTACTGTCATTACTTAGACATCTACTTCCTTGTGGTACTGTCATTACTTAGACATCTACTTCCTTGTGGTACTGTCATTACTTAGACATCTACTTCCTTGTGGTACTGTCATTACTTAGACATCTACTTCCTTGTGGTACTGTCATTACTTAGACATCTACTTCCTTGTGGTACTGTCATTACTTAGACATCTACTTCCTTGTGGTACTGTCATTACTTAGACATCTACTTCCTTGTGGTACTGTCATTACTTAGACATCTACTTCCTTGTGGTACTGTCATTACTTAGACATCTACTTCCTTGTGGTACTGTCATTACTTAGACATCTACTTCCTTGTGGTACTGTCATTACTTAGACATCTACTTCCTTGTGGTACTGTCATTACTTAGACATCTACTTCCTTGTGGTACTGTCATTACTTAGACATCTACTTCCTTGTGGTACTGTCATTACTTAGACATCTACTTCCTTGTGGTACTGTCATTACTTAGACATCTACTTCCTTGTGGTACTGTCATTACTTAGACATCTACTTCCTTGTGGTACTGTCATTACTTAGACATCTACTTCCTTGTGGTACTGTCATTACTTAGACATCTACTTCCTTGTGGTACTGTCATTACTTAGACATCTACTTCCTTGTGGTACTGTCATTACTTAGACATCTACTTCCTTGTGGTACTGTCATTACTTAGACATCTACTTCCTTGTGGTACTGTCATTACTTAGACATCTACTTCCTTGTGGTACTGTCATTACTTAGACATCTACTTCCTTGTGGTACTGTCATTACTTAGACATCTACTTCCTTGTGGTACTGTCATTACTTAGACATCTACTTCCTTGTGGTACTGTCATTACTTAGACATCTACTTCCTTGTGGTACTGTCATTACTTAGACATCTACTTCCTTGTGGTACTGTCATTACTTAGACATCTACTTCCTTGTGGTACTGTCATTACTTAGACATCTACTTCCTTGTGGTACTGTCATTACTTAGACATCTACTTCCTTGTGGTACTGTCATTACTTAGACATCTACTTCCTTGTGGTACTGTCATTACTTAGACATCTACTTCCTTGTGGTACTGTCATTACTTAGACATCTACTTCCTTGTGGTACTGTCATTACTTAGACATCTACTTCCTTGTGGTACTGTCATTACTTAGACATCTACTTCCTTGTGGTACTGTCATTACTTAGACATCTACTTCCTTGTGGTACTGTCATTACTTAGACATCTACTTCCTTGTGGTACTGTCATTACTTAGACATCTACTTCCTTGTGGTACTGTCATTACTTAGACATCTACTTCCTTGTGGTACTGTCATTACTTAGACATCTACTTCCTTGTGGTACTGTCATTACTTAGACATCTACTTCCTTGTGGTACTGTCATTACTTAGACATCTACTTCCTTGTGGTACTGTCATTACTTAGACATCTACTTCCTTGTGGTACTGTCATTACTTAGACATCTACTTCCTTGTGGTACTGTCATTACTTAGACATCTACTTCCTTGTGGTACTGTCATTACTTAGACATCTACTTCCTTGTGGTACTGTCATTACTTAGACATCTACTTCCTTGTGGTACTGTCATTACTTAGACATCTACTTCATTGTAGTACTGTCATTACTTAGACATCTACTTTCTTGTGGTACTGTCATTACTAAGACATCTACTTCCTTGTGGTACTGTCATTACTTAGACATCTACTTCATTGTAGTACTGTCATTACTTAGACATCTACTTTCTTGTGGTACTGTCATTACTAAGACATCTTCTTTCTTGTGGTACTGTTATTACGTAGACATCTACGTTATTTTAGTACTGTCCGATTATTTTGACATCTATAATTTCTTGTGGTACTGTTATTTTCAAATTATTTCATTTCGGAGCCGTCTCACGATGAGATCCAAACTCAGGGTTTTTTCTAGACATATTTTGTATACATGTAACTCTGATCACACACCAAAAGATGCAGATATAAGTCTGTTTCCGGGTCTTCCTTTCTGTGGTCAGTCAGCGTCCATATGAAACTGGAATTAAACAAGTAATATCACATATTGTGTTTGCATATCGACAACTATTTTCTGGTTTTCCGTCGCTGATTTTATTAATAAGTACAATTAATTATAATTTTTATCCTGAAGAATCATTCCCTACTAACGCCTTAATTCCTAGTTATATATATAACTCCAAAAAAATAATATTGATAAAAATAACCGAATTAAATGTATACTTGTTGATAGCATATTAAAGTAACTTGAAACTAAAACGAATGCAGATACGGACTACACGATTTGATATTATTGGTATTCGTGTGGAATACATGTAACAAATGAAATAATTTTTCAATGCTTCCGCTAGGAGGCGAACCCTGGACCCCTGGTTTACTAGACTTAAACGCTCTCCCGAATGAGCTATAGAGAAACGCCCCCTAGCCAAGGCTAGTATTTGACCAGGGTGACATATATTTTTGTACATACCCCGCCCCTTCATTAAATCACAGGTTTCCGTATGAAATCCCCCTTCCGCCCACCCCACCCCTGTCATGCTACGTATATATGTGGCGGATCTAGAGGGCTTTCTTGGGCTTCAGGAAACCCCAAATTTATGGATTTTCTTGTTAAACTATATATTACAGCTCTAGTAATTAGGACTATTATAGAAAACGAACTCAATATTTTATACCCAAAGAGAGACCGCTAGATATTTTTTTAATGAAACAGAGTTATCGTTATTGTGCACCTCTACAGGTCACCCAGCTTTATTAGATCACATTAGTAACGTGCAGTTAATACATGTATAAATCAAAACGCATGTTTAATTTCTAGCCGACAGCTTTCCCCAGGTAGACATTTTGTTGCCCGTCATATGTTTATACAGGTCTACAAAATAATCGTACCTTAACTATTTACATGAAGACAGAAACGACAGTGTTTCCAAATACTCATTTTGTGTACGAATATATATATTTAAAGTACCTACATATAAATAGTGCTATTTTTGTTCACAGAACAACAGAAATGACAAAATGGGAGATATAATTCACGAGATCAACCAACTAAGACAAGAAAACTATGGTCTTGCCTCGCAACTCAATGTAAAGGAAGATTTCAACGGTCATGCTGATATCCTTGAGGAAGTTAATAGACTTCGCTTGATGAATATGAGACTTAAGCTTCTGCAGACCAAACAAAGCTGGAGTGACACCATTGATGCCGTTAAAACGAAACCGGCCCATTGGAACAGTTTCACGAACTCTACAGCTAGAGAATACAGCAGAACTCAGTCACAACGTTTGGAATCGCACGATCGTAGAAAACACCGACCCTGCAAAGATCCGATTTCCACAAAAGACATCTTTGATCGAGTCGACAAATTGGAAAATGATGTTAGAAAAGTCATAAGGAAGTACTCTCTTCCTCAACATCACCAGCATAGAGACACTGGGCCAATATTTCACCACCACGCTGCTTCGCACATTGCTGTGGCAGAAACTAGGGAATCAGTCGACCAATATGCTGCTTCCAAAACCGCTACCAGACACGGCAACACAACCATGACCAGTGTGGACCAAGTAAACACGTTTGAAGCCGAGGCAAAGAGAATCATTGCTGAATATCACAAAACAAAAGAACGGCGTACAAGTGAAATTACAAAGAACAGTGCCAATCGTTCTTCGGTCAGAAATCAGGCTTCCGTCCGGCGCAGGCAAGCAGGACAGGAGTCGTCACTGAGGCATTCCGACAGTAAGAATTTAGAGATCGGTCGTCACAACAGCTTGACAAGGGATTCTCAACGAAACCAGACCAAAGTACCAAAACCAATTTATTGTAGCACACCTAAACCAATTTGCATTAGCACACCCAAGCCAGTGTATAGTAGCAATCAGGATAAATTTTGTAAGCAGCTATTGAGGAACACGGAGCACAGGCAGCTCGGAAGTGAACCAAAACACGACGACTTTCATAGTCAGATATCCTCAGCTGACACTTGCCGATCAGAATATACAGGAGAACACACGGATCAGCAAAGAAAGTATGGGAATTACGCAGTAAGGAACTTTCAACACATTGATGAGCCAATCAGAAAACCTCAAGAACGGCTACACGAGGAAAGATCGCGACTGCCAAGTTCTGAAGACACCGACACCAATTCGTGCAGGGATCAAACTGATGGTGGGTGTATGTTACTGATTGTCCGTCCAACTCGCAGCCTCTCCGGTAATGTTGTTGGGTATGATGTTGCTGAAGACGTGCCTAGAAAAAGCGGGGCAACTAATGAGGAGTTTCAACCAATGGGAGGTAAGGTTTGAGAAATACTAAAATATAACATCACGTAGAATCCCATGTTGCAACAGTTTGGAGCAGTAAATATAAAGAATCGCGCGGTAATATTTAAAACTAAATATTCAGATAGTATTACAGTGGCAATGAGTATGGTATCGTAGCAACTGAGTGCTCAGAAAGGTTGGTTGAAGTAGGATAGGAGAGGGTCTTCATTATTTTATAAGATTAAGAGGTTTCGAAAGGATTTATCTGTTAATGTGACTAAAACGTGAGGCACACTTTCTCCTACCTTCTCTTATATCTTTTAAATATTTTCTGTTCATTACAACGGAGATTCACTAGGATTTATTGAGAAAATTGTGTGGAAGGAAAATCAAGATAAACATACATATATACTGAGCACATTCAGTAATACTATAAAACACTATAAAAGAGGAAATTGTCGCGAGTGGAAATGTTTGCGGTGTGATTCCTTGCGCTGTGGAAATATTTGTGTGGAAACGATTCTTAAATTCGTTATGCGCTATTCTAACTTTAATCTAAATCTAATCTGATAATTTAATCAGCGCGAAAGACCGGAGCATATTCACTTCACGAAAATTTCCAGTTTTGCGGTACATGACATGCATATATGTTTATATATTTATTCGGTATTGTAAATGACATCCGGAATCGTTGCATATGTAACAGATGAATCGGATGACGACCAGAGATACACCAATCAAGAAATAACACTGAAGTTGGACACACCCTTCAAATTCGTGTTACCAACCTCTGGAGGCAAGTCAGTGGATGAAGTGAAGTACAATAACAGTCTGTCATTGAGTATGGCTCGAGAATGGAGAGGTATTTGCGAGGACAGCGTACTGTCTGACAAAGAGCCAGACAGCCATGCTACGTCCACACTAGAATGTGACAGTGACACTCAGTCTTTAACTTGTGATGAGTCTGATGTCCATAAAGGAGATATCGTCAATGACGAGGACCAAGAGCCAGATGTTTATGCAATGTCGACCCAAGACTGTGATGTGGATATCGTTTCTGTAACAGACGAGAAGCCAGCTTGCCAGGTACCGTCCACCGGGGAATGCGACATGGACATTGATTCAGTATCAGAGGACGAGCCAGATTGTCGTACATTGAAAACTTATGTAGGTGATGTCAAAATCGATTCTGTAACGGACGAGGAGACAGATTCCCGCGCACATGGTACAAAAGGTTGGGACAGAAACATTGAGTCTGAAACAGACGAGGAGGCAGATCACAGTGCGCTTTGTGCACAAGTATGTGACGGAAACATCAAGTCTGTAGCAGAAGAGGAGACATATTGTCGCACACTAGATACAAAAGTATGTAACGGAAACATCGAGTCTGAAACAGACGAGGAGACAGATCGCAGTGCACTTTGTGCACAAGTATGTAATGGAAACATCGAGTCTGAAACAGACGATAAGACAGATTGCCATGCTCATGGTACACAAGCATGTAACGGGTACATCGAGTCTGTAACAGACGAGGAGACAGGTCGCAGTGAACTTTGTGCACAAGTATGTAATGGAAACATCGAGTCTGAAACAGACGAGAAGACAGATTGCCATGCACTTTGTACACAAGTATATAACGGAAACATCGGCCTTGAAAGAGAAGAGAAGACAGATTGCCATGCTCATGGTACACAAGCATGTAACGGGTACATCGAATCTGTAACAGACGAGGAGACAGGTCGCAGTGAACTTTGTGCACAAGAATATAACAGAGACATTGAGTCTGTAACTGGCGAAAAATCAGATCGGCAAACATTGCCTAGGCACGTATCGGACATGGACATCGTTTCTGTGACAGACGAGGAAGCAGATTGCCATGCACTAACCACAGAAGTAGGCAATGGGACAATTTTTCAAGCAGATGATGTTTCTGCAGAAGGTATGTTTCTGGACGGTTAATGATAAAAAAAAAATAAAAAAATATTTGATTGGAAATCATGCTGTGAAATTTAGTTTTTGTCTATTGAAAAACAATTTAAAGAACACACAATTCACCTGAATTCCCATTAGAAACTACATTTTTGTTTGTACTATGACTATAAATAACACATTACCTTGCAATATCAGAAGTTACATGTGCATGAAAACGTGACAGAGTATCATTCTTACTAATTTAATTACATTATAAGCTATAATTATTTATTTATTTTAAGGTGGTTCTCTCGAAGAATTAGAACCAGTGAACAACGAGTATGATTCCGGTCCTCAGGCAAAGTACAGAAATATAACCAAATGTGGTGTGATGGACTCAAAACCACATTCCGTCATCGCTGAAACAACGATGAAGGAGGACTCTGTTTGCTGGGGAACAGATACAGATGAATGCACCAGCAGCAAGACGTCCGCCTGGATAATCAACGGAAATCCGGAGGCCTCTGCGAAAGGTATCCATGTCACTGTAAATGAAAGTCTGATATATCAGAGATGTGAAGATATTAATATGATTTCCTCTATCTCTCATCCATTACTGTTAACCTATATACCTGTTACAATAAGACCCCAGGAGTGTTGACTAACTTACTACGTCAAAAACTTCAGAAATACAAAAATGAAAACGTATGTCTGTTTTACACATTGTTACAGGAACAAACGTGTCTCCATTTGCTGATCAAAAGAATGAAGACAGCTTTTGGTTCCCAGTGACTGACATTCCTGATGGTTTCCCAGTCAGAGAAGTCGAGATGACTGAAGTAACCAGGTTCCATGTCTCAGAGTCCGACAGTTCGTGTATAGATTGGAGTGATGACAAGAAAAAGTCCGTTACCACGAACAAACGTGTTGTCCCGGGTATGTACTGTATGGCTAAGAACGAAATAGCATGTCAATTCAGTTTGGAACTTTAACAGTGTAGTAGCACCGTCTACAATTACAAAGTATTATTATTTTGGTACGGTACACTGTACGTGAAACGGAAAAATCATTCCACAACATAGATATACATATAATATTAAAAATTTATTGAAATAAAATCAGTTATGATTCAACTAAGTAGTACATCAAAGAATATATATACTTCAATTCATGAGAATAAGGTCAATGCAATATATCACCACCGATTTGTGGTGTAGACAAGGAAATCGCGACCTGAGGAAAATAGTTCTGTAAGGCCAGAGCAAACATTTGTCTAGTCCTGAAAACGAAAACCCTATCCCGGGGGTTAAATTTCTCTCACAACAGTGATCGAATATGTTTTCCTCATACACTGATTGTCTACATGTACGAAATATATTACTTGCAGATTGTGATACAAAGATTAAAAAGGAATTGGAGAACAAGACATCCTACCCTGACTGGGATAAAGACAGCGATGATTATGAAGGATCAAGGAAGGATGTAGAAGGTAACGTTTGATCTTCATACTCGCTATGGAAAAATGTGTTAGCACCACTGTGATTGAGGTTTTCACCGACATAAATAAGGACCGATGTGTCGTAACTACGTTGACATCATATCTTCATTGAGTTTTAGATGGCATCATTTTTTCAATAGAAATTATTTTAGTGACACCTTTTATTACAACGTTTCTTACAGATATCCTCATGCTTCATGATCACCACAAAAGATCGGAATCAATCTCCAACCCAGACATCACCAAGAGAACCTCAGGATCCATTACTCCTTTGGTCACTGAACTTTCCGACCATGATCAGGCACTTGCTATCAAATCTTCAAAAAACAAACCATCTGAAAAGGATGACGTGTTAGATATCGTAGGAAATCTTACGTCTGGTTCCGACTGGGATAGCGATGGAGACAGCGAACCAGAGAAATCGAAAACTAATGTAACCAATGGAAAATTATCGCCAGTACAAGGTAACATTTTACGTTCATCCATATTATGTAGCTTTATTCTATGTAGTTTTAGATGTACAGATTTGATAACTGGGTATATCTCAAGGATTCCTAAATTCTATAAAATTGTCCGTACTCTGCATACCGATGTCCAGTTCTTCACACCTGAATTCGAAGATATTCCATCAAGCCATAAACCATGTAAAACACCTATCAAACGCCTTATTTTCATAGCTTGAGCTTCATGTTAAGCAGCATGTATCTTTAGGTACCTGCAGCATGACTCTGGGACTGAATGAATTACAAATGGAGGGAACAGGACTAGTTGAGGTCAAGAGTGGATCACACGATTCTGACTGGGACAGTGAAAGCGAGGTTTCAAGAGATCTAGGAGGTAACATGAGTAAGTACATCGTGGAGAAAAAACATCCTTAAATGGGTTTAAAATTATGTTAATTGATTAACTACAATTATTTTTTTACAAACTACACTTTATTCAGTTTTGTTAAGAATTCATGTAGCACGTGCCACTTGCTTATTTTATGTAGGTTATTGTATACGGTGTGGCCATTTCTATTGGATCGAAAACTTCCGCGTGTATACTTTTTACTGTACAAAGTAATTCGATATTGCTTCTAAGTAATTCATAGTTGATTACTGATGTGCTTATAAGTACATATGACTTTGTACCTAATTGGAAAATATATCGTGATACCAAAATAGAAACGCAAGTAAAGGATACAGTCCAAGACAATGCGCAAAATGCAGAAAACCCAAAGCCAGAATTGAATGCACCTGCCCGCAACAATGAGCAGCAAACGCTTGAAGAACTCAATACAGGCTTGGTGAAGGGACACACATCAGCGTCTGATTCTGACTGGGGTAGTGACAGTAGCTCTTTACAGAACGAAAAGAGGACTGCAGTCATTAAACGTAATCTATCATTAACAGGTAAATTGTTCTTTTATTTTGTTGATATACTATACTCCAACGTTGAAGTTAAATATATGCAGCTTACATCATCATTTTGTATTGTTGAACAAGTTTTAAATGAATATATATGACAATAAATAAAACAATGTATTGCCGTAGATTGATATTGCGTTGTACACTAGTTTCTTCCCACACTAAGACCCCCACGCGCTTACATCCGGGCCTACAAGAGTGACTAATATAAGTTGAAATAACTTGTTTCATAATTGTTGAAAAATAAATAAAGTTTATATCATTAATGATATTAAAAATAATTCCGTGAGTAATTGCCCAAATATAGCTCTTAATATTGCGTTTCCTTTTTTTCGTTGCATATTTACAATTTCCGTCTAATTGCATTAAGATATATTGATGCCACAAGACGATCAAAGAAAGCAGTCTGCAAGAATCGTTGTGTGCGAGGCTGAGAAGAAGGACTGTCCCAACACGCCTGCTGCAAAAGAGGCACCAGAAGATGCACAGGATGTTGCGTCCAGTTCGGACTGGGATAGTGAAGACAGTGAATCAAAGAAACCAGAGAGCATTGCATGCAATGAAAGGGAGACGACAGTGCAAGGTATACACATATTGATTTATTGAACGACTTCAATGACAAAGTTACAATTACATTTTCACAGTTAAGCTTTCTTAGTCATGGTATAGTCAGCCTATCCCATGCAGGTGCCGAGGAAATAATTCACCTGGTGTATATCACTGCATGATCGTATGAGGCAACTAATGATGGACATCTTTAATGTTGAGGGCGTTCTTCTTTGTCGTCTGCTCAGAGGACTAGAATCTATAATTGATCTGCTGTACCCATTGTAAAGCATTTTCTACATCCTGCAGCATTTTACTTCAGAGTATCTCTAGGAACACCTACGATATTTATTTCTACCATTTTGCCTTGTATAACGATAGGTGCTCCCTCACTTCGCATGTCTAGCGAATATTTTGATTATGTCATATATGAAAGGCAGGTTTCTTGCATTTTGCAGAAATATTTTTGCGGAATAATAATCAGGAAACATCCCTTATGGTACCATCAATACCAACAGTGAACTACCATGAGCTAGATGTTAGAAAACCCAGTGTCGCATTGAATGGGTACAAATCTGATCACGGACTCGACCCTGGTGGGGTTGCCGGAACACTAACTGTAGAGGGTCAGAAGACTGCATCTGGGTCGGACTGGGGTAGCGACACCGATGAATCGGACGACAAAAAAGGGGACGGAACTCTGTTTCATGGTTAATGCGCTCTTTACTATATTTTTTTTTAATTAAGTGATCTGCGTAAAGCAACTTTTCATAATGAATTCCTGGGTAAGAGATAGGATAGTGAACTTATTAGGGTGAAGTAATTTGATATAATTTAATTAATTACATACATTTTCTAACAGGAATTTCAGGCTAATATAGACTTGGGTAATCATTTTGTCTTTAAACTATACAATCTTTGAAATTGAGATGAGGTAACCCTTTATTTTTTTATTGTTTCTGAGAAAAATAATGTTTCTGCTCAATTAAGGTTTCAATTTATAAAGGTTTAATATAAAAGCTTAACCGTGATAATTTGTCTTTTTGCAGATCACAGAGTGAAGGAATCAGCTACTATCCTTACCATTACTAAAGAGAAACACCCCGCTCTGACGAACAATGATACTTCTGACCACAGAAATATCACTGGTTCCCTAATTGAACTCAAATCATCAGAGGTGAAGACACTTGTTAAAGAAAAGACACCAAGAAAAGAACCACAACAGAGTTCCGACTCGAACTGGGATAGTGACAGCGACCCGTCAGAAGATCAAGCATCAGCACAAGGTAATAAACATCTGCTATCTTGGATACCCTATACAAATATTCTTCAAGTGCTTTAATTTATGTTACAGATCGACAAAATTTCGATAATAATGTTTCTGCTTAATAAAGGGTTCAATTTATAAAGGTTTAATATTAAAGCTTTACTGTGATAATTTGTCTTTTTGCAGATCACAGAATGAAGGAATCAGCTACTGTCCTAACCGTTACTAAAGAGAAACACCCCGCTCTGACGAACAATGCTACTTCTGACCCCAGAATTATCACTGGTTCCCTAATTGAACTCAAATCATCAGAGGTAAAGACACTTGTTAAAGGAAAGACACCAAGAAAAGAACCACAACAGAGTTCCGACTCGAACTGGGATAGTGACAGCGACCCTTCAGGAGATCAACCATCAGCACAAGGTAATTTACAACTGCTATCTTGGATACCCTATACAAATATTCTTCAAGTGCTTTGATTTATGTTACAGATCGACAAAATTTCGATAATAATGTTTCTGCTTAATTAAGGGTTCAATTTATAAAGGTTAAATATTAAAGCTTTACTGTGATAATTTGTCTTTTTGCAGATCACAGAATGAAGGAATCAGCTACTGTCCTAACCGTTACTAAAGAGAAACACCCCGCTCTGACGAACAATGCTACTTCTGACCCCAGAATTATCACTGGTTCCCTAATTGAACTCAAATCATCAGAGGTAAAGACACTTGTTAACGGAAAGACACCAAGAAAAGAACCACAACAGAGTTCCGACTCGAACTGGGATAGTGACAGCGACCCTTCAGGAGATCAACCATCAGCACAAGGTAATTTACAACTGCTATCTTGGATACCAGATACAAATATTCTTCAAGTGCTTTGATTTAGGTTACAGATCGACACAATATCGATAATAATGTTTCTGCTCAATTAAGGTTTCAATTTATAAAGGTTTAATATTAAAGCTTAACTGTGATAATTTGTCTTTTTGCAGATCACAAAATGAAGGAATCAGCTACTATCCTAACCATTTCTAAAGAGAAACACCCTGCTCTGACGAACAATGATACTTCTGACCACAGAAATATCACTGGTTCCCTAATTGAACTCAAATCATCAGAGGTGAAGACACTTGTTAGAGGAAAGACACCAAGAAAAGAACCACAGCAGAGTTCCGACTCGAACTGGGATAGTGACAGCGACCCTTCAGGAGATCAACCATCAGCACAAGGTAATAAACATCTGCTATCTTGGATACCCTATACAAATATTCTTCAAGTGCTTTGATTTAGGTTACAGATCGACAAAATATCGATAATAATGTTTCTGCTCAATTAAGGTTTCAATTTATAAAGGTTTTATATTAAAGCTTAACTGTGATAATTTGTCTTTTCGCAGATCACAGAATGAAGGAATCAGCTACTGTCCTAACCATTACTAAAGAGAAACACCCCGCTCTGACGAACAATGATACTTCTGACCACAGAAATATCACTGGTTCCCTAATTGAACTCAAATCATCAGAGGTGAAGACACTTGTTAGAGGAAAGACACCAAGAAAAGAACCACAGCAGAGTTCCGACTCGAACTGGGATAGTGACAGCGACCCTTCAGGAGATCAACCATCAGCACAAGGTAATTTGCTATATTGGATACCAGATACAAATATTCTTCAAGTGTTTTGATTTAGGTTACAGATCGACACAATATCTGATACTCAAAACAGGTGATATTTTAATAAGTAAAGAAATAATATTTTTTCAAGAAATGACTAGACACTTGTCGTTTCTTACAGATAAGTCGATGTCACACGATGATCAGAGACATCAGCTAGCAAAATTGGTTGTGACCGATATCGAGGAGAAAGCCCTTCCAGTTGTTCCGTTGGCAATTGTGAATGCTGACCAGGGTTCATCTGTTGATCACATCGATAGAATGCACAAAGATCCTCAATTCAGTGATGAATTGCTAGATATGGTTCAAAAGATTGATTTCGATTCTGACTGGGATAGTGACGGAGAAAGTGAAACCGAAAAACCAAAGAGCAGTATTTATATTGAAAAGGATTCAACGCAACACGGTAATAGACAAATACTTATCAGTCATAAGGTTTTTATATTGTAATCCTGGAAGTTCGATGTAACATTTTTTCGAAGATTTCTTTAAAAAAAAAAAAAAAAAATCCAACTAAAATCGATGTCATCTTATAACTAATAGATATGCAAAAAGGGTTGAAAGGAACTTGAATATCTGAAATTAAAATTGTAATTAAATATGTCAGGATAAATAATATATTATTGCAAACTATAGGGTTCCATAATGTTTGATATTCAGATTACTTGAATTTTGTAGCTAATCAGAAATCGTTTTGCGATGGCAATGCAGATATATCGCCTAGGAAAACGGTGGCATCAACTGTGAAATGCAACGAGTTAGATGCTCAGAAACTGAGTTTAGCAACGAGTCACAAGTCACCAGAACAGAGTGAGATATTTGGATCACTACCTGTACAATGTCCTAACTCCACACCTGTGTCGGGCTGGGATAGTGACAACGATGATTCAGACAACATGAAGGCGAAAGAGGCTTTCTTAGAGGGTAAAATGAGTTGTTACTAATTGGTCTGTCACACGTCTCCTAACCTATTAGCTTTATGGTTCACTGTTAATAACGTTAATGGCTGATGTACATAGTATTCTTTCCTGAAGAAAATGTCTCCTTGTCTTTCAAAGACTGAGGGCAAACGATACCATCTTAATTTGAGGAATATGAGTACTGCGTTTTTGTCAAACTTGACATTTTATCGTAGACGAATAAGTTGTGAGCTATCCTACTATTGATGATGATATGTATCCCTTGATTGTCACAACCATTATATACCTGAAACTACAAACAGGAATCTCGGTTTAATAATTAATAATTTCATATTTTGCAAAGTGACTTTATCTTCATCTCATATGAAATTACAATCATGTTTTATATTACCGGATATTGATTGAAGTCTATTTTAGACTTGCATGTTGACTTATATATTTGTTCTTGGACAATGAATTCTTTAAACATCGAAAATCGGGCTCAGTAAAGCACATGTTTCATTTTTTACTTTTATGTATGTTTCATGATTTGTAATCAATCACAAGATGAATACAACTAACAAAATTTAAGTGTAATAATTTTAACTTCCTATAGATCACAGAATGAAAGAATCAGCTGATATTCTAAGCGTTACTGAAGAGAAACACAACCTTGTGTTGAACAATGATATTTCTGACCATAGAAATACTACTGGGTCCCTTTCCAATATGTTAATTGAACACAAATCACCAGAGCAGAGGACATGTATTAGAGATAATACACCAAGAGAAAAACCACATCAGAGTTCCGACTCGAACTGGGATAGTGACAGCGACCTTTTGGAAGACCAACCGTCTATAGAAGGTAAATCACATACCTTTTTCATTAACCATTAATATATAATTGACATCTGTCTAAATTCATTGTCATGAGGGTGATACCTTTAGTGACTACTATTTATTTGTTGACAGATGTGTCGATATCACACGATGGTCAGGGAAAACAGATAGCAAACTTTGCTGCATCCGAAATTGAGAAGCAAGTATTTCCGATTGTTCCGTTGTCAATTGGTGACCATGGGTCAGCTATGGATCATACAGATGGAATACAAAAAGACCATCAATCTAGTGAGGAAAAACCTGCTACAAAAGAGGAATTGCTAGAGTTGCACAGTTTTAATTCCGATTCTGACTGGGGTAGTGATGGGGAAAGTGAACCGGAAAAACTAAAGATCAGTAGTTTTATTGGAAAGGAGTCGTCGCCCCAAGGTAATTAAACACTGAAAGGTTTTATCGAATAGCACATGTCATCTTATTATAAATGTGCATGAACTTTAATAATCTAATTAAATTATGTTTAAAGACAACAAGATAAATGACATAAACTTAAAAACAATATGGATTCTTTAATTCTTAATGCTCGCATGATCTGTATTTTGCAGCTGTTCAGAACTATTAGTATGGGTTATATAAGCCTTGTGTGTTTAAGTCAAATAAGTTTATATTTATGTATGGATTGTGTCTGTGAAAATGTGCGCCTGTTTGTGTATATATGGTATGCATGCATGCATGTATGTATGTGTTGCTTTAAGATGTTAAGGATGATAGAATATGTGCAACATAGTTATGTTAGTCGTAGTAGGCCATTGTGTAATGTTGGTTTGTTTGTGTGTTTGTTTGGTCATATGATGACGGGTGTCTAGGGAGACATCGCAAAAAAGGCCTAGGAAAGTAAGAAAAGAAAAACACTGCGATCCCAAATGTTGCAATTGGGCAGCAGATCAATTTAAGTTTTATTTAATATCCCTTGAGCAGAAGACATTGAAGAAAACCTTCGATTCTGCTGAGAGCACTTCATTGATAGCCACATACAACATGCAGTGGAATGGTGCCCGAACCTGCACAGGGGATTGGTATATGTGTAAATGTGATACTTTCATGTAACCATAATTATCATTCCCTGAATGCACTTGCAACTACCAGCAAAACTCTAACGTTTAGTGAATATCAGTTTGATAGGTTATACTATATTATTGTAATGAATTAAATAAAGAAAAACATGATTGACAGTAAAAATATTGTTTTCCTGCAGATCACAAAATGAAGGAATCAGCTGTAATCCTTTCCCTGACAAAAGATAAACACAACTCTCTGACGAACAATGATATTTCTGATCACACAAATATTACTGGATCACCTTCCAATATATTAATTGAACATAAATCGTCAGAAGAGAAGACAGCTTTTAAAGAAAAGACATTAAGAGGAGAACCAAAACAGGGTTCCGACTCGAACTGGGATAGTGACAGCGACCCTTTGGAAGACCAACCGTCTATACAAGGTAATTGACAACAGACAGATATTCTGCGAAGTGCTGACGTTACTAATCTACAAAATATCTGTCACTCAAAACAGAATGATTAGATACCTTTTCATTAAGTTAATAGATAATATCTAACTAGGAATTGACTGAACACATTGTCATGGTAACAACCTTTTTAGAGATACAATTGATTTTGTCGTTTTTTGTAGATATGTCGATGTCAATCGATGGTCAGGAAAGACAGTTAGCAAACATCGCTATGTCCGATATGGAGGGGAATGTTCCCAATGTTCCGTTAGCAGTTGCTGACCATGGCTCAACTGCTATTCCTACCGATGGAACACACCAAATACACCAATGTAGTGAGAAAAACCCTACTACAAAAGATGAACTGCTTGATATGGTACAAGACATTGATTCCGATTTTGACTGGGATAATGACGAAGAGAGTGAAGCAGAAAAACCGAAGAGCAGTAGTTTTATTGGAAAGGATTCAACGCAACACGGTAATCCGTCATTGTATAGTTTTATGCAATAAGACATGTATTCAATGGTCATAGGGTTAACAAACTGTGATTCTAGAAATTGATATAAACTTTGGAAGTTCAGATACCGGAACGAAATATATCGGCTGATATTGAATTAATTTTGATTTCATTATTAATTTATGTACAAGAAGAAAGTTTCAATGGAACTTGGAATAAGTGTAATTAAATGGTAATGTATATGACCAGACAAAAGAGGAAACGAATTTAACAAATGAATAGATTCTGAAGTTTTAATTTATGATTATGTGCATTTTGTAGCAAATCAGAAATCTTTCTGCGATGATGATGAAGAATCGTTGGCATCAAGTGTGAAATACGAGTTCGACCATCAGAAACCGAGTTTAGCACAGAATGCATGCAAATCTGATCGTAGATCACCGGGACATCGTGAGATAACTGGAAAACTACCTGTAAAATATCCGAATTCCGCACTCCTATCGGAAGGGGATAGTGACAGCGATGATTTAGATGACAAAAAGTGGACAGAAGCTTTGTTAAACGGTAAACGGATTGATGCCAAATGGGGCTTTTTACAGCCCAACACCAATTATAAGTAAATTTATGCAGGAAAACACCTGCAGGTCAGATGTACATAATAGTCTCACCTGAAAAATGTTTATTGGTCTTCACGAAAAAAACTTTCTGGTGATCACGAAAAATGATTACGTTTGGCAATACAATCTTTTAGTTCAGATTTTGCATTAGCTGAAATTGGTATCAAAAAGGAGTACGTCTTTAAATCACTACTGTTATGCCAGTTTATTGAGGTACTCGTCTTTCCCACGTTTCAAAGAAATGTATAATTAATTGACAAGTCTTTTCTCTTCAAGATATACTTGCGCATTCTGAGGACCATGGAAGGAAGGAATCTTCTGTCAACGCATTCACTAACAATGATACAGATATTGGTCTGGCGGCTGCAGACAGATATGATCTGGAAAACAGAAACGGATCCAAGATATATCCAAATGAAGCATTGGATCAAACTGCTTTAGAATACAAACCTGCTGCAAAGGATCAGGAGTCACGAGACGACAGTTTTGACGGGGATAGTGATGGAGACAGTGAGCCAGGGAAAAGTACTCCGTACGGAAAGGATGCATCGGCACAAGGTAGTACTTTGTTTCCTGGCTCGAAAAAACTCCATTCCGGGTTATGACAATTCACCTTATGGTACAGCAAAACTTCATTGTAATGTTTTTCGGTTTCATGATTGTCACAGTATTATACTCGTATTTCTTCCACCTCTTTTTTCTCAACAATTTCTATGAACGTGTCTTTGATGACCGCCAAACTATTTCATAACGTATCTATAGTTAACGATGGCAGTATAACGAGGTTTTCAAAATGACATTCTTTTTTCTTTTTTAAGAATTCACAGAGAAAGGTCCTGATAACAGAAGGAAACATTCCCCAGAATCAAATATCGCTGGAAATGCGACCAAACAGGACATACCATCCCCCAAAAGAATATCTTTCCCTGAGATTGATGAGAGCAGTCAATATACAGAAGAGGAAAATGTTGTAATCGGTGGATTTTCAAAAGATTCGAAAGAAAAACAGTCTGGATGTTTTGAATCCAATCTTTGCGATTGGGACAGTGACAGCACCACCAGTGATTTAAATGAAGTAGGAAACGAAGATCATCTGAATACATTGGTACGCCAGGACACACCTAGTTACAAGGGGTGTTCTAATGAGGATCTGACCAAGGAAAACAAAAACATTTCAAAATTCGTCGCTAAAGATGAACCTGATAAAGTTGAAATTCACCAGAGTTCTGACCCTAGCAAGGATATTTATTACGTGGCTGATACAGTTGAAGTTATAAGTCTGATACCCGAACAAAAGGAAAAGAGGAATGCTGCAAACAGCCCAAATCCTGAGTCAAGAAGAGCATCTGATCGTGATCAAATAGAAGTAACTTTATCTCAGAAATTGGATGAGTCGACAAAATATAGGCACAATGCTGGGATTGAAAGATCGGATGACGAAGATATTTCATGTATTGATTTAATGGACTATAACTCTGACTTGGAGGCTAGAAGCATTTCATCAGTTGGAGGTAACAACATTTTCTGATGCTTTTAAAACTGATCGGTTTTAGAATATTGAGATTTTTTTGTTTTTGTTTCATTGAATGATTAATGAATATTATTTATATACCTGAACGTTCTTCATTCAGACTTTCAGGATGATAGCTGTGCTGGTTCTTCAAACGAAGAGATGCCCACAAACCATGCTTTGGTTCGATCGGACAGATTAGCAAGAGGAATTCCATCTATAGACGGTAATAGTTTATGTTGTTAGTTTATAAAAAAAAAAACACTTAAAATAACAATGCAATTTGTGTAACCAAGGCAGAAGTGTGCTCATATGATATTGATCTTATCTCTATTTTATAATTCTTAACTTTCCTTAACTTTATTGGGAGGGGATCGACTAATTTGAGAGTGGTCAGATGGCGCAGTGGATAGTGTACTCACCATTCACCAATACGGCCTGGATTCGATTTCCAATTAGAAGTTAAAAGGTAATTGGTTACCTGCGCAGTTTTCTACCATATTTAGAGTCTCTGTGCGCTTCCATCCGGGCCAACAAGTGCGATTTATGTAAACTGGAAAAAATGTTGTGTCATAATTGTTATAAGATAAATAAAGTTCATTGATTATTTGCTCATCCACCGTAACATTACTCATGATCAGGAAAAGATTGCTGTTATGTAAGGAAAATTATATGGGTTTCAGTTTTACCATCCAATCTTTTTAAACATAAAAATATTGGGGAAATGGTTTTTTTTCCTGCAAATATGATATTTCCCCCTTTTTTAATTTTGCAGATTTCCATGGTTACACGTATGAGACATCATCAGATGACGATCGAATTGAATGCAATCATCATGAAATGAAAAGAGGGCTCTTAGGCAATAAAACTGGTGTTCAACAAAATAATGTATCAATGCCCGATTCCTCTGGCCCCTTTCAGATAAATGAAGATCCCGATACAGACTATGTACCCAAGACAAAAAACAGTGATATGGCGTATGAGAATGACGAAGTCCGCAATTTTCCTAACGTGAGGCTCAAAGATATTTTTGTTACTGGCAAGGATACAGAAACAATAACAAATAGTGATCCTGTCCAAGAAAGAGGCATTTCCGTTTTGGATTTCAACGACGACAGCAACAAGTTATCGAAGGCTGAGCTTGTTGAAGAAGTTGATGAACTCATTTTCGAGGACAACTGCGGTACTGGTGCCCAAACAAGACCAATGAGCAAACAAGCCCCAGTAGCATGCATTTCAGATTTAGATTTTGATGAGGGCAGCAGAAATGTAACAAAAGCGAAACATGCTGAAGACGCTAAATCATCAGACGAAGATTTCAGCATTCCTTGTATCTACCTAAGTGATGATATTTCAGGATTGAGGAATGACAACAACATTTCTTCCGATGGAGGTAATACTATTAAACAAAATAGAGAAAACTGTGCATGTCCCTTTTAAAATGTAAACAAAGACTGCATGCTCTTATTATTAGAATGAAATAGACGGTAACATGTAGTTTTCTTGCTGAATAATTTGCTGCTATGTAACTGCACTTACACTTTTGTTTTACAGATTTTCAAGATTACAGCTATGAGAGCTCGACAGATGAAGACATACTAGACCGCAAAGTTGAGGTGGATATTGCATCCAGCAGAAAATTAACTTATGAAGAATCTTCAAACATAGATCTTACGAAGGATGGCCATGATTTCCTTTTGGACCCCCAGTATGATACAGGACCACCCGAGTGCAACAACACTTACAGGAGAATCAAAGGTGAGATATGTAGCGTTTCTTTTCTCCCAATGATTGCAGATATATGATACCCTGATGATAGAATAACTTTATACATTTTCATAGTACTAAACTATCGAGTTTTTCAATGGTACGATTTACACTGTTAAGAAGTTACTTTACTGTATTATCATTTGAGATGGCTATCACTCATTATTATCACGTCATATGATAACACGACTCTTAAACTCGTTTCGGTTTGATCTATTTTTTATGAAACCCATTGAGCTCCTTTATAAAACATTATATAATCGAAAGGAGCTTGCTATACTTTTCCGGATTAGCAGATTCTGAAGTAATCCGGTTTCACTGCTATATATTTAAAACAATAAAACGTAAGTTAGGTATTTTCATTCTGAATAAGATGCGTGAACAATATAACCTATTTATTTGTGACATTAAATTGTTGTATGACTTAAAACCATGTTATTTCCTTGAAGATGTTCTGTTTGCACCTAACCTAAGTTCTGACCAAAGAGAAATTTTTGACGGTACCCCAACAACAGACACGAGCATGAGAACAGCTATGACATCAAACTTTATGACGATTTTAATGAAGGAAGAAGATGATCGGAACACTTCTCACTCTCATCTCAACGAAAGTAATAACAGCAAAGATCATGATAAATCACCAAGGCGTGACAGCAGAGACCAGGATAACCTGTCACCAGGTGGCGCTCTGAAGAAATCAGCCGGCTTATCATCGGATATTACGGAATCACACCGTTTGGAGGTCGTCTCTCCCGAAAAGACTGACGATGTCGTTGGAATTTCCCCGTTTGATCTAGGCTCCTACCTAACATATTGTAACTCAGGCAAAGAGCAACTCGTCCAGAATCAGTACAGGAAAGGTACTTGTAATTTTCAACTATCATATTTTCACTTCATGATCTATGTTTTAAGTAACCGGATTTCGTAAATATTAAAGACATGCTCACAATTTGGCAGTACATATCATGATGAGTATTGCTTGTGGGACTGGTAGCATGCACTATCAAAGGACATTTAGTTTAAGCTTCAATAGTTAATGGGAGTTCATGTAGCATACCCTGACTTTAACTTAGTGTGACAATTCTGTAATGTCAAGATATTAAGGTTCATTTCTCTGTAAAAGTAATATACTAATCTCCCGCAATTAATATTGACGGGAGGCCTTTGTAGCTCAGGAAACGTGCAAAGCACTTAGTTTTGCCCGTGTTCCAAGGTTTTGTTTCTTGCGCGGTTCCTATTGTTGTCTTACAGTATCAGTTGGGTAATCTGACTTTGCCGTTGTGTGCTAACGCTTTTTGTAAACTGCCGACTTTTCTAAATATTTTAATTTGTATTAATCAGTTTATACTATGTCATTTGCAATTCTATGATTATTGACGCATTGTATTTGTGTTACGTAGATTCCTACTGATACTTGTATTTCTATAATTTTTGTGTTTTATTTTTCTTTGATGTTTTTCGATTTCAGATTTTCAACCGTCGCATGATGACAAGATTAAAGAAGAATCCATTGCCACAGAACATAACAATACAACAATTCGTGATGAAAACGTCAAACGTAGTACCTTGAGTAAACGTTTTACAACCAAGTACCTGTCAAAAAAGAAAGGTAAGTCATTACCACTGACCACACACAGTGAAAAACCTTATAAACCAGGCATTCAGCTATGAAGTGCCAGTTTGTTGTATTCAAGATCATTGTATTTTATCAATGACATTTACTCTAGAATCGTTCTGTTGATAAGTAACAGTGTAATAAATGTAATTCAATAATATTGACTTTAAGATGTCTGTACATGTGTTTAACAGTCTGCGGTCAGAGGACTAAGAGTTTTGCACTATATTCTGATTTCGAAAATGTGTGGTTTTTTTTTTTATCTTTCCATTGTATCCTAATCACAGTTTTAAAGGTTTATGTTTTCTCTTTTATACAGCGTCAGTTGGTGCGAATGTCTGTACAACTGAACGAATAATTGCTAACGGCGATGCCAACATAACCGATCAGTGCCAGAAAACACCACTGGTCAGGGAGAGACGGTACACAGCTAAATACTTAGCCAGACACAACACTACAGGTACCTTATTTGTATCATAACTCTTGTTTAAGTTTAACACAGCTAAAACCTTTTTTTATACATGTATCATATTCATAAAGTATAATGTCTGTGCGATATTTATACAGTTTACATAAAATTTATTGATTTTCAGAGAGCGGAATCAAATAGTTATGTTTTATTTACACAGGAGTAATACATATTTTACCAAAAGAGACCGTAAACTGTTAATATATCATTATAAGACATTTATTTCTTCCCTTATTAGATATTCAGCGGTTATATAAAAAAGCTATTAATTGAATTGTTTTCAGATTATACTGTACAGAAATATGTATGTATCATTGTTATACAATTATAATGCTGTTTCCTATCTATCTTGTATAAGTTAGTGTTGTTTCATAATTATACACTGCTTTCAAATGTAGATAGTTATAGTACCTTTTATCATAGTTATACAAGTATACCTTTTGTATTTTTTTATTATTTAGTACAGTGTCACTTTATTTTTCACAACTGCGTTACATTTCTCACATTTACAATGATTAAAGCTTACGAAGTATTTTACACACATTAAATATTCACAGCTCCTCTTGAACCCTTTCCAAGGAGTTCCGATGGTACTCCTGATGTTAGAACAGAACAAGAAGCAGGTTGTCAAGATTCTCAACCAAATGCATCCCACAGGAGTCGCCAGTTCACCGCTAAATACCTGGCCAGACGCCATGATCAGGGTATGTCATTTACAGTGTTGTGATTGAAAAACCTCGATTGGCGACAATCTTCAATGCATGCACAAACAAATTAACCATAAATAAATAGAACAATAATCTCTGTTATATTACAAACACCGATGAATTCTTTGTTTAGAACCTCTGTATCCAGCTGAACACCTCGAGGAGGATGCAACACTACGTCCAGACGGCAATGATGGAACTCCGGATCACATCGAAGAAACGCCTAAGCATACTGTTATCAAAAACAGATATTTTACAACCAAATATTTGTCAACACGTCCAAACAGAGGTTAGTTATGTTTGATTGAGTAGGTTTAATTTTCCACAACTAAAGATAATCTTTTTATTATATCTCGATAGCTCTCCGTTGTCATGTAAAGGAAGGAAACGAGAAACTTGCGTTCTTTAGCAACATCAACTATAAAACGAATAACTATACTCAACCCTTCAATTTTCAATATCAATGCAGGGATTATTTCAAAAAGATAGAACAGTTATAGCTTTATGTTGAATATGATAAAATTGTAGCGAAAAACCTATAGTGACGTTATCTTACAGTTTTGCTAAAAGATATATTAATGTGCCAAGATATGTAATGTACATGTGGGAACGATCACCATTTTGAAATGTATGATCTGTTTCAAATAAAGCATTTGAAAGTTGCTTTATCTAAATTCAACATTGCTGTCCAGTTGTAAAAGATAGTGTCATTTTTGTAGATTGTGCCCACATTAATGTACGGTTGTAGTTTACAACCACACGTGCAGTTAATTCAATGTCGGGTTATCCGACCTTTTCCGTGTTAATTGCAGAATAAAAATATTTCTTTTATCGTCTGTGATAGGTGATGTAAAAGATAGTCCAACTGAAGCGACTAACCCGGACACAATACGGTACAGGAAGGACATTCCAATCTGTGGATCTGACAGCGGAACCACTGGTGGCTACAACAGGAAGGAAATCCCACGCCGTGGTACTCGCTGCAGCACCACTGATGCCTACCACAGGAAGGAAACCCCGCGCCGTGATTATGACTGCAGCGACACTGATGCCTATAACAGGAGGGAAATCCCTCACTTTGCTACTGCCTGTAGTACTATCGATACATTCCAAAGGAGGGAAACCCCACGCCGTGGTACTCGCTGCTGCACCGATGATACTTACAACAGCATCGCTGATACTCACTACCGGACGGAGACCCCGTACCGGGATACTGACTGCATCAATGCTGATACATACTTCAGAAAGGAAATGCCATGCCGCAGTACTGATTACCAAAATCCTGGTTCCTACCAAAGAAGAACCATTGTATAAAAGGGTAGCTTAAACGTAATGGTAAATTTCACATTATTAAAACGGTACATTTTACGGTAAAATATATGGATCTTTCAATTGTAATCTATGCATTGTGACTGGAGAATGGACAGATTTATTAGCTACCTCATGCGAATCAAACACCGAGCCTTAAAGAAGAGAGAACAGTCTATTGATATATATATATATGAAATAATATGTAACCTACATATATTATTGATACAAAAAGGGACACTATGGTATGGATGTATCTCCATTTATTGTTGATACTCATCTCGATGCAGTGATAGTCTAGGATAATGTTTAAATGAAATATGTTGTTATTTATCGACGGTATCAATCTTAACGGTTGATTCGTGGGATTTTATGAGGTATCTTATGATATTCGTTATATAACATTGGTGTTCTTATTATGTTTTTGTATGTCAAACAAAATAATAAATATGTAATAAAAACCATGTATTATACATAGTGTGTTTTGACATTGGTCAATCATCACAATTTGACAGTCTCACTTACAAGTGTCTGACTACGGATATAGGTCACAAGTTTATGGATGATTGGTTCATCAATTGGTCATGAATGTTAAACTTACGTTTTCAATTGGTACACTATAGTGTTAACCATGTATGGTAACAAATTTACTACCTAGTAGTCGGTGTGGTTACTTCGTCAAATCCTTGTAGTGAAGAAATAACGTATTCCTTAGTTTGTATGATAATTTCGATTAAACTCATTCATTGTCGAGATAACTCAGTCATTGCATAGTAGACACCAGCTGGTAGTAATACATGAGGCAGCTTTATTATAATTGGATAAGGAAACTTTAACAGCATACAACAGAAACCCTTGCCCCTTTGTAGGTGTTAAAGAGGGTCATACAGATAACGCAGCGATATATGTCTTGTAGTAATAGTATATACGTGCTGTTCTATGGCTTCGGCGTCCAACGTTCTGTAAGGCATGTCCCAAATCTCGGTTCACCGATATGTGTGAGGTTGCAGCTGTTGCATGGAATTTGATAAACCATCTCTGTCTTGTTTTCCTTTTGCATTGACCGTGGGGTGGAATTGGTGAAATATAGCCGTCCCCCTGCATGTCTGCAGTATTAAAGTGCTATTTTGACGAAATGTCTCGATATTATTCGGACACCTTACTCGGCACATTGTAGTTACGTGTGTTGTTTTTCTGCAGGATAGTCTAGACACCGGCCACTTGCACTCTTTACTTGAGAAAGGACATTTTTTTTGAACGTTTGTGGGTTTTTAATAACTGCTTGTGTCCGATAAACTTGCTTATAGTATTATTACCAAACTGATGAATCTCATTTAAAATACACTCTGGCTATTTGTAGATAAAACAAAAGTAGCTGGTGTCGCATCGATTGTAGGTTTGTATCTGCCAGCCCTCTTTAACATTTAGGTTGTAAACACTTGCTTGAAAGTACAATGTATCTAATCCAACAAAGAGTGATGCTAAATAATAACAAACATGATGAAGTTTTTAGAATGCTATAAAGTAACTTTTAACGGCACACAAGGCGGCCTCATTTGAATCAGACAACACAGGAAAGGACCTTGTCATTTTCTCCATTGATGGAGGGCTGGTGGTAGCAGATTGTCAGACGCCTTAACCACACCAGCGTGAAGTATCCCAATATTGAATAAGTAGCCAACTCACACTGGTCTTAACAACTCGGTCACCGCGGTCCCTATTCGCTATACAATACCAATGGATCAATTTATAAAGTACTACTAACTACAACGTATCGTCCCTGCTGTGTCACTAGCAAGTGTAAGTAAGAAGCTTACAAATTCATTTTCATTGTGATGTTCATTGATTCTAAATTTAAGTCTTCAGTTCTTGAAAAATAGTAACAGTTGTGTGAATGCATTAAGCGGTTGCTGTTCTCGTATTGTGGCGTTTTATTTCCAATAGATTTGCGGATATCAATGATTACATATGGTAGTCGTTAACCACCTAGTGGAGGTTTATATCTAAAGGACGACTAGATAACTCCGTTCACCGTAAGACGTTAATTCCTTACAGTCGGTGAGATAGCTTCTTCAGTAGTAGACACTAACAAAATGTCTGTAAGATACATCTAAATTCGTTAATCCCTCCCTAGTAGTGGCGAGATAAGTTCTTTTATTTCGTAAGGTAACTAAGTCACTCCCTAGAAGTCAGTGGAACACTTATTATACGTAGTCGTAAACCCTATAGTGGATAAAAGTAATTCGGTAATTCAAAGGAGTCGGTAACGTAACTACTCAATCCGTGAAAGTTGGCGAGGAAACTTAGTCAAGCCGTAGTCGTCAATTTGGTTACTTCGTTAGTCCTAAGTGGTCGGTGAAGTAACTTCCTTAATCCCTAGTAGTCAGTGTGGTAAGTTCGTTAATCCTTTGTTGTAGGTGAGGTAACTTAGTTAATTCCTTGTTGTCGGTGTGGCTTTATTAGCTCGTTAATCTCTAGTAGTCGCAGTGGTAGGTTCGTAAATCCCTTGATGTAGGTGAGGTAACGTCGATAATCCCTGGTAGTCGGTGTGACAAGTTCGTTAATCCTCTGTTGTATATGAGTTAACCTCGTGTATTCCTTGTTGTCGGTGTGGTAAGTTCATTAATCCACTGTTGTAAGTGATTTAACTTCGTTAATTCCTTGTTATCGATGAGGTTATATTATTTCGTTAATCTCTTATAATATAAACTTTATTCATTTTACAAGAATTAGTACAGCTTATACTAATAAGTTTTGTTGGCCCGGATGTTAGTGCGCGGGAGTCTAAGTGCGGGAAGTAACCGGAGAACCCGGAGAACACCTAAGTGACGCCTACCTTTTCACGTCCGATCGGAGAACACCCTAATCTCTTGAAATAGTGAGGTAACTTCGTTAATCCCTGGTAGTCAATGTGGTAGGTTAATTAATCCTCTGTTGTAGGTGAGTTAACTACGTTAATTCCTTGTTGTCCGTGTGGTAAGTTTCTTTATCCTATGTTGTAAATAAGGTTACTTCGTTAATTCCTTGTTGTCGATGTGGTTACTTCGTTAATGCTCTGTTATAGGTGAGGTAACTTCGTGAATTCCTTGTTGTCGGTGTGGTAAGTTCATTAATCCTCTGTTGTAGGTGTGATAAGTTCGTTAATTCCTTGTTAATCACTTATAATATTAACTTTATCTATTTTAAAACAAATATTTAAGCCTATACCAATCATTCTTGTTGGCTCGGAAGTTAGCGAGCGGGGGGTCTTAGTGTGGGAAGAACACCTGGTGAAAGGCAATAGCGCTATCCATGGCACCACCCGACCACCGTAATCTCTTGAAGTAGGTGAGGAAACTTCGTTAATTCTTTGTTGTCGGTGTGGTAGGTTCGTAATTTCTCTGTTGTAGGTGAGGTACCATCGTTAATCCCTGGTAGACGATGTGGCAAGTTCGTTATTCCTCTGAATTAGGTGTGGTAACTGCGTTAATCCCTGGTAGTCGGTGTGGTAATATCGCTAACTATCTTAAGCAGGTGAGGTAACTTAGTTAATTCCTAATATCGGTGTAATCCCTTGAAGTTTGTGAGGTAACTTATTTAATCCCTGGTAGTCGATGAGGTAAGTTTGTTAATTCTCTGTAGTAGGCGAAAAAACTTCGTTTATTCCTTGTTGTCGGTGTGGATAGTTCTTTAATCCCTTGAAGTAGGTGAGGTAACTTCTTTAATCCCTGGTAGTCGGCGTAAATCTTCTGTAGAAGGTGTGGTAACTTCGTTAATTCTTTGTTGTCGGTGTGGTTAGTTGTGAATGTCTAGAAGTCGATGAGGTTTCTTTAGAAATCTTCTGTAGTATCTTTGTTAATTCCTAGAAGTCTTTGAGATAACTTCGATAATCCCCAAAAGTCGTTGAGGTAACTTCGTTAATCTTGGTAGTCAATGACATTACTTCGATAATGCCTAGATGCCGTTTAAATAACTTCTTTAAATCGTGGCAGTTATTGAAGATATTTAAGCAGCCCCTTGTAGTATGTGAGATAAATTTGTTAATTCCAATTAGACGTAAAGGAAACTAGGTCATTCCATAGGTGACCCTAATTCGTAGTTGTTCGGGAAGCAACTTCGTTGTTCCATATTAGTCGATAAGGTAACTTTGCCGCTTTGGATGAAAGGAGATGTAAACAAATATTCAACCCTATGCAAAAGAGGTGCTTATGATAACAAATATGACGAAGTATTTTAATATGCTATTAAGTAATTTTAATGGCACACAATGCAGCCTCATTTGAGACAGACAACACAAGAAAGGACCTTGTCATTCTCGTACGGAGGACACTGCAGCGAACCACAAACCGTCCGCACCTGATAAAACAGCTTCCCATTACCATCTGTGTTACCACCGCCTGTCAGAGTCTGAGGGGTCCCGTCAACACAAACGTATTGGGTCGCAGCAGAATGGCTATAAGCACCAGCCGACAAAATCCCGTGGTAGGCTTCCTTCCATCCAGGATAGCACGAAGTCCGGGCTGGGATCATGATTGAAGTGGAGTGGGTGGAGCTCCTACACACAGCACAGGGGACGTCTTCTTTGTAGTCAGGCATTCCAAATAGAATGGGATCTTCGTACTCAGCTCCGTACATATAAGCAGGAGCGTAGGTACGGATGTCTTTATGTGGTCCCCAAGTCGGGTCCGGAGGTAGACACACGTACTCTGCTGCAGCACCAGACTGTTGATAATTGGATCCACCGGTGTAACCTTAAGAGGAAATATATTATTGATTTACGTACTGAACTGCACAAGTTTAGATTTCTGTAAATTAATATCTTAACACTCAAAACAAGAACTTATATCATCTATCATCACCGAATTTTAACTTGTTATTTGAACATCAATGTTTACATATTGATATTTTGTCGCCGAAATGTTAGGTAAGTCTGATAGATTATTAAATTTGCTATGTAAGATCGCCTTAATGCAAATTTGAAAAGGTCACATGTTGTATATTGTATGTGAATTTTTTTATACTGTATGCACACAAAACATTTTTTTTCAAAAGTTTGCCTCCCATTGTCTGTAACCCAATTCGATGTGCAACATTTCACCAGATACCAGTTTAAAGGAATGTAATGATATGACATTCAATAAGTCTATCACGAAACATAATTATATTGCAATTATTGGTCAAGCAAAATACTAAACAATAGTTGCATTGTTCAAAACTCAGCATAGACTGATAAGTGATTTGGTGACTTATTGGTGTACCTCCTCCGTCTTTATTTAAAAGTCCCCATTTAGAGGGGCTTATGTTGCCTCTCTTGTAGTTTTGATGACTAATTGGTATATGTTTACTTTAAGCACGCTCTCTCTCCTACAACTTACACTTACCCGAGTAGACCAGCTCTGTAGTATTTCCATCTGAACAGTCCTTCCTCCCCCACCGAACGTACACAGCACCCTTGTCACCTGTAAAAGATTATATCAACATCCATCAGGACGAACTTATTCTCCTTATATCTCTCTTACGAGGCTGTTCAAATAAAGAAATAATATGATGAATCCGCGGTCATTTAGAGAAAATAAGTTTAATAAAAAAAAAAGAAGTATTTATTTCAAGGTGTAATAAAATAAAAGAGAACACTATTTTGGTATTAGATTAAAGAATAATTTCCTTGGACCAGAGTCCTAATCAATATTGTTCCGGTCTATGTGAGTAATGACACTATGAAATGTTACCATGTAAAACTGACATCCTTCCTGACGAAAGTAAAGGGTTTTAAAACGCATAAATGTTTTCATTTTTGTGTAATTCTTATTTATAATTATATAATTTAATCTGTTACAAATACAGGACCGTTCAATCACTGCAGGACATCGAGACCGGGTTAGATTCAGCTGTATGCATCACGAAGCAGGGAATAATAGAATATCTCATCTCCTTTAGGATGAGATAGGGGAATCTGAACCCGAGGGCGGGTATTTTAGGTTGCGAACACGAGGCTCTGCCGAGCGTTTGGCAACGTTAGAATCTAGAATCTTCCCCCGAGGGTTGAGATCCAAATTACAAATCTCGCCTCAAGGGGAGGGGAGGGGGGGAATAATAGTACCTTACAGGCTAAATACAGGGTTGAGGAGACGGTGATGCATTGTCGACTTGTCGTATTACAATTGCTATGAATAGGGGATCCCCCCCCCCCATCTCAATCCTGTGGTGAGACAAGGATATCTCACACAGGGGAAAGTGTGGTTATACCTCTCAACAGTAAGAGAAACAGAATGTCATTGATGAGACTACATAGTTTCCACGCAGAATAATGACTAACATATGTGTAACGCTGAAATTTAATTACTTTATTTCGCATATCAAACATACTTACCATGAGTAATTTGTGTTTGAAGAGCGTCGACCTCTGATTTGACAACTTCGTACTCCTGTAGTTTGACCTGTATTTGGTGAAGCTCGTTTTGTAGGTAGTTCGGATCGCTTAGCAATATCCGTTTATTCTTTTCACCATTTGGGACTTCAGACTCCTTCATACACGATTCTGTTTAATGTTTACATGAGTTAGAAAATTAATATTATGTTTCATATTGTTTCTCATTACATTGTTTCAAATTTAAAGATCAGGATTTTCACACGTGAGTAAAACAATCGCTGAATTAAAGATATCCAAGAGTGTTCACTTACTGTGCATCCTTGTAAGATCCGCGATCATTAAATCTTGAACATCTTTATACGCATTAAGTCTGTGTTTCAATGTTGATATTTCGACCTTGAACTTTGCCGTAATATCTCTCCTGAACTCTTCGTGCTCCTGTTTCAGTTCATTTAATTGGGCTTGAATGGTATCGCTTGTTCGTGAAGTTCCAACACGAGAAAAATACAAAAATATATAACATAACCAAAGTGAAGACACCATATTGCTTGCCACTGTCCGAAACATCTGTCACCGAAATCATTTTTCACATGATAAGCAATCTTTCTTTGGCGGAAATGCCTAATCTATAAATACCTGTCACCAGAAGTTATAACAAGACGAATCAAAACATCATTATTTAGTTTTTTTTATGAAAGGCAGCATTGTGTGAAAATGAAATATATAACACTTATATTTTGAGCAACGATCCGGGTAAATCGGCTTGCTAATATACGTGCACCAAGTCTAGTATGTATAAGTTTAATTAACATTGTGCATTGACAGTTGTTTCCCTTTTAAGATAAAAATAGTTCATAAGTAGACTGTTTCGCTGAAGCGCAAACAGGATTTTTTAAACTGTCATATTGGACAGCTTATAACAAAACGTAATTAGCAATATGAGGCCTCTTGGTATCCTAATCTGATATCTTTAGCAGGCATGGGGCAAATGCTAATGTAAAGGTAATCAATTGCAATTAACTTATTACGAGCAATTCGTAACTGATTACAGATCCAACAACTCCTCAAATGATTAGTTAATCTTTTAAATTACAAAAATGCATGCAATTAACAAGAGCCTTTTATTTAAGCACTAGTACAAAGTATAACTAAGTCAGGTGAACTGATTCATCCGGCTACTTTATTATACAATACATGTAGGACTAGGCAACACCAATTGTAGCTTGTGTGTTGATATACTGATTTAACACTCTGTGACTCGTACAATAGGGATATATACATCATCCATATGATGAGTGATAACTAGAAAATATAAGTTACTCACACTGTTCTTCACAATCAGAATCAGAATCTCACCTGAATCTTTCAGAGTACATTCATCTTTTATGATTATTTTAAGCCATTTAAAAAAAATGTCTTTATATTAAAAGCTACACTGAGTTTAAAGATATTCAACAGCATTCTTAGAGATATTGAAATCAATTGGTTGTAAACGTGTGTTTAAATTGAAATTTAAAAATATATATATATATCAACGATTTGACGGTCGATAAAAATCTAAAATCTTGTGACCCGTATGGAAATTAATTGATATTGCTGTGCCTTGAAATATGCAATGGTACATTTATGACAAAACATATTATGTAGCATACATGTACACGTAATTCTCAATTAGATTATACTTTATTTGATGCAAAAATCATCTTGGAGCTTTTCCCTATATCCTACCAAAATTTTGAGACACTAGCATTTTATCGCCCCGGATGTCTTCTATATATACTGTGTAACAAAAGATTTTAATTTCAGTTCTGATTCAGTGACTCTCCCTAAAAAATCATCTGTTAACTTAAAAACCTGTTGTTTATTGTATTCATATGAATTCAAAATCAAAACTTGACAGTCTCGTTAGCAAGCGTCTGATAACTGAGATAAATAACTTATCGATTCTTTTTAAATGCGATTATCTTCTTATCGGTACATAAATTCAATTGGGGAAAAATTATTATTATTATGTGAATTCATTAAGCGGTTACTAGTCACCTCTGGTGTTCTGACGTTATATTTTCGACAGATTTGTTTGATAACAATGATAACTTATGGAAGTCGATAACACCCTAGTGGTGCCTGATGTCTAATAGACGACTTAACAACTTCGTTCACCCCTGGAAGACGCTATGATTTATAAAAGTCGGTAAGATAGTTTCTTTAATCCGTAGTAGACAGTAACCCATATTGTCTGTTAGATACGTGTAAATTCGTTAATCCCTCCGTAGTGGTGGCGAGATACCTTTGATAAACTCTATTATTTCGTAAAGTAACTTTGTTAGTCCCTAGAAGTTGATGAGACACTGATTTCAAGTAGTCGTGAATCTTAGTTGAGGATAAAATAACTCCGTCAGTCAATAGTAGTCGGCTTGGTCAATTCGTAAGTCCATTGAAGTCGGTGAGGTAACTTTGTTAATCTCTCATAGTCAGTGTGGTTGATTAATTAATCTCTAGTTGTCGGTGTGGAAAGTCGTAAATCCCTTCAAGTCGGTTTGGTTAGCTCGTCTATCCCTAGAAGTCGGTGAGGTAACAACCTTAATTCCTCGTATTCGATGACATTACTTCAATTATGCCTAGATACCGTTAACATAATTCGTTAAACCCTAGAAGTCATTGAAACTTATTTTTATTATATGTTTTCCACAAGGCTGTTCAAATAAACAAATCCTTTTATAAATTCGTTGTCATTTCATATTATAACACATCTTGTGAAAATCCTGAAATCTGATTGGTCGAGACAAACACTGTCACATTCGCTTTAACATTGAGTCAAGAGAAGGGTGCTTCCCAACGCCCTAGCAGCGAGTGACAGTGTGTTTGCGATGTAAAATAAGATGCGCATATGGTTCGTTTCAACCGCCATGCTGACTTTCGGTACAATAAAATATATACTACATTCATTAGAGTGTGACAGTGCCTAAGGTCACCCCGAGGGTATCACTGTCACCCGAGGCGAATTATAATAACTTTAATGAACAATAAGTCAATGGCCCCGTAGTACGATGGTTCAGGTAATTAATTGTCAAGAGATTCCATTTTTAAATAACCGAAAACCATCCTTCTTCGATATTGATAAATGTGATATACTTTTCATTTGCAATGTAAATCTAAACGAAAAAGACACGATATAGGCCACTAAAGATCACATATGTAGAAACAGTTATATAAATGAATCGATATTGCGTATTTTTATGTGCATGATATGTTATAACAATGTAAGTTAAGTCAAAGGTCAACAATTGTTCATCAAAGGTCAACAATTGTTCATCAAAGGTTAACAATTGTTCATCAAAGGTAGACTTAAGTCATTGAGATTGAAATTCCATTAATTTAAATACTTCATCTCTGTGAGGTTGAACCACAGTATGCGAAACACTTGATATACTTTACCTTGGACATATCTGGCATCAGGATGCAGCTTTTGTATTTTTAATGTATGTGTGATAATTTGAAGAATAGATATAGAATATAGATCAAACAGACCCCAGTTTTATCTATAATTTATATTGTACTAATTTAAAGAGTTTAACTAAGTGTTTGTATATTACCATATCACTGCAAAATTGAAAACGGAATAGCATATGAAAAATTATATAAAAGGTCATGTCAAACTTATGGATCTATCTGACAAACCTTTCATTTGCTCATGTAATAGTCCTCTAAAGGTCTCCAATATAGGTAAGACGGAGTATCAATGTCTATCAATATAACTTACCTTTATTTTGCATTTTTATACCACAGCAAAGTAATTAGAGATCGAAATAATCATAAAGGTAAGCAAAGGTCATAGGTCATTTTGATGATAAATATCAATATAAAATACTTTCTATTAACATATGTTATCAATATATCCACTCTAGCTCTACACAATACCTGTTTTCAGAACAGGAGCATTTACTTATCCTGTGATATTTAACACATGATCATGCTTATCAGGCTTGACAGCTACACCAGTGCTGTAGAGGCATTTCCATTGTATAAGAATACAAAGACATCGACCAGCGACCATATGCGCATCGCTAGTCTGTTGTAACATTCGATTAATCGTATGTTGATCAATCACATTCCACTACGCTGATGTTGACCAATCAGTTTACAATGCGGATCATATCAGCATCAATGTACATTTTCTGATCAGTGTAGTAATAAATAATTCTATAAACAACATAATATTTTTATCGATAAAAATGACTGATAATGAAAGAGACATTGTTTGAATTACAATAGTGATACAATTGTTGGTGGTTTTTAATATCACAAAGAAATCTCCATTCATTTCTTACCTCCGTTTTCATTTTTGCAACAGCAGAGAAAAATGTTTGTGAACAGCCCTAGCACACAAAATGATAAGACACTCTCTAAACACTAAGCTTGCCTCCCAAATCATCTTCACCTATACTTAAAACAGCGATGATGTCACAAGTGTCCAGTTAACATCTAGTTAATATTCTACTTCAGGACTGGTTCAGGAAACATAATCTAAATATTCAATACTGTATGCCGGGAATTTTTCCCCCAGTCAAACTTCCGCCCTTTGCCTCTGAAAGCAATTTTCGCCCAGTGTTTATTTCGCACAACACATTTAACTACTATGTTTATAAATGCTGTTAAAATATTAACAGAAATGAAATTGCTGTTAAACTGCAGCGAAAGTTTCCCAGTTGTATATATAGTATCACTTTCTGTACAGTTCCAGAGATCGAAAAAACAAATTTGAAAATATATTTTTTATTTTGTTAGAAGTTACAGTGGATGTGGCTGGTCTCATCGAGAGCGAATCCTCCCATTGATCTACACTTGGCCATGATCTCTGTGTTCCTGGAACTGGTCTGGATGTCGACAGCTGTGCCTTTGTAATGAGAGGAGTTACAGTGGTGACACGCCCCCGCTATTTCATTCACCTGGCATAGAACGAAACTTACACTATATGTATTATCCCTGAACAAAACAATAACACAATAAACATGATAAATATTAAGTATCTGTGTAAGGATGTAATGATCACTACCTCAATGTACAAACTACATCATCACACAGTTTAAAAAAAAAATGAGAAAAACCAAATGCCAAAAATAAATGTTCAAACATACATACATGGAAAAACTTAAAATTGTTTGACATTCATTTCATTGTCTGAAACATAGGTGTTTGTAAATATTGCAATGATCAATTTTAAGATAAAATGCTGAAATGAAGATCTATCACATGTAGACACACTGATATTTAATTATGCACATGCGGAATTTAATTATTTTTGTAAGTGTGGAAATAGAATGGTTTTAATAAAAGTTTTTAATTTCAAAACAAAACTCTTACATTGTTAATATGATGACCCAAAACTGATACGAACGCTACTTTTTACCATTGTCTCACTCTCTACTATTGCACTAAACGAGAATGGTAATTTAGTGTTGGCACAGGCAACACTAAATTATCAACCAACCAATTAAATTATATTTGAGTAATTGAACACTATTTTAAAATAAAGTCATTTGAAAAACATTATTGACTTTTTAATACACAACCTAAATTTTAATTAAGAGCACAAATTTTTTAAATGTTCTAGTTCTTGTTGTTTTACTGGTCAATACTTTCAATGGTCAGCGCTTTCACTTACATGCATGCTGCCTGCTTTGGCCAAATCGTATATGAATTGTAACAGGGTCCTACTGAGACACACGTGACCCCCAGGCGTGTTATTACCACATAGGTCGCAGTAATAGCTGAAAGTAACAGGCGTATTCAACCTACATACATCGATTATAAATGACACAAAAAACACAGGTAGTGAAATGCTTGAATCTACGAGACGTGTGTAATCAACAAATAATTTGACACTCGGAACTAACAGACATGCATAAATTATGACGTCACACACGAATCAAACAAGCGCTTCTGATCAACAAAGTTTACGACACTCAATAACACAAAGTCCAGCTTAAAGGTTATTGTAAACTGAAATGTTATATACAAATATGAAGTTTATTTGACGGCTCGCAATACAACTGCATATAGATTGTATATTTTGTCTGGCAGCCCTTGCTGAAAGATAATTTGAACGTAATATATATACCTTTTACTTAGTACCAGTAATTATTATTACATTATATCAGGGGAATCATACATTTTAATTTTGCCTTATTTTACAGATATTAATACATCATTTGCATAATTATGGAAACATGCAAGTGAGATCGCATTAAATAAGAAATCCTGTTACACACCTTGACCTAGAAGCTCCTAGTCCCCTACAAGTATCCCGGATATTGTTGTAAGCATAGGCATTGTCGTGGTTACCCGAAGGATGGCGATCCCAGAGAACGATTCGACCAGAGTTATGTAGCTGTAGAATTTCACATGCTTGGTTCTTAGCAGTTGTATCTGAACATGAAGAAGTTCCAGCTGGAATAAAAGTGTTGTAATGTACAGTTATAAAACGTAAAATTTGTTGACGTTGATTAAGAAATAGGTTTAGTCCGAGTGAAAATTTCAGAGATTGTCGCTGAACCTTCATTCTCTCAATCTCACTCAGTTGTAATCCACATTGTGTCAATATGATTTTAAACATATTTACAATATTCTACGAAAGTGGTATATTCCGTTCAAAAATATCCAGTATTTTTGTGGCTACTCAGAGCAGTGTTCATTTCAACGTGTGGGTTTTCAATTGCAAAAAAAAAAAAAAACCACTTGTACCTATCAAGATAAAAGTTTGGTATTAATTAAGAATTTCAACCTCATACAAATACTCCCAAACTGAAACTCATTCTTTTAAAGAAAATATACATTTAGTGGCATATCAAAAACTGACAAATTGATAAAACGGAGGTGGTCGAATGAGCAATAAATGTTTATATATTCAATAAATATGAAATTCCTAAATATAAGCAATTAATTTTCATTTTTTAAGACTGATTTGGTATATTTGTTATGGGGGAAATAGCAATAAATAGATAGCCCTCTTGCAGGAGGACATATTTGTAAGTATATTGAATTCAGGGCCCAAACCCTGGCAGTATTCAAAACAAATGTTGTGGGGCAATAAAATAAAATGTGAAAAAAATAGATAACCAGCAGTGATAGATTTTTAAGTCAATTTAACTTTTTATCAAACATTCATCAAAGTCTGCCAGATCAGAACAGAAAATGTACTTACCAGTACATAGGGATACATCAGATCCAATGTTTAAGTATCGCCCTACTACCCAAAGGTTCTGAAAAGAGAATATGCACTTAAACAGATTTCTGATATAAATCCTATGACCGAAAATTAAAAATAGTCATCGTATAACGTAGGGAATGTCAGTTATGAAGTTAACAAAGACGATGATGTGTTGCTTATAATGTAAAGTTAGTAAAAAAAAAAAACAGGTTGCAAAGAGCTTTAAGTATGTTGATCAATTTTGGGATCAAAATGATATCAGAGACTTAATTTTCACTTCAAACGATTCAAGAACATATCTATGTAGAAAAAAATATGTAGGATGACCAACATTGTCTAACAAACGAGGCTCATTACGTATACATATACACATGAAGTATTCACAACGATCGTGATGTAAGTCTTTGATTCCTAGTACAACTCTATCCCTGGTTGCTTTAATATGCTCTGGTGAAGGAGTCATCAAAACAGACTTGCTTTCACCCCTCAAGTCACCGATTTAGCCTGTTCAGAAAGAGTTTCCACCTAAACTCTTCTTGTTTTGCTTAATTCTAAACATTGTGATTAAATCATCTGTAAGGATGATAGCATTACTTAACATTACCATTCAACAGATCATGTTTCTCGATATTTTAGTCTTGGTGTAATAGGCCAAGAAGCTTAATTATTATAATTATTTTTCAAACCACTGTAATTAAATCAATAGTTAAGGATCAAACACAAAATATAATATAAAAAGTTCTTGATTGTTATCAAGAATACTCATTTTAATAATTTTACATGGCCATGTTCCAATATTCTTTCAAAATCAGACTTCATTTTTAAATAGACATTTTATGTTACCTCTCCATTAACGTTCTGAAGCTGGTACCACTCGTAGCCATCTTTGGTGAGGATACCACCGTGGAATTTGTAGCAGTGGTTTATAGACAAGGACGCATGCACCGGCTCATGGAGGCCAGCTGAAAGGAAAACATAACGGGAGAGTTAGATGAGGTGAGGAGATGATGGCCAGGCGAGATTGAGGAATGTACACCAAGGACAGCTAGTCAACATATACAGCTGAAGAAAGGAAACAAAGATGTCGTTAACTGAGGAATAAAGATATACATTAAGTAAGGTAAGGTCACGAGAACCTCAGAAAAAGCAGATTACAACAAGCTTAGAAAAGGATATATATATATAAGAACGTTAAGATGACTAATAGTTCAAAAATTCTATTTGTTACTATTTCAGATCTTAAATGGGTATGTGATGTTGATATCACCTAAATCGATATATAATTGATCACCTGGCCAAATAAACGAGAATTCCTCCAGATGGCATTCACAGTTTTAAAGCATTATCGGCATGTGTTTCGAAGCATTATCAACGTTTACATAGAATACGACAGGAATATGAACCAATCCAATGGTGTTTTGATGAACTTCAATATCCCATCCCCAGAGGCTATTAGTTAAATAGAGACACATATATTTTCTACATGTGGTGACCGACCTAATTTTAAAATCCAAGGGTTCTCGGTTGTTACCTTTTGTTACGTATACACATTCAGTATTGACATCTGCAAACACGCCTTTTAACTTTTTCTATTAATCGAATGAGCCACATAAATAGTATGAACTGTGATAGTGGTTAGACCAAATTAAGCTACAGTATGTATTATGAACCCAAACTATTTCGTGTTAATGAAGTACACTAGTCTATAGATTGTTTTTTCTCATTGCTGGTACTTATGGAAAGTTTCTTTGATACTTGCAAAAAAAAAATCAAAACACTCTGGCAGAAACCCATCTTTAAAAAAAACACCTAGATATGCTAATTAGACTAATCATTGGTTTGTTGCAACAGCATGGCTATGTGAAAGTGTTTATATTTGGGTTTATGTACACGGATAAACATAGTTTGCTGTGATTTTACCTACTGTAAATTTTATGAATGCTATTTTTCTGTGACAGAAAATGGTGACAAATTCTGTGATTGCCATCGTCATCGCATTGGGAAAGATTTGTGTGATATGAAGGTAGGAGTTGTTGCTTATGCCCATGTGTGTGCCTTATTGTACTTTTTCAAGAGTTATGTTTTGCACTAGTATGGTGACATTTGGGAATGTGCGTTTTTTACGAACCGTGACCATGTGGTTTCTTTGTACATTCTAATAAAGGGAATGCATGGATTGCTGACGTCTCGGGATGTACAAACGCGAACATAAGTGATTTTCTGTTAACTGTATGAACTGTATAGACAGGTGAAAGTTGTAAGATTACATGTTTACGATAGCTACTTATTATGTAGCCCGAGTTTCCTCTGGCCCTGACACCAGATTTAAACATTTTGACAGATAGTGGTCAAAATATGTAAGTCTGGTGTAAGGGCCAGAGGAAACTCGGGCTACTTATTATGAGACTAGCCAACGTTCAAGTCTGTATATAATGTCTGGTTCTTATATTTTGAATTTCCTTTCGGCGTGATATTGATGGTAAGTTTATGTTTATTTTGGTACCGAAATATAACAAAAATACTTTATGAATTTCAAACAGTTAAATAATGGGAAGAATCTGCAGTAAGCAATGTTGATATTATGTCAAGTACTTACGGCCTGTATGTGCGTTGACATTGGAGGTGCTGAGGCACAGACACGTCCCGGACACGGGGTGCTGTCCAGTGATATTGGCTACCACTCTTCCCAGCACCAAGCAGACAACAGTCAAGGACAAATACATGGCACAAATTACGAAAAACACCTACCAGAAATAGGTATATGTCGCGGGCGATTATCTTATCTCAGAGTCAATGATCAATAACATTTTGTATTCAGGCCATTTGATATAAAGGCACACCTTCCAGATTTCCCTGAAACCTTTGTTCAGAAATGTATTATTAACTGTTCAGATACTGGCTACCAATAATGTACAGTTGAATTCATTTTCTTATCTAATGAAATGTTATTCAAGTGAATGTGACAAAGAGTTGTGCAGTGTATTTCATTTCGCATGTTAAAATCTTAATAAAATAATTGGGGTTTTTTTACGAATATAAATATATGGAGTTATTTAAGATAATATGATATATAGTATTTAAAGTAGAGATCATCTGTCTGAAATATATTAGATAAAAATAATCCGTCGAACCTGCATGAATTTGCAGGTCTTTAATGGGGGTGACATTGCGAAAATACGCATTCTAATAACAGGTGAATCCTTAATTTACCTGTGTAACCGCATTGATGTGCCGCCTCAAATCTTATAAGTTACTTGACTGATTTGGCGGCGTCGACACCTTTCCAAAACAATATCTATGGGTGACAGACCTGGAGACCTCCTTTCAGGTCAACCTAACATCTGGACACTGTTTTGCCTAAAAAATGTCCCGATTGGTGTAATGGCTTGCTTTGTCTTGATGGAAATATACTTGATTTCCCATCTGTCCAGTAACTTGTATCTTCTAGCAATGGGTAAAACGAGCTTAGTGTGTTGGAGATGTAGGATATCTGCATTGCAAACTGTCAATTCCGTCTTTGCGTATTGCAGAGTTATCTTCTCTTGGGAGCAGGTATTGATCGTTACGTCACTTGTTTGTGGGAGTAACGTCATCACTTTTTGATAAAACGACGTCATTTTCTCACACAACCCAATGACGTAACAATCAATACCTGCCCCCAAGAGAAGATAACTCTGCAATACGCAAAGACGGAATAGCGATGAGAGGAATTAGCGTCCAATACACCAAATGTAAAAAGATGATCAAGACAAAAAGCAAAGTTTTCTAACATTTTGTACATAAACAAAAATAAAAACATTACACAAGTAAAAACGAATCTACAGTTTATTTATAAGTCTGAGATATCATTTAAAACAGTCCAATTACATCTGATCTATAACCGAAACTACATAATACTGAAAAAAATGAAAACTTGCATAACATCAGTGTATGTATCAGAATCGTCAAAACACCCGGACCTGTACCTAAGACACCATTCTCATTCTCAACCATGAATTCTGTGTTCAAGCCAGTTTTCTATCAACTCACTGTAACATTGAAAGCGATAATAGGATTTAAGTCTCTCTGAATATTCTACACATTAAAACAAATGAATTTTTTGACAACTTATCGTCAGAACAAGGAGTATTTGGGCTTTCAACACAGAATCCGAGTTTGAGTATGAGATCAGTTAAATGAACAAAGGCTTTTTTACATATATATATATATGTACAAGTAACACACTGAATACAAATAAAACACACAAATAACCTTATATAGAATACACTCATCATAGTGACAGTATGCTTTAATCTGCGACTTGTAAATAATATGTTTCGACGGAACAAATCTAGGAAACCATGCCGGAAGGACCAAAACGTTTAGTCATTTAAAAACGCGTTGTGTATACATACTTAATCCCTTCTGTATATATGTAGATAATATATACATCAATGATGGTGTAGCATTTTCTGAAGAGAGAAAAATGCATTTCATACACCTCTTATATTTTTCACGTATCGAAACTCTATTTAATTAACAAGAAAATGAGGAATTAGCAATGGGCAAAACTTTTTCGATCTTACAAACTTCAAGACAAACATCAAACATATTGTTGTCAAAGTGAAAGACAATAGATAAAAGAAATACAGTACAAGAAAAACTGAATGTGGTAAAAATGTGGCGATTGCTGTTTCACATTATATATCAGTTTTCCGCTCATTTTGAAACGTATTCAATACTGTAATTTGTTAATGTGAACAACCAGTCCTGTAAGAATATGCTACTGTGATAACAGGGTCTGTGGTGTACTACTTAGTAGGTGAAGGTCACTCCGGACAGCTGTTGTGTTCAAGTACCTATTTTGGGGAGGTCAAGGTATCAAAGATAAGGAGTACACGCTTTAATTCATTGTAAGGGGATAACCTATAAACACAGTTTGCGCAGTGGTAACATCCACAAATAAAATGTTCTTCTTGTAAATACGCCTGGTTGTAGCATTATCAGGTTGATCAATATGTATGGTGACCGATACCATTGCCACAGCATTACCATTTACACCATATTACCGTTAAAGGTCAAAGTGAAAGATGTTTGCATGTTATGATTAGGGGATAACCCTTCTGTATATCTCAAAATACAGTAGAGTTATCCGCATTCTTATCTAATTCATGTCAACTAAAACTACCAAAAGATACGACAGTTTTTAGATGTTTCAAGCGTTTTCTAAAACAAATCTAGGTCTCTCTGTCTTGGATTGTGACGTTAGGATTAAAGAGAGTCTGAATTTGTTGACCTTTCGGGGTCACACTATATTGTTCGTGACTTCATGAATAATCAACTTCAAAACGTGCCTGGGTCATTGACATCATTAATCAACAATCACCATACGGGCTTCACATGCAAAAAGGTTTGCGGGGGGTATATCGTGGTGATACCGTCACAAACTATCCTGTTTGACATATCAAATGTCGTGATACATCTCAAATGAATTACAATTACAATTATAAATATCCACAACCATTTCGATACAAATAAAGCATTGGAATTTTTAATGTTTCCTTTTGTATTTTCTTTGTATTTTCTTTGTATTTTCTGTTTAAACCCATGGACGAAGCACTGTCTGTTGTGGATCAATGTCTACGTTGTTGCAGGACAACTGTGCATCAAACTTTGCTTATTGTATGCTATGATAGTCTATCCTTATTGTGTATCAAAGGATGTGCTTATTCTGATATTCTATCCTTATTGTGCATCTAAACATACTTTATTTCATGCTATGATAGTCTGTACTGTACAGTAATTGGATATCAAAGTTTAAGCTTGTTGTATGCTATGATATTCTATAATAATTGTGTATCAAAATACAATCTTATTGTATAAGCTTATTGAATGTTTTGATAGTGTGTACATATTGGGCATCAATCAAAGTATAAGCTTATTGAATGTTTTGATAGTGTGTTCTTATTGTGCATCAATCAAAGTATAAGCTTATTGAATGTTACAATAGTGTGTACTTATTGTGCATCAATCAAATTATAAGCTTATTGAATGTTTTGATAGTGTGTACTTATTGTGCATCAACCAAAGTATAAGCTTATTGAATGTTTTGATAGTGTGTACATATTGTGCATCAAACATTTTTTTGTTTTGATTTGTTTAATGAAAATAAATGCATGTGTACCAGATTGTTATGTTCAACATGTATGCCAAAGTCTTGTGTTGACAATATGTATAAATTATATCCCTTAACACAAAATCAACATACACAAAAATATATATTAAAGCAGTTATCATTTAAAGATAAAGAAAATTCTGATAATCTGTACAAAGTAAAATAATTCCTTATACCATCATACACTTCAGCCCAAAGCAAGCCCTCATATGGGTTAACATTATACTGGTAAAATGATGGTCTTGATTTCAATGGTTGCAAAGCACGTTGTGTATAGTTTGACTCCGATTTTCTCTAGATTTCAATCTGTTCTTAATCAAGGTGTAACACATATTATGGAAAAAGATGCTGTGCTTAATATACTCTTATTTCATGTTAATGAAATTCGGAATTTTCGAAAATGACATTAAATATAGATATACTTCATCAACACCACAATCAGATCTTCAGTCTTCAAACAATGACATTGAAATGTTCTCGGATATTTAACTAAATACCAAGTGCCAAAAAATCGTTTTACGTATACACATGGAAATGTATATATTCCAGCCATAACAGTAGACATGACTGTGACCGTGAAAAAACTGCATGCCACATTTTATAATTGGTCAGATTGGGGTTTAAAAAAAAAAAATAGAAATCACCACCCATGTCAATCTCTTCATCTGGTTTATAGTCATTAAATAAATATACAAAATATAAAACACTTCAATAAAAACAGCACTTTTTTGTTTCATAAAACTGACCAAAGAACATTTAACCTGGTTATCATTTAGTTGAAATGAGATATCCTGTGAGAAATATTTTATGATTACCTTGTACACACACTGGTAAAAAATCTTCTCAAAAGATAAATCGTACTTCATTAACAGATCTATATCACTTTAATACACATATATAACACACTGTATACAACATCACGTAATATCAAGTTTCTACAACATACTGACAAATTTAGACTTTGAATCAGAGACAAACAAAATGTAAACATTCCAAGACCAACAACGATCACCATCATGAGGGTCACTATCAGAATCCAACAAAGGGCAACAACAGGGCCCTCACATAGATCACCAGCAAAAAAGTCATGATAGTCACTATTGGGAACCTCACAAAGATCACCAGTGTGACCCTCACCAAAGATCACTATGCCGACCCTCACCAAAGAGACCCTCAACTACGATCACCATGGCGACCCTCACCAAAGATCACCAAGGTGACCCTCAACTAAGATCACCATGGCGACCCTCACCAAAGATCACCATGGCGACCCTCACCAAAGATCATCATATGGACCCTCAGCACATGTTTTGTGACAGTTTTAAAGAAATTCCTCTGGGTTTTTTTTTAAATTGTGACTTACAAACTTGGATGTGTTAGTCAGTTATTGAAGCCAGGTATAACTAAATGCAGATGAAATTGAAAAGCATGTTAAACCTCCTGTACACAGCAACATAACTCTGGGCAAAATACTACACAAAACCAAATCACAAAAGTCAAAACGATTTTTTTGTAACAGGATGATGCAGGGAAACTTAGCTGAAAAAATATCCAAAGGCTTACAATTAGCTACATCATTTTCAGAAAAATAAATAAAATTATGATAGTCACTTTGTGATGAACAAGATGTCCTTTTAAAACTCAGATACATGTACTTACAAAAAATAAATAATTTTAATTTCTCGTACTGTTTTTCTTCAAAATATTATGCTATTTTTTTTTGATATTCATCCAAGATCAGATTTAAACAAAAACATTTCCGGAAGTTGGAGAAACGTTGACAGACACCGTTTACTGTCTTTGCAGCCAGTAGATGCATACGATGATCAACAATCGGTTTCACCACCCATACACTTACAGACATGGTACACTCAGTGTCAGGACAGTCAATGTCAAAACATGGATTTAAAAAATTAATTTACAAACATTTAAAGATTTTTCAAGTGAACGAACCCAAAATTTTCATAATAAAAACAAACAGCAAATTCAGAAAAATATATTTGAGAACGTTGTGTAAAAATCTTTTTTTTGAGCAAACAGTTACAGTATTTGTGTGATGTGTGTGGAGAGTAGCCAAAGGAAACACATAACATCATATTTATTGTTTAAAAATAAACTTGTTACAGCTACAATAAGCAAATATATATAGAAAAAAGAAATGCTGATCTTTTACTTATGGCTTGGGTATTACAATTCAACACCTGTATAGCCATTAATACAAACACATATATACTAATATATAAATTTTAAACAAAACTAATTATGCATTCATAATTTCAGACCAATGTTGCAAAATGTGGAGGGAAAAAAATCATTAAATACAATACTTTAAACACCAACAATGTTTAAACTCGTCAACATGTACCGGTAATTAATATTGATAGGAAATACAGTAAAATGTTTGTACTTCCCAATACGAACAATTTATGCTTTCTGTACCTTGTGCTTTCAATGTAATTACTTACCAGATAACATTTAAAAAATATATATATATATATAATGGATTTAATTAAATACAATTTAATAATTTACAGTTAATCCAAATAAGATCATTTGTGAGTATCACAACAAAAATCCCTATAATAAATTATTATATACTACTGGTTCTTTATCCCTTCTATCTACATTCAGTACTGTACATAAAATCATCTAACTTATAACTACATGGTACAATAGTTTTGGAAACTAGTTAAAACTGTGAATCCTCATTGATCATTCCTCAACTATGTTTTGAATGTCACGTCAATAACTTACACATCTTTGGTTTTAGCTTTCAAACTTTACTGGCGTTTTAATTTTAATCAGAATGTATTAAGATCTCAAAATTCTGTATTTTTGCTTTTTTTCCTTGGTCTCTAACAGTAGTTCTAGTTTGGTGGGTGACCAGGGCCTGAATTCGTGAATCCATTTTCATGCTCAAGCATGGATTCTGTGCTAAAACCAACCTACTTGTAACTTATACTAAAATCATGTGACTCGGTCAGTCAGGTGTCAACACTGTAAAGACAATTTGGCTTCAAAGTGTCCCCATAATTTTTCAAAATTACATTTTTTTTGTTTTATAATTTATCACCGGAACAAGAAATTGGTCTTGAGCACAGAGTCTGAGTTTGAGCATGAGAGCAGTTTCATGAATATGAGTCCAGATCTACAAGATCTCATGTAATAGACTCCAAACATATTGATGACCAGGAAAACATAAATGCATATTGTGAAGTTGTCATTAATCTTAATCCTGGCTACATTATTGTAGTTTAATATCATAAACACGTTATAATTGTAAATTTGAGCTTGATGCCCATATAATAATAAGTCAACAAGCAAGCTACCGTAAATCTGCTATTTTTATAGCAGTTATCTTAAATCTTATCACTCTATCTTTCACAACTTAAAAGATTGTACCAAACAATAAATGGTTATATGTACATCCTCATTACAAATATCTAAAGGAAAATTATGATTTGACCTTATAACTTATTCAAAACAGATCTGAGACTCATTTCTATCATAAGGTGGAAAGAGTGTTACATTATTTTATACGAAAGAATTGAGTTATTCTCAATAATATTGATAGTAATTACTGAGTGAACTAACAAAAGTCAGAAAGTACCACGCAAGTCTGGCAAATATCGGTAAAAAAAATAATAAGTGACGGAAGTATTATGAGAATAACAATTTTAAAATTTTCAACACAATCCCATTTCTTATACAAGACCTGAAGAAACTGAGAAAGCAAAACCTGACTATTTTGACTAGTAATATTCCTCAATCTCTATAGCACTGTTATTGTGCACGTTCTAGACTACCGACTCCAGATCCGAGATAAAACAAGGATATTGACCTTACTATGAGATACAGTGAACAGTCAACTGTTTATCCAGCCACCACTAATCTGGTTGTCCATTTTTAGGAGACAAGATTGGCCTTTATCTATAGAAAACTGTCCAGCCATCTCAAATTATACTATTGATACAATCCAGCTTAATACTTTTGCTGGCAATGACGGTGGCTAGATTATTGGGACTCCAGTTCAATTTCCAATTACCTCTAGTCTAGTCCTTTATAACCTATCAGATCTGTTATCACATCTCTAGACCTTACCTATCAGATCTGTTATCGTATCTCTAGACCTTACCTATCAGATCTGTTATCGTATCTCTAGACCTTACCTATCAAATCCATTATCGTATCTCTAGACCTTACCTATCAGATCTGTTATCGTATCTCTAGACCTTTTATCAGATCCATTATCGTATCTCTAGACCTTACCTATCAGATCCATTATCGTATCTCTAGACCTTACCTATCAGATCTGTTATCGTATTTCTAGACCTTACCTATCAGATCCATTATCGTACCTCTAAATCTTATCTATCATATCCATTATCGTATCTCTAGACCTTACCTATCAGATCCATTATCGTATCTCTAGACCTTACCTATCAGCTTCATTATCGTATCACTAAACCTTACCTATCAGATCTGTTATCGTATCTCTAGACCTTACCTATCAGATCCATTATCGTATCTCTAGACCTTACTTATATAGCTATCAGAACTGTTATTGTATTTCTAGACCTTCCTATCAGATCCATTATCGTACCTCTAAATCTTATCTATCAGATCCATTAACGTATCGCTAGACCTTACCTATTAGATCCATTATCGTATCTTTAAACCTTATCCATCAGATCCATTATCGTATCGCTAGACCTTACCTATCAGATCCATTATCGTATCTTTAAACCTTATCCATCAGATCCATTATTGTATCTCTAAACCTTACCTATCAGATCCATTATCGTATCTTTTAACCTTACCCATCAGATCCATTATCGTATCTTTAAACCTTACCTATCAGATCCATTATCGTATCTCTAAACCTTATCCATCAGCTTCATTATCGTATCTCTAAACCTTACCTATCAGATCCATTATTGGATCTCTAGACCATTAATTTCCTATCAGATCTTTTATCAAATTTCTAGGTCTTTCCTATCTCCTTCTCTAAACCTAACAGTCTTGTTATCGTATCTCTACCTTTCTTGACATACATGTTATTATATCTCTAAACCTTGTCTATCAGATCTGTTATTGTATCTCTAGACCTTTCCTATCAGGTCTTTGTTTAACATGGCTGCTGCCTTCCCCACTGTCCACTGTGATAGCACTACTTTGCCCCCCACTTGTACCACTGCTGGTAGTACTGTTTTGGGAGACCTGCAGAGTCCACTGAATAACATCTGAGTGTGTCTTCATGTGTAAGTTTAGCTGCGCTTTATTGATGACTTCAAACCCACACTGACAACAGCGGAAGGTAACCCAACAAACAGCACACAGACTCTCCGCATCTTTGGTGACACCCTGACTAGCGAGTCGGATCCGCATCTTTTCACGAATTGTTTTATTGAACTCTGCAACATCTTCCTCGCAGCATTCTTTGGTGTCAAGACGGCTGTCATAATCAATGGCTGCATTGATGACTTCATTTGTGAATTCGTAGCTGTAGTTCTGGTCACTAGCATGGCGCCACATGTGTGATTTTAGCGAAGGAAGGTGGTGACACACATAGCCACAAAGATTACACTTGTACTGTTCCAGTGGCTGCTGCACAAACCGCTGGTCGTTTATGTGTCGCTTCATGTGTGACTTAAGGCTACGATTGGACACAGCTGGAAAGTCACATAGCTCACATTTCAGAACCTTTGGTTCCTCATGTGTCTTCATATGATTTCCAAATCTTGCAAATGAGTTAGTTACATAATCACACTTTGCACACCTGAAGTCCTGTTTTTGGAACTTTCCGTGAGATTTCTGATCCTGTGTTTCTTTCCCATTTTCATCTGGACACAACATCAACGGCATTTCTTCTTCTCCGTTACACATGATTTTCTTATGGACTCTGAGCTGGTGCTTGGAGACGAATCTCCGCTCACATACTTCACACACATATTGCTTGACTTCATGGCAATTGCTCATGTGGTTCCTCAGTAAATTGGGGTTTCCTGTTTCAAAGTCACATTCCTCACAAGCAAAAACGTCTTTTTCATTGTGTGCTCTCATGTGAGCACGCAGTTGACTCTTGTAGTTAAATGCAGATGGACACAACTTACATTGGTACGTTCGAACTTTACAGTGTTTTATCATATGGTTCTGCAAGTCCTCACTAGATTCCGCCATGAAGTCACACAGTGAACACTCAAATGGACGCTTCGTCTTGTGTAGACGCATATGCTGTTTCATTACAAAAGTACTGGAGTTAGAGTAGTGACAGAGTTTACAACGAAACCTCGACTCGTCTTCCTCTGCCTCCTCGATACGCTCCACATTGTCCATCTTCTCCATTGGCCCTTCATCCTCTGCAGAGAGCCTCCGTGATTTCTTTTTTGTACCTTTCTTTCCAGACTCTATATCATAGTCTGTTTCCGTCCGTGCCCGTTCTCTCAACTGTTCTATAACAGCAAGTAAAGATGAAGAAATGCCCTGAGATTTAGGTTTCTTCTCCTTCGTAATGTCTCCTTTCGTCCTGGTGACCTCAGACTGTTCGTCCTTCACTTTCTGTGCTGATGATGGACATGCTGGATTATGGTTTGCTCCTTTTTTCAGCAAAGACAGCAAAGTTACAGCTGATTCTGCCATAGAAGATGGAGGAATGTCCTCTTCCTCTTCATCATGTTCCTCTAAATCTTCATTTTCTGCACAGTTTCTGTTCTGTGCCTCATCCTTCCTAACTTTTTCTTGATGTTTCCCTGACCCACTTGCTTCTTTTGTCGCATGCTCAATGCCCTCCTTGTGTTTCGATTTAGGAGAATTACTGACATTTTTCTTCAATCTTTCCAATTGTCTGGAACTTGATCTTGTTGACATGTAGGCATGCTCCACTTTTGAGGTGGCTTGTGATTGACTGGAATTTGTATCCGACATGAACCCGGAGTCACCACACTCCATGTCTTGCTCTGTTTCACCAGTGATTTCGCCCTCTGTAGACCCTGTTATTCCAGAGCATGTACGGGGACTGCTTTGTTGACTCTTTATACTGGTCAGCCCTGACAAGTTTACCACACAATCCACCGTCTCCACGACAACATTGCCCTGCTCCACCACATCCTCACATTCTACATCCTCTGCAGCACAGAACAGCTTCACCATCTGTAACATTTCATTCACGTCATACTTTGATTCACTCAGTTTTCGTTTTTTAGCACCATTTTGTCCCTGGGCTGATCCAGAGGTTTTTGGAGATGTATCATCTTGTTTCTCTGCATCTGACTTATCCACCGAATCCTCCGATGTCTCTTGTGTCATACTTGTAGTATCCATCGGCTCTTCATCATCATTTCCAACACTGACGGTTTCAGCAGGTGCCGTGTTAGAAGTGGTTAGATGATCATCATCTTGTTCGTTTTCTTTCGCTGTACCAAGTACATCTGATGTTTTTGTCGGACTGGATTCTGCGTCAGTCTCTGAAGGTATGGTCTCTGCATCCTCCCCTTGAGAAATCTTCGAGGCTGGTTTCACCGTTGGTTTTGAGATAAAATCTGAATTTATTTCAGTTTCCTCCTTGGAATCTTGGACATCTGACTGGGATTTAACCTCAGACTCTGTAACCTTTGGTAAGGTCACTTCCTGTGTGAGTCCAGTCATGGCCCTCGCAGCCAAAAGGTGGGCCAAGGCAGGAGCAATGGGACTGACAGAGGTGTGCTGGGAGGTAGAAACCTTTGTGTTGGGTTCCTTAGTGTTTTCCTTTAATGCTTTCTGTGCCTTTTCCATCATAAATACAGAACTTGGTGTTAAATTCAAACAAGATTTAGATTCTACAGCAGAATCATAAATACTGAGGGGGCCATTTTGAAACATGGGGTATTCAATGTCTTGATTTCCTGAATGTTTCCAAATGTGAGCTTTTATAGTTCTCTGAAACTCACAGGAGTATCCACAAATAGTGCACAGGTATCGGGCATTCACCCTGTCATGGACGAAGGGAGGTAACTCTCCATCTTTACTTTTAATCAAATAGTCTTGAATTGCAGGTAGTTTTTGCTGTTTGGCTAGGATGCTTTCCTTCAAATCTTGTCTGATGGCAAAAGGGGATGCCGGCTCCTTGCCTGTTGATGTGACCGTAGCTGGCACTGAAGCTGAGGGTGTTGTAGCAGACGAGGACTTCGCTGATGAAGGACTTGAAAAGGAAACTAATGTCATGGGGACAGAAGTTACTAATTTTTCAATCGTGGAAGTATTAACAGGTTTTAACTGCTGTATTTGTACCGAGGGCACTAGTCCTGACTGCACTGGTACTGCCTTCATTGGTACTGCCTGCATTTTTACAGACTGACCAGGAACTGGCTGGACTGGAACTGCCTGCATCGTTACAGACTGACCAGAAACTGGCTTGACTGGAACTGCCTGCAACGTTACAGACTGACCAGGAACTGGCTGGACTGGAACTGCCTGCATTGTTACAGACTGACCAGGAACTGGCTGGACTGGACCTGCCTGCATTGGTACCGATTGCAATGGTACGGACTGGACTGGCATGGACTGCAATGATGCAGACTGTACAGGTAGTGACGGAACAGGTATCGACGGGACATTTGAATGCTGAAGTTCAGGTTTGTGTGCCAACATGTGCACTACAAAATTGTATGCTTCACCACACATGAAGTCACATTCCACACACTTGTACACTGACTTTTCCTGTGGGGGCAACCTCTCTATTGCAGGTTTCTGTGAAGTGACTTCCTCTTTGAAGGATGGGGAAGGGTTTTCCATACTCTGTAAATGGGTCCACATGTGGTTTTTCATTAGTGTGGTAGTAGGAGCAACAAACCCACACTCAGAACATTTCAGTAGTAGGTCCTGTTTACCAGGCTGACTAGTTGCCGCAGGTACAGGTCGAACTTTAGACACAGGTGACTCCTTTCCCTGCTCTAGGTCATGTGGACGCTTGGATAGAATAGTCTGTTTTAGGTCTGCCTTAATAGAAGCAGATTTGAGTTCTGCAGTGCTCGAGTCTGTATTTGAAGATGTCTGTTGATGTGTTTCTGCATGTGCAACAAATGCTTCAAAGTCACTAGTCATGTGTTTACACGTGCTGCACACATAGATCTGTTGTGATTGATGCACTTTGATATGTTCCAAGATGGCGTTTTCATCTGGAGCTACAAAACTACAAAGTTCACACACAAAAACGTTTTCCCTAGCACGACATGTTTTCACATGTGCCTCCAACTCGGCGTGAATGATAGATTTGCGACAGGTGTTACAGAAGACTGTCTTCTGGTGGAGTTTTGTGTGGTTTGTGAGATGGCCTTTCTTTCTAAACGTGGCGTTACAGTGTGTACACTCATAGGGTCTTTCGTTAGAGTGAACTATTAGATGTTCCCGCAAAGAATGACTACGCTTCCCTGCATAGTCACAGAAGGGACATTTGAATGGTCGGTCAGCGTGATGGACAAGGTCTACATGCTGCTTTAAATAATGCTTGTTGTAACTGGTATATTCACATTCTTCACATTTAAATGTTTCTTTTGCCGTTCGATTGCTGTCTGTGAGAGCTGCGTCTTGGTGTTTGATATTATGATCAGGACTAGTAGATGAAGTGACCTGAATGGTTGTCCTTTTCACTGGAGTGCTACTCTGAGAGGTGGCTTTCTTACTCAATGTCAACTGAGATTCACTGGGTATGAGATTATGCACAGTTTTTTGTCCATGAGAATTCAACGGCACTGGAAAAACTTTAGAGATGTTTTCAATGATGATGATTGGACTCTCTGATCTGCCGGCTTTTTCCTGTCCCACGGTGAGTGTCCGACTTGCCCCACCGGGAAGTGAATGGGCAGCCAACTGTTTAGCTCTCACAGATGTCAACTCTGCAAGCAACTTAGGACGAGTTGCTCCAGGATTCATGACTGATGCTGATGAAGAGAAGGTAACTGAGATTTTGTCTCCATTGTCAGATCTTTTACGGCTGTCTGATTGTGGTGTCAATTGCTTAATTGTTTGGGAACTCCTTGAACTGGCCATCTGATTTGGGGAAAACTGTTGGCTATCTGGGTTTATTTTTATACCTGTAGCACTTTGTTTCACGGCATCGTTTAGCGGAGTGCACACCTCCATAGTTATGTTCTCAGGTAGACAGTCCTCTGAAGTCCATCACAGCTTACGATATGGACCCCGATTCACTTGACATCTGGGTTGTACACACCTGAGGATGGATCCCTGTAAAACAAAGAAAAACTGTTATTGAAAAACATCACTCATATTGATTACAGCTCATGGTCATCTCTGTACTTCTGCTCATCTTATGTGTGTATTTACAAAACTTGCTTATTTATTTATATATCCAGTATAAAAAGGCCCCCTTTTTTAAACCAAATAATATTTTAAATCTAAATTAAATTACCCAATGTAATTAGGGGTATTAATTAATTTGTGTCCATTATATATAGTTAGTGGTAAATTATCATAACTAGAACACTGATAATGACAGTTCAGCAATTAAATGGTGCAAGCCCTGCAATATTTCTTGTGTGGTTAGACAGCTGACATATAGAAAACTATTCCTTCTTCTACAACTGTTACTAGTAATTTTATGATATAAATTATGTAGGATCAATGACCATTTGACGGGAAATAATATATATGTAGTGGAACTGGAATGGGTCGATCGTCAGCAAGGTAGCTCAATTGGTAGAGCGTCCGACTAGAGTTCGGAGGGTCCCGTGTTCGAATCCCGGTCTGGACGTTCCATTTCACTTTCTCCTGTTACAAAATTGGCTAGCTTGCCAACCCTGGGTCCAAGCACTGGGTGAATTCTTAGCAAGGAGATATCATAATTGGAGTTGTAAATAATTGTGTTGTCAGGTGGGAAGACTTAGAAAAAGGAGGGAGGAAGGTAGCAGACCTGGACTGGGTTGATCGTAAGCGACCAGGTACCTCAATAGGTAGAGTGTCTATCAAGAGTTTGAAGGGTCAAAGCTTTTAATCCCGATCTGACGGTTCATTTGTCTTTTTCCTGTTACATATATATATATATATATATATATATATGTCTGAAGATTCTCCTAGAAGAGATGAAAGTACTAAAGACTTGTTGAAAATTTTTCTTTTTATAATATATATATAAATATAAAGAAAACAGTGAGAAGTCCTTGTGTTGGAATTAAATATAAAAAAATAGAACAAAAGACAGAGATAGCGTCTCTAGGCCTTTCTCGGGTTGATTCCCCATTCATCAGGAGACTGTTTATAAAAAATAGAACAAAAGACAGAGATAGCGTCTCTAAATATAAATATATATATATATAAAACATAGACAGGAAGAGAAGACAGCATTCTCTAGGTGGATTGCCATCCCCTTGGTTAATCATGAGATCAACTGCATTTGTTGGTATATGAAGTGTCCATCTCAAGTTTGATAGGTCTCTGGTTCAAATCTTGGTCTAGCTGTGCAATTTTGCTTTCCTGTTATATCTGATGCCCAACGAAATTATATACTTGTGGAAGGTAGTATAGGGTTTTGTGTGTCTTCGGGCTTAGATTTTTAAGGAGGGTGGAATGTAATGGCACTGGACTGGGTACTCCAACAGTGTTAGAGGTTTACACAGCGAGATACTACTACTTGTACTTTGTAGTGAAAGTATCTCCAACACTGTTGGAGTACCCAGTTCTATGACAGGCGCCGTGTATATTATATCCGATAGAAAAAAGGCTGACCAGCGGCCTCTTATGTTTTATGAGTATGGACTGGGATGATTTCCGGCAACCAGGTAGCTCAAATGGTACAGCGTCCATCTAGAGTTCTGAGCCATAAATGTTTCCTCTCCTGTTACAATGGTATAGATCTAAGGAATGACTTACAATGTAGCTTATCCATAGAAGTACATAACCAAACTCGGAATAGTACATGTACAATAGTAACGAAAATCATGTCTGATCATGTTGTAGATGATATCATTGGGGATTGGACAACTCCGATGAATATTTGAAAATGACCGTCCAATGATTGGTTACATTGGAATAGATTAATTTTCTCGATCACAGTAAAATAATACATGTTTATGAATTTTTTGGGGGGTTTTCGTTTTTTTTTTACTTTAACAGATATCTAGCTCTATAAACTGTGAAACTTATAATTAACTGAACTTCACAGAGTAGGTCATTGACCCAGTTACATCTGATGCCAGAAATTGATTAAAATATCATGCAATATTCATCACGATTTCACCAAATATCTTCTATATGTTCAATCTTCTATTGTTTTATCAATGTGTTACATATTTTAAGTTTTATTTCTCTATCAATAGAATTGAAAACTGAATGTTATACTGGCTGAAGTGGATGCACCTTTATTCAAATAAATGAGAAACAATCCAAATAAGTTTTGTCTGGTAAAAATGTTGTGCTGTAACGATCATAAAGCACGATATGCATACATGTATTTATAAATTATATTTTTAGATCTCCATACTTATAGGATTTATTTGCAGGTTTCCAACACTGTAAAATGCAAATTAGATTATGATGAAATAGATATTGACCTATTGTTAAGTACTCAATTTTTAAACGATTGTTAAGAATTTAATGTGTGAATGTGTTAATAGAACATGCACATCAACAGTAGCGATGTAATGCAATACACAATGTCAAGTTTAAATTTCCAGTGTGAACTGTCAACTTTATTACCGATTATTAGATACAAATGACGACATTTTCAATTACATTAAAGCATGTGTATTGATATGATGACAGGCCCAACTGCTGGAAATATCATTCAAATAAATCCAGCCAGTGCAACCGACACAATAGTATATGTTGCCATGCTATTTTGTACACGGCATCTTGCAGCATGCAAGCGGGAATTTCGGTCTGCTCTTCTCAGCGATGAAATCAGACAATAACTGAACGTCGTTTTTCCTTTAGCACATCGGCAAGTATTATTGAAATATATAATTTAAACTATTCCTTGATAATCTTGGGATGTTCATCATGTGTTTTTACTTACATCATGTGCAAACTTTGATATCTGTCTCGTTGTAGTCCATGTTCATGATGGCGAAAAGGCCGATCACGTGATCTGGTTGTACGCCAGAGAAAGTCACATGGTGAGATATCTCAGTCTCACGATACATTCCGTTATTTGATGATTTTCATATTTATTATTAAATAAGTTGCAAATTATTTATGTCGCATATTTTAGTATCTGTATTGCTGTGTTTCTTATATTTACTAGTATAAAATAGTAAATGACCAAAGTAAGGTAAAACGAAATTTAGAGACGGAGTCGGCCGGCAAATCCGTCAATATTACATCGCCTGCTACTGACAGGTTCTTAGGATATGACGATAAGCAGCAGTGGCGGACCAGAGACGTATATACTACTGCCTTAATATGTCTCTGGGCGGACCTTATTTCTGTGTCCAAAAAAAATCTAGACCAAGGTTTTTGAAGATTTTCCTCTATTTCAGATGGGATTTCCTTCTAATAATATGACTCAGGCATGGCCTTAAGAGAGCCAGGGATGTGTACACATCCCCGAGAGAGCGAAGCACGTACTGTACATTTGTACATAATATCATATATTAATATTTTGATCCGAAAGAAACAAATGCCATTTGAAAAAATCATAGAGTAAACATGATAATGAGAGTTGTAACGCTAGGCATAATGTTTAAACAAATGGTTTGAGCTGATATGCCAATCCATGAAGGATGTACAGTGGCGGATCCAGAGGGGTTTTCTGGGCTTCAGGAAACCCCCCCACCCTGAGAATTTTCTTTAAAAATCATGTATTTTCACCATTTTCCTCAATTTTTCCCCATGTGGAAACCCCCCCAGGAAATTTGGAAACCCCCCCAGATAGGTCTCTGGATCCGCCACTGATGTCTCTGTTTTTAATTTAAATGTGTTTAGCATGTTAGACATAGCAGGTTAGAGACTGTCACGTCTCCCATCGCTATACGTATAAACTTTTTCAAGTAATTGTTAATTTTGTTGCATTAGCTGAAACTATTTTCAATCTATTGTACAAGCAGATATAGGCATTGAAATTCCAGTTTGAGTTGGAAAATCTAAAGGTAATATCACAAATTTGGATCAAATATCAACAGAAACGACTCCTCTCTACGAATAATTTTAAACCAAAACTGAGGAAAATGGTGAAGATACAGGATCCGCCAATGTAAAGGTAAACGTTGGAAATTGGCAAACCTATTGAAATAAGATCAATATGTTTTACCTATGAATAACTATGATAAAGTAAATAAAATTATCTGAATCATTAGATAATTTAACAACTGTACAAACAAAATGTAATGACTGTAATTAAATATTCCAATGCAAAGCGTCTAGAAAAGACTGCGTATTGCAGAGTTATCTTCTCTTGGGGGCAGGTATTGATTGTTACGTCACTTGTTTGTGAGAGTAACGTCATCGATTTTTGAGAAAACAACTTAATTTTCTCGCACAAACCAATGACGTAACAATCAAGACCTGCTCCCAAGAGAAGATAACTCTGCAATACGCAAAGACGGAATAGCTACTAGTCCTATGCCTCCTGGCTGATATCTCCCTATGTGTGTATGTCTGCGTGTGTGCTGGAGATGTCATGTGTTCTGTTTGTAATGGGACCGTGCTTCCAACGGAAGTTCCGCTACCTTTCACCCTCCTTTTTCTAGTGCCACCTCACTACATCCACCCAGACCAATTTATACTCCACCTGGGTTGTTGGAGTTGTGTGGGCAGAATAAAAAACACTTTCTCTGAATTCAATATCCATGCTACGACGACTTCAAGATTGCAAAGAAAGTGTAGGAAAAAATTGTAAAGATTATTACATACCAGAGTATATACGTCTCTGCTATCATTTATTAACAATTGTGAGATAAAATATATAATTGTATCACAGGTACTAGCCTCGTCTGTCAATACATCTATACTATAGTATATTACGAGGCTAGAACCTGTGATTGTATCGGAAGACATCGAACATTGGCGTTCTACGAATAATTTTAAACCAAAACTGAGGAAAATGGTGAAGATACAGGATCCGCCAATGTAAAGGTAAACGGTGGAAATTGGCAAACCTATTGAAATAAGATCAATATGTTTTACCTATGAATAACTATGATAAAGTAAATAAAATTATCTGAATCATTAGATAATTGAACAACTGTACAAACAAAATGTAATGACTGTAATTAAATATTCCAATGCAAAGCGTCTAGAAAAGACTAGAAAAGAATAAAACAAGACGGCGAGAAACACACAGAGTTCGGAGGGTTCTAGGTTCGAATCCCGGTATGGCTATGCATTTTTCTGCTCCCACTACAAAACATTGAAAAATTCATTTATCACAATGTTAAGAATAATATATATTTTTATTTCATCAATGTATGCTGTATATCCGTTAACCGGCAATATTTGTCCTACTCCGGTAATTACTTTGTGTCATTCACTTCCTGTTAAATCCACCGGTGTTTGTTTGCCACGTTGATTTTTACTCTACAAAATGCCTGAGAGTTTATTTTCCGTGGTGAAGAAATTCACAGATGAGTATATAAACAGTACTCCGAAAAAATTGAAGATTGTAGATTCATACCTGTTCTACATCCTGCTGACAGGCGTCATCCAGTTCATGTACTGTGCGCTGGTTGGAACGTTTCCTTTTAACTCTTTCCTGTCGGGTTTCATCTCAACCGTCGGTTCATTCGTTTTAGGAGGTACTGAACACATTTTGAAACTAAAACTGCATATACTAGACAATAGGCATACGCGAATGCGTTGTAAAATAATATATAACATGACATAAATTGGAGGGGGATGTATCCATCCATATCCCAAGTTAAAGCGTTACCGTGTGCCTCACTGATATATAAGATACTTATGGAAACAACTACTTTTATACTATTGTCCTCCACCCTGGTTTGCTCCATGATAAATAGCTCCAGTAAGCTAATGAAGTGTTATGTTATATATGGGGCAATCCGCATAGGATTAATCTGGTAGGTGTTGCCCAATCAATTGGTTGCTTTTAAAAGCAATCACTGCCAGTTACCCCCGCCCCCCCCCCCCCCCCCCCCCCATCCCAAAAGTTATATGTTATGGGGCAATCCGCATAGGATTAATCTGGTCGGTGTTGACAATCAATTGGTTGCATTTAAAAGCTATCACTGCCAGTAAACCAAACAACCCCCCACCCATCCCACCTTAGAAATGGCAGACAGTCAAGTAATTTCGGTGGGGCTGCCCAATCACTTGCTTACTAGGCAGTTCTTGGGAAGCTATGTCTTTCCCCAAATCCCATTTGCACTACAGGTTTCACCCTAAATCCACTTATCTCAGTGTTGTTACACCCTAATGTATGATTTTAAATTTATTAACATCATTTTTGTGTCGCCTACGACGGATGTCGGAAAGACACATACAAATGTAGGCGCTGCTTTTCTGACGGCGGCGTCAACAATGTTAATGTTTTGCGTTTAGCTCTGTTTCTGACAAAGCTACACCAACAAAACAGCGATCATAGATGTAGCATGGGTAGTGGAGCCTACTGCAATGAAAACATTTCATTGATTTCTGCTTTTTTTTGGTAAAAACCTCAAATTTCTGGACTTGGGGGGGAAAAAACCTCAACGTAAAGGTTTTGCATTAGGTCTTACATATTAGGCTGTTTCTGACAAAGTATAAATGCTAGAGCAACCAAACTTGGGTCATAGGTGTACCATGGGATGTATAGCTGAATGCATTACACTCTTTACTAGCATTTTAACGATTTCTGTATTTTTTTGCTAAAAAACTCAAATTTCTGGACTTAGAAAAAAACTCAACGTTAAAGTTTTGCGTTTAGCTCTTGCATATTAGGCTCTTTCTGACAAAGTATAAGAGCTAGACCAACCAAACCTCAATCATACATGTATCATGGGTAGTAGAGCCTACTACTCTGAAAACATATAACAGATTTCTGCTCTTTTTCGAATAAAAACCTGAAATTCCTTGACTTTAAAAAAATCAATGTTATGATTTTGCGTTTAGGTCCGTTTCCTTATGTACCATGTCAAATGCTTATTATATTGACAAAGCGGGACAGGCGACACATATAATTACGCGTAATTCTTGTTATATTTCTCAGACAATTGTGTTTAGGTAAACTTCAGGTAGAGGTATATATATGTGCTGTTTGGAGATCTGGTCTCTACACTCAACTAAACAGGCTTGAAAAAGTGACCATGAAAGATATTTTTAGGGCAAAACAACGCAGCAATAAATAACCCTGGGTCAGGTGACTCCCAGATATTTCTCATGTTTGAAATTGCATTTGTTGCAACTTTAAGGTGTCCTTGGCATGTAAATAGTTTTATGTCAATCTTTATATATAATTTATAACATAATAATAAATTGTTGAAGAATTTCATAAATAACAAACATCACTGATCAGAAAAAGGGTAGGCATATAATAAGTGCACATAGCACACATGTGGACATGAGGGAAGGGGAAAAAGAAAAATAATATGCACTGGCAGCCAAGTGGTGGGGCCATTCCCCACCTAAAAGACAGTAATATGACTTTGGTAAGACGAGAGTCTACCAGCTTTAGTAAGATGTATTGAGGCAGTGGGGATGGGTTGGGAAAGCGTTGGCACTGGTCGAGGTCCAAGATCAAACCTAAAGTGGGAATTTCATATTGAAGATATATGATATGCTCTAAAGCATAAAGCTTAAAGCTTCCTTAGAAGGAACATTCAAATATAATCTTAACTGAAACAGTACGCATATATCTCCCTTGTAAAAACTTATATAGAGTCAGTGTGTCTGTTCTGTATGGGACCCACATACTAACTGGCATACAATAGAAATGATACAATATACTGAAGACTGCTTCGTCTCCAATGAATGTAGAAATTATTTGAGTGATTGTAATAGGGAGGGAGGCATTGTCTTAAGTGATTTCATTTGTGGACATACCTTTTCTCTATTGTGACATTGTTCTTTTTATTTTCAGTATGTTTGCGGCTACAAGTGAATCCACAGAATAAACACGACTTCACAGGAATTGGTCCAGAAAGAGCATTTGCCGACTTCGTTTTTGCTCATGTTATTTTACACTTAGTTGTTATCAACTTTATTGGATAGTATGTTATGGTAAGTTTTGCTTAAGAAACACCAACAAAAAGCAAATTTATTTCACAATAGTGATGTCTAGTTTCCTGACTTGTCCGTCTTTTATCGACTGGTATTTAAGGAATGATTTTTATTTTTTCAACTTTTATGACCTCATAAATGTTGAAAAAATAAATATCATTCCTTATATTTACATTGACGAATCCTTTCAGTGGATCGATATAACAACGAATAAAACAAATAAACAGGGTTTGTTCCTGCTTATACACGGGTGCAACGCAGTGGCGAGAACAGTGTTTTTTCGCGGGGAAATGTGACACTATCGTGAGATATCTTAGCAACCGTCAACAACAATAACACAACAAAATGTAGTTCCATATTCAATGTTTATTTGTAGCACAGGACACGTGAATACGTGGATATTTTACAAAGCACAGTTCAATAATATTTTAAGATGTAAGAATTAAGCATCTAGGTCGGTCGTGCCGAGTGAGTAGTTTTTGTAGTGTATTACTACGCAGTGTGATCAGGTTACTATCAGTTCCCACGTGCTGAGATTCTATGAACACCTGTGTTATGCATTTATGAATGTAATTTTTGTCAATGGGTCTAAGCATACAGAATGTAAATATTACCCGATGACTGGTGTATGTATTGTAACTACCCTATATATTACCGGTTTTACCAGACTTGTCTATGTATTATATTATTGTATGATTTTACCAGACATGTCTTCCTATGGTTTTGTATAAACAACTGGTTTGTATTATCTGTTGGTTTAACCAGATTTTTATATTTATTTGGTCTTACCTACCTGGTACCAAGTTTTCCCGACAATGAACAACATAAAGCATATTTCTAGTTTTGTCCTTCACATCTGTTCATGAGCTGTTCATGAGCTGTTCATGAGCTAATATGGTAAGTTTCTTGTATAAAAGACAAGCAATATAAGCTCTAAATCTATTTTAAAATCCTTCAGGTATTTGGTTTAGAAGTACAATGTTTTCCGTTCATGCAGACTTCAACTGGAAACTTTCATATTTGTAGTCTGATTTTAAAGTGCAAGAAATAACTATGCTTAACCAGTAAGATACTCTATAAACTGTTCAATCAATTTTCTTTCTTTCAGAAATGGGTGATGGGAAGGAACAAGATCATACTTATAACATAGTGACAATGAAGATGCAGTATCTCCAATCCACTGGTTCAGATTTCAACATAAACAATCTTCAACAGTACAGATGTGTAAATGTTTTCATGTAAAAAAGTCATATTTTTTATGTATCATTAATTGAAACACAAAATGTGTATGTAGCTAAATTAAATGTTGTTACCGTAATATGAAGTTCAGTGTGTTTTCTCCTTCAGTGTTAATTTTAGATAGTCTGGAGCACTCTTGGCCTTTAGACAATTTTCTATGTAATCCCTATTTTAGAAAATTGATCAATCTTCAATGATCATATTGTTCTGTAAAAAAATGATCACGAGGTTGAAATAGAAAAGTAATTCAGAATACAAATGAGTCATGTTCAAAAACATCAGCTGATACTATTACTGGCGACATTATTAAAGGCTTGGTTAAATTATTAAAGGCTTGGTTTACTTGTAAGGTTCTCAAAATGATAAGAATACATAGTCATAGGGTCTTAAAGGGTACCACTGCTTCAGTTATAATTGCAAAGAATTGTTCCCCCTTACATCTTTTAACTTGGTTTTCAATTTTTTATAAAACTTAAAAGATGAAGCAACAGAAATAAGTTTTTCGCTGTTAAGAGTTACTTCCCTTGTCAAGCTATTGAGATATGGCAGTGAATACATTTTTGAGTAAAACACTTAAATTTTGAAAAGTTTTAATTCTCTATCTGTATTGTGAGATATGATTTACATGGAACACTTCTGTCAAAAATACCTTAAATATTTCATGACAGTGAAAAAGGTCGAAATAGAAAAGAAATAAGGAATACACACTATTAAAAACAATGTTTTAACTTTACTGTTGCTTTCCCTTAAAATATGTTATTTGGGTAAGTGAAAGAATAGCAAAAATGGCTTAATTCCATCCCAATCCAAAATAAACCTTCCTAAGACACTTAGCCCATGTGATTTCATATGAAACTTAAAGTGGCAATATTAGGTAAAAAATAATTTTCAAATGATTACATGGATATGAATTTTGTCTTTAAATTTCAAACAGTTTTTGTTCCGAGGTTAATAAAAGTGTTTTGAAACATTTTATGATCAAAGACCGTTATTTATCATAAGTACGATAACCAAGAAAACAAATCATTACAACATTGCTTCAGTTGCTTTTCAGTATTGTTGGGTGTGTCTGCAAGAAAGTTTATATTTTCATGAATATACCTGGTACACAAGACTACAACATTGTCTCTTTTCTTACCCGCCACTTCTGGTGCAGGGTAAAATATTTAAACAAATACACTAAAGTGTTTGATAGATATAATATCAGGCTTGATAGGGAAATGCATTTCGGCTAATTAGCTATGTCGGTACATACTAAGCATCTTCTATTGACCCTTTCAACCCTATGTAACTTTAGTAGGCTCTACCATGCATTTATATGGATGAGTCCATTATGGTCTACAGTGGTAAAAGGGTTAAATTGTTAACTAGTATAAACAATCAGATTTTCACACAAACACCTATTTAATAGAACTTTTCATGATCCCCAAGCTAGAACTTGTAGTTGAATTGTTGCCTTTTGCATCAATATTCATTCCATCACAAATAAGAAGGTGACTATAGAAATAATTCATAAATTTATTTTTCAATAAACACATGACATTCATAAACATTGATTTTTTTTTGATTTTTTGATTTTTTAAACTATTTAAAAATATCCATGATATGTAATGTTAATGTTTACATACTTGGTACATGTAGTAAACTACAGATCACAAATTAGTATACCAAAGTTCATTTGGAATGTAATTGGAACTCCAATCATACAAAAAAAATCTATAAAAATATCAACCATATAATAAACATGTACATGTATGTATACATGAAATTAAAAAGATCACAGCCATTTTCACATGTAAATATAAATGTTATAACAATAATATGTATATATCACTTTAAATTACCACTTTATCTTGTGTATTTTTTCAAACTTGACACAAGAAAGATGACCCTATTGCATGATAATAAAGCAGCACCCTTTGTGAGTACAATTTCCCTTGTAGTAGTTTTAACTACACTATTACATATACAGGATTTATTTGGTATAACTATGGACTATAATACATCCTCTAGTTGCTTGCGTCATGTCCACTTCACCATAAGCATCAACGAATGTTGGAAATACTTCAAGTGGCAATATCTCTGCCAAAATTTGAGGAAATTCATGTGGTATCTAGACAACTCCAAATCTGAAATGTAAAAGACCGTATTTTTTTAATACAAAATAGAGGTTTACACTTACATTAGACTTTATTTATAAGGATATTTATCATAAAATACTACCTAATTCCAGAGTTTTGATTGTTTCTTTCCAATGAGAGAAGGAATTTATATCGGACAGATGTATGAACTTGTTGTTTTTAAAGATAGATAGATTCAAATAGACTTAAAAGAAACAAAACAACTTCTTAATCTTCAAATAGACTAAAAAACAACTTATTAATTTTCAAATAGACTAAAAACAAACAACTTATTAATCTTCAAATAGACTAAAAACTAACCTTCTTTGTGGCTGTCGTCTCTGCTGGGCTCGATACCCTTGGTCGAGTTGCTGATTACCACACACTTTCCAGTCTGTCAACACATATGGTAAAATCTTCTCATGGCTCAAAGTGACGTCAGTGTCTGTCTTCAATGCCAGACGAGACACGTTGGACCGAGAGACACCATTAGGGCAATTCAAATGTTTGGAGGAAACATCTAGGAGACGGTCATTCCTAATTTCAGTCCGGGTTCCCGGTTGAGCCAGAGAGGACTCCCACTGAACTGGTTCAAGCTGCTTGCTGCCAAATATAAATTCTGAAAACAAAGTGAGAATCAATGATTAGGATGACCTGTATTTGTAGATTTTGATGGACCTATCACGATAGTAATGCTATGCATGCATGAAAGTCTACATATTGTACATGTCAATACATACAACAACAGAAAATATAACATGTACAAGGTAATACTAGGACATGCATCTCCTCCATAAAAGAAATTTTGATATAAGAAACCTAAAATATCTTAACAGTACACACAAACACTTTCTTTTGGTAGTGCTTCCATCATTCTGTAAAGGATTGAAGTATCTTTATTTTCACATTTATATGGTAATCAAACCTAGTTACTTACATTCTCCAAATTAAACTACAATGGGATATGGATGTAAGCAACTGTTTAATGCTTAACAAGACATCTTTACTAGTAATGGTTTTAAAGTTACAGCCCTGACCAGACCTCATAAAAAAACCCACTTATTTGACCTATGACCTAGAGATGAAGGTCACAGTTAGTTACCTCATTCAAGTGCATTGCGCACCTTCTGTGGGTGCAAAAGGTGTGCTTCAAGTTTCATAAAGATATAACAGTTTAAAAGAAACTGCCAAGACAAAACTGGAGAAAAAAAAACCTAAGAAAAACCTCTGCCAATAAAATAGGTATAATTTTCATTCCATTGGGAAATATAATTAGTCCACCCCTACCCCAGATCTATGAATCCAATCAAGATTAAGAGAATAAGTTCCTGATACATTTGTATAGTAAAACCGACAAATACATTTTAACTGAATGCTGAATTAGTCTTGAAAAAGCACATGGTACAGCTTAAAAAAAATTGGATTACTTTAGGTAAGAAAAAGTACACTAGTTAGAAGATTTAACTTCAAAAGACATTTTTGAAATTTGCACTGGATAATTCCAAGAAGATGACTACAAGTCAATCCATCCTTTTCACTGTACTAACACAACACTGGTGATTAGTATCAAACTCACCTTTTAGTTCTTTAGAAAGACAGTCCTTTGTAAAATTGTTGGAGTTGTTGTTGCTTTCATTCAGATCAATACAGGAAAGGTCGGAGTACGTATCCTCTGACGGAGCGGTTGGGGCAGCCATTGGTGTGTGCAACACATTATCTGCAGCTGGCACTCTCCTGCGGTCGGCTGACGTTGGGCGAGGCACATTTTGTGGTGCAGCTTTTGCTTTAGGTTTCTTTAATTTTGTTGCGATGTTTGAAAGAAATTTAGTGGCAGCATTCTTTAATTTTCCACGACCCTTCTTTCCTTTTGGTGTTGTAGCATCCTCGGATGAATCTGGATTCGAATGATTCCCTGTTGATGATCTGGTGGTGGGGGCTTTGTTTGGTGTCGGTGCGGCTGCCCCTGCTGGTGATGAACTGTGACCACCACCTGGTAAAAACGATGATGCCGTGAACATGTCAAACCTGGGATTGCGTGTTGTATGTTTTTCCTCTTGTTTTTCCTGGGGTGTATTTGCTGTATTTGTTGTCTCAGCTGTTGTTGCTATCCTTCCCATATTATCAGCATTTGGATTACAAACTGTGCGCTGAGGTGACCCAAGGTCAGCCTTTGTCCTTGTTTCATGAATGACCCTCTCTTCAGTTTGGGACACTCTGTCAGAGTCAGACATCCCAATAGGTGTTGACACATTATCAATATTGATTCCACCACTTGCCATAGCATTTCTTGTGTTACTTGCCGAGGAAGCTGAAATCTTTACTGCGGGTTTGGGATTCCTGGTTTTCATTCCAACATGTATTGAGTCACTTTCTCCCAGATCAATACACGAGAGATCGGAATCGGGATCAGAGACGACACCAGGAGAAAACTGACCTGCTGCTCCCTTCATGGGTGTGTGCATAATTGTTCCTGCTGGTGGTGACCTCTTGCACTCCACTGATGTTGGTGGAATGGCGACATCCACACCTTTTCCAGTGCTGTCACATGAAAGGTTTGTTGTAACTCTGTGGTCCTGTTTTCTTGGTGTAGGTTTTGCTTCTACAGCCTTTTGAGCAGATTTGACTTCAGTCTTTTCTAACTCTAAACAGGAGAGGTCAGAATCTGGGTCAGACCTAATGCCTGGAGTGATCCGATTGATCCGTCCTATCATCGGTACTCCTGCTTGTGCTGACCTCTTGGATTCAGCCGACTTTGGTGGAATGGAGTTATCCACATTTTTTCCATTGCTGCTAAATGAAGGGTTTATTGTGTCTCCCTTTGTTTGTTTTGTTGGTGTAGCTTTTGTAACAGGGTTGACTGCAGTCTCCTCCAAATCTAAACAGGATAGATCCGAAACTGTACATGTATCAGACTGTATGTCCTTTGATGATCTATAGGTGGGAGCAGTCATTGGCCTGTGCATGATTGTCTTTGTATCCTGTGACCTTTCACCTTTAGCGTCCTTTGGAGAGGTTGAAGCTACTGGTAATATTCCAGCATCCCTTGTTGTGTCTGTTGTTTCAGTCCCTCCTTCTTCGTGCCTTGATGAAGATGGCATGCCAAAGTTACTTCCTATCATATTGGAATATGTTATCTTGGATTTCTGCACCGAACCTACTACTGGTAACCTTGAACCTTTCTTCGCTGTAGGATCTCCCAAATGGTCACTGGAATCATCTGATTTTTTCTTGCCAGCTTTGTTTTTACCCGTCTTTGATTTCTTTCTTGAATTTGATGCCATTGGAGTTGGTGTCTGAAGACTATTTTTCTCTTTTCTTCTAACAGTCCCCTTCTTCAAAGTGCTTTTTATACTTCCAATAAAAGACTTCCCCTTCTTTTTTTCTGCTTCCTGTGTTTTTGCTACATTTCCAGACACACTCTTTGTTATGTTATCCGATACATTTGTAGGTAACTGTAGGACATCTTCAGATTTGGATGTGGTGTTCTGTTTTCTATCTGTACGTGTTCTGTGTGACTGATCCAACTGTAGGTCCTCACAGGGATGTGTGCTGTCACCAGCGACTGCGGAACTTGTCCGTTGTTTGCCAGAGCTGACTGTTTTCGAGGCCCCCGTGCCATGACCATACCCGACAGTGGAAACATCCCCTTCCATATGAATGCATGAAAGATCAGAATCTTGGTCGGATATCACTTCACCCTTGTGCTTTAACAATTTGCTTTGCGCTGCAACTTTTCCATCAAAGTTTGTCATAGATTTTAGAGACACAGTGTCACCACAGGAGGGACCATTATCGAGCATACCTGTTAAATGTACAACAAATGAGTTTTGAAATCGGACAAGATTAATGGTATATGGTATTTACAACATTTCAGTAATTGTATATCATACAAACTTTATGGGCCAATCGGGACAATCCTTTGTTCATATGTATAACACATCCTTATTACTGCATTACAAAATATATTATGCTAATACCTGTACCAACCACCAAAGCAATCCAAATAAATAAGGACTAATGGGTACTCCCTAAGTCAATGAAGTAGGTAGCTAGCATGGAGGTTCATCGGATTGTGGTGATTAAAATAAATGCAGATCTGGGTTAAGATAAACAAAATAGATCGAAGACCAGCTATGATGTCAACTCTACCAAATTATTCTATGTGAAGTTTTTATCACAGATGGATAAAAATACTCAGATACATTATATCTTTAAAACACACAGAAGGAAATTTTTCTAAGAATCTGGTACAAGAAAATCTTTTGTACAATGATGTCCACAATGCTAAAATAATCTGCTACATTAGAAAGATCTTATTAAAACCAATAAAAGGGCAACAACTGTCACTGATACATCCTTCCAAAGTTTGTACACACTGAACGGTATATATATATAAATTGTCACTTCATTGCAGTGAAGCTTCTTCTCGTCAGATAAACTGGGGGGTTTGGTTTGTCACGTGAATGAGTATATCAACCATATACAGGGATTTTTTTGTCTTTTAGCTTTTTTTGCATAATAATGGAGGCTATATATATGACAACCCAGAACAACCATGTGAAGATGTGAGTTTCAGATTTTCATGGGCTTTGCCATAATTAGTTGCCTCGAAGACCTCTAGTGATGTGTTCTATATTGCAGAATGAATTGATAAAAAGTTGAACCATGAAAATGTTGAAAACTATCTCAATTAACATATATACCTTGTGTTTTACAGTCTTCTTGACTTTCTCCACCTAAATCTATACAGGAAATATCATCGGACTCGGACTCGGACACTCCAGCCTTCATTGCTTTACTGTCAGTCTTTGATTCTGCGGAATCTGCCGTTTTTCTAGGTCCAGATTTTCTGAGGACAATTTGTGGCACTGGATCATCACTTGAGGAGCCATCATAAACAAATGCTGAAATAAACAAATCACACATGTTTTCATGAAAGGTGTCAATGTTTTGAGCATTGTATACCAGTGTTAGACTATGTAACAATATGTTTTTAGTATAATAACAGTAGTCTTAAAGTACTTTTACCTGAGTACCATATTTAAACATAACACAGAAATTATTACCTTGTACTTTCATATTAGTACATGTACCATTTCTGTATTATAACACAGAAATTATATCACCTGGCACTTTAGAACTACCCAGTTAGAACCACACATTCATTTTCACAGAGACTTCAACATTGTACTGTAAGATGGCAATTACCTTGCACTTTAGTGCCATACTTGGAGCTGTTATCACCACTCAAATCAGATTTTGAACTTGCTGACCCCACAAACATCATATTTGTTTTTTCACTTTTTGACTTCTTTGTTGAGAGCTTTCCTGGCTCAGATTTCTTAGGGTCTGTTTTTTTGACAAGGTCATCACTGGAGGTTCCATCACCAAAGGATCCTGTGAAATACATGATGTTATAGGATAATGTATCTGTAACTGTTTAATTTATTCAAAGAACCTATATAAAAAAAGCTTTTGAAAAAGTGAAATCAATTACCAAATTCATATGCTTACAACAACTAACAAGATTGGATTGACAATTTGAAATCATAAAAATTAGAAGAAAAAATTAAAGCTATCTTTACATGCATACCTTGTTTTCTAAAGTGTTCTTGACTTTCGCCACCCAAATCTAGACAGGAAATGTCGTCAGACTCAGAGTCAGACATTCCAACTTTCTTGACGTTACCGTTGGTCTTTTTTGCTGGGAAATCTGCCTTTTTTCCAGTCATCGATTTTCTCTGGACATTCTGTGGTACCGGATCATCACTGGAGGAGCCATCATAAACAAAGGCTGAAATAAACAAATCACACATGTTTTCATGAAAGGTGTCGATGCTTTGTTTCATGCCAGATTCTGTAACAATAAGTTTTTAGTACAATAACAGAACTATCTTCAAGTACATCTACTTCAGTACCAAATTTTATAAATAACACATAAATCATAGCATGGACCTTATACTTTAATATTAGTGAATGTATCAGTTTTATCTTGTCACATAACTGACCCATTTTAATATGACATACGGCTATGTCATAAATATGGTTATACACGTGTAATAAAACATAACGTTGTGTTTGAAGCTAATTTTAAAATTATTAATGTTATGATAAATAGAATCAAACATGAGTGTCCATGTCATATTGAATTTATTAAATGAGTTCAGTAAATTTATTTGACACGAAAACAAAGGATTTTGGCATTTCATATTACATGAACGTAAGATCCTCTATATATGATAATACAGAAACTTTATCACCTGGTACTAAATTTATAACTGTCACCTGGTAATTTAGACCAGACATGTATTTTCACAGAGAAGTTTAAATTTAACCTTGCACTGTAACATGGAAATTACCTTGCACTTTAGTGCCACACTTGGAGCTATTGTCACCACTCAAATCAGATTTTGAACTTGCTGACGCCACAAACATCTTATTTGTTTTTTCATTTTTTGACTTCTTAGTAGAGAGCTTTCCTTGCTCAGATTTCTTGGGGTCTTTTTTCTTGACAAGGTCATCACTGGAGGTTCCATCACTGACGGATCCTGTGAAATATATGACATTATAAGGGGTGATATGACGTTATAAAGGATGATGTATCTACAACTGTTTAATTTATTCTAAGAGCCTCAATACAATACACTACCAGTAACACCTCCCGGGAATCCTTCCGTATTACACAAACCCTTGAATGTGAATCTACGAATGCCATATACCTGATCCAATGTTAGAAATGCAACACATTCAATATGTGGGACAAACATCCAACTCCATCCGTTAAAGAATGCACAGACATTTCTTTGATATACGGAACGCTAACCAGTACAGTATCTGTAACTGTTGAATTTATTCAAAGAACCTATATATAAATAGTTTTAAAAAGTTAAATCAATTTATACCAAATTCATATAATGCTGTCAACAACTAACAAGAACGGATTGACAAAATTTGAAATCACGAAAATTAGAAAAAAATAAAAACTATCTAGACATACATACCTTGTTTTCTACAGTGTTCTTGACTTTCGCCACCCAACTCTAGACAGGAAATGTCGTCAGACTCAGAGTCAGTCACACCAACTTTCTTGACCTTACTGTTTGTCTTTGATTCTGCGGTATCTTCCTTTTTTGCAGTCACAGGTTTTCTCTGGACATTCTGTGGTACCGGATCATCACTGGAGGAGCCATCATAAACAAAGGCTGAAATAAAAGTTCATGAAAGGTGTCGATACTTAGATTATGCCAGTGTTGTAATTAAGATTCTTGAACAACATGTTCTATTTGATAGTACCAAACTTGTATTATAACCATAGTTATACTTTGTTTTTTTCAGTCCTATACATTGTATAAATTATATAAAGTAGAACACTGACTTTCTGAACCAGAAGAAATTGTTTTAAAAAATGATTGACAGATGGTAGAACAAACTGAGGAACAACCGATGGATGTCACATTAAGGCATTATGTCACCTTAGCCTTTTGGACCATGTGAGCTAAAAACCTCCCAACTAATTACCTTGGACTTTAGTGCCACACCTGGAGCTGTTATCACTACTCAAGTCAGACTTTGACGTTACTGATGCCACCAACATCATATTAGTTTTTTTGCTTTTAGACTCCTTTGCAGAGAGTTTCCTTTGAGAAGATTTCCTGTGGTCTTCTTTGTTTACAGAGTTGTCACTTGAAGAGCCTCCAACAACCAATCCTGTGAAATATAATTATTTTATGAAATTATGTATGCATTTATCAAAATGATTAATGAAATATGTTAACAGAACCTACAATATTTTGCATATAAATTTTGAAAAGTGGAATAAGTGTTTTAAGTTACAAGGTGCATTAGAAAAAAAGAATGAGTTCATATCATGCCAATGATAAAATATTTTAAAGCTATCTCAACATGCATACCTTGTGTTCTACAGTGTTTCTGACTGCCTCCATCCAAATCTAGACAGGAAATGTCATCAGACTCGGGGTCAGACACTTCAGCCGTCTTGGCTTTACTGTTGGTCTTTGGCTCTGGCTTTTTTCCGGGTCCAGATTTTCTGAGGACATTTTGTGGTACTGGGTCATCACTCGAGGAGCCATCATAAACAAATGCTGGAAAAAACAAGTCACACATATTTTTTATGAAACCTGACATTTGCTGTTATTATGCCAGTGTTGGATTCTTGAACAATATGTATCTTAGTAGCATAACAGTACTATCTTAAAGTACTTCTACTTTACAGTACAAATACAGTCCGGTTGAAAAGTCATTCCAATTAGCAAAGGTACATGAATTAAAACAACAACATGTTCATTGGTAGGGGACAAAGACAAGATTCAAATTGAAAGTTTTTTAATAGGGGTTAAAATCAGCCAACTACTCTTCTCTAATATAGAAACCCTTGCATTGTATCAGTACAATATTTGTACCAAAGTTGAACATCAAACTCAAACTGCGTAGTTTATCATATTTTTACTTTAACACTGAAATTATTAACACTAAAAATATAACTTTGTAATTTAGCAATAAAACTATTACCTTGTACTTTAGTGCCACACTTGGAGCTATTATCACCACTCAAATCAGATTTTGAACTTGCTGATGCCACAAACATCATATTTGTTTTTTCGCTTTTCAATATCTTTGCAGAGAGTTTTCCTGATGAAGATTTTCTGGGGTCTTTTTTGTTTGCAGCACTTGAGGAGCCACCATCAACTAATCCTGTGAAATGCATACATTCATATAATTGACAACGTTTGAATGTCAGAGCCTTTGTAATAAGGCCTTTGAAAAGTGCAATCAGTTTCATAAATTATCGGATGTAACTCAAGAAACAAGAAAGATTTGATAAAAAAAAAAATTATGACAATGAGAAAATGTGAAAATTTCTCTCAACAAGCATACCTTTGACTCCATGGTGTTTCTGACTGTCTCCATCCGAATTTAGACAGGAAATGTCATCAGACTCAGGGTCAGACACTCCAACATGCTTGCCTTTACTGTTGGTCTTTGTTGCTGGGGAATCTCCCTTTTTTCCATTCACAGATTTTCTGAGGACATTCTGTGGTACCGGATCATCACTGGAGGAGCCATCATAAACAAATGCTGAAATAAAAGTTCATGAAAGGTGTCAATGCTTAGTTCATGAAAGGTTTCAATTCTTAGTTCATGGCAGTGCTGTAAGTTTGTAAACAAAAATCTCGTTAGTATCATACTTGTACTTAGTACCAAATTTCTTGAACCCATTCACCCCTAAAGGCACATTTGAACCTTACCAAGTCAAAGACTGGGCAAGTCCAGTTTAAATATGTAGGGGTGAAAGAGTTAAGATAAAAACTATTACTTTGCACTTTTCCATATTCATACTCTAACAGAGAAACCATTTTCCTGTTACCTTAATAAAATAAGAGGTAAAAAGTGCCTTTATCTCTCACCTTGATATTTAAGAAATCATTGCAAAAATTGTCATCACTTTAAGTTAAAGTAATATTACAATCACTATTTCCCCATATCAGGCTCCACCTGGCAGCACCCTTACTATAGAATATCTGATTCCCTGCTCCCAAAAAATGTACACAAATTTCGTTAAAATATGATTTACTGATCAGAAGGAGTAAGATTGTAATTAGGCCTAAATACACAATTCATCCTCTTTTTGGCCTAGCACTAAAGAAAACTTAACTTTTCCTTTACAAAACAATTCATCCCCAGGTCATAGCGACCAAGAATGCTTCATATGAAATTTGAGCCATATCTGTGTGTTTATATCATTACAGGGTTGAAATCGCAATCATTCCCATGTTATGATCCGCGGACTAAGTCAAAAGGGCAGGACCAGACCATTTACTAATTCTGGTATCATGATTTTGCTCATCTCTTCATGCATGGCCATCAAATAAATGGCTATGGGATGGGGATCTACACTGTTTCCAAGTAAACAGATGTGTTGGTATATAAGATGGGTTGTCAACCATTTTCAAATATTTACCATTTTTTGGCCCCACCTCAAAGCAACTTAGGTCAGCTTCTCTGTGTATTTTTGAATCATCACAATCTGAAGATTCATCACATAGTTCTAGGGAAGTTGCTTAGGGCTATTCCAGTTAAAAATGTCACCCAATAACTGACTTCCCTTTGTTCAAAGGGGTATCACCAACAGAAGCGATTTCTTTCAGATTGCCAGATGGAATAGAAGTGTTTTCTTCCATTAGAAAACAATATGACCAAAACAACTCTATTTTGCCCCAGATGCTAGCCCCCTGGGTCAACCCCTCTTGATTTTCTACTGACTTATTATATTTCCGATTAGATTTTTCGAAATGGTGTGCAAGGATTCATCATACAGCTTGAGACCAGGTCAGTTAAATGCTATTTATTACCTTGTACTTTAGTGCCACACCTGGAGCTGTTATCACCACTCAAATCAGATTTTGAACCTCCTGGTGCCACAAACATGGTTGCTTTTTCATCTTTAGTTTTGTTTACAGAGGGTTTCCCTGTAGCAGATTTTCTTGGGTCCTTTTTGTTCACAGGACCGCCTTTGGAGGAGCCACCATCAACCAATCCTGTAAAATAAAGCTTTTTTAATAATGTATGCAGTAAGATTTCTATAACTGATGAACACTCTTAAAAGTATTGGCAGAACCAAGCTTTTTAAAAAGTTCAATCAGTTTTCTAAATCATCAGAGGGTCACAACTAACATGAGTGATTTGATAAAAGTTACAAAATGTTTATAATCATCTCAACATACATACCTTGTGTTCTACAGTGTTCTTGACTTTCTTCATCCAAATCTAGACAGGAAATGTCGTCAGACTCAGAGTCAGACACTACAACTTTCTTGGCTATACTGTTGGTCTTTGGTGCTGGTGAATCTGCCTTTTTTCCAGTCACAGATTTTCTCTGGACATTCTGTGGTACCAGATCATCACTGGAGGAGCCATCAAAAACAAATGCTGGAAAAAACAAATCATATGTCTATTCATTAGTACTATATTTTTTTGAACACAGAAACTATTACTATGTACCTAACCCTATCTCTACTTTCACAGAGGAACTATTTGCTTGTTTTTTAACCTAACAAGAGGCCCAGCGTGTGTTCATTGATCGCTTGCCTGGATATCCAAGCGATCTAGCAAAGGTTGGGGATCTGAACCGTTTTTAAATTATTACTCTATTCCAAACATTACAAATGGAAGGGTTTCCCTCCCCACCCTAAGAGGGTGTGATGGAATTATGAACTGTATCAAGCTAGAAGCATCTTCGGTGGTATTGATTGAAATTTATACAAACAGAGGTGCTCACCCCCAATTGGGAGGTAAACCCTTCCATTTGTAATGTTTTGAATTCCTACCACCTCATGTCGTTTCCTATTAGGTTTTGAAAAATTCTGTTCCAGAGTTTAGAAAAAAAATTTGACAGACAAATGGATGACAGAAAACGTAATGGTAGAGCATAAGCTCACCTAAGTCTTTCAAACAAGGTTAAAAATCTATTAAATACCTTGTACTTTAGTGCCACACTTGGAGCTGTTATCACCACTCAAATCAGATTTTGAACCAGCTGATGCCAAAAACATGGACGTTTTTTCATTTTTTAACTTCTTTGCAGAGAGTTTCCCTGTTGGTGTTTTCCTGGAGTCTTTGCTTTTGACAGAATCATCACTTGAGCAGCCACCATCAACCAGTCCTAAGAAATACATAATTTGTATGCACAAATCATTCCTGGTAAACACTAAAATGTTACTAAACATCGAATTACTTATTAATTGATATGTTTTTGTAAGCAATTAAATGTTTTATGTAAAATATTGCTAAAATGAATTGATGTATGCCGATATGCGCACACGTGTGTGTCATGTGTGATCAGATAATTCAAAGAAAACAAGCAACAAAATACACATTTTACGTAGTTTCTTCTTGGTTTTAAATATCATTTTACATCAATGAAAAAAAAATCATAGAAATATATTTAAAAAAAATATATTCAGAGATCGATTTTCGGAGCATGAACATCGGTTTTTTTCCAGATTTTTTGGGTGCGCAAAATATTCGAGTAGAACCTTTTTTCCCGATTTTCAGCCTCAAAAAGTACCTGCGCAAATTACATAGGTGCGCAAATTACATGGGTTTTTACGGTAAATGCATTCGCAGAATTTGAAGATGTATAAAAATAGATTTTAATAAAAAAAAAAACATACAATCAGTTCTCTATGTACTCAAACAAGAAATGGCTGATAAAAGTAATTTTTTGAAAATGGGAAAATGATTAAAACTATTTCAACATACAAACCTTGTGTTCTACAGTGTATCTGACTTTCTGCACCCAAATCTAGACAGGAAATGTCGTCAGACTCAGAGTCAGACATTCCAGCCTTCTTGGCTTTACTGTTGGTCTGTGTCTCTGGGGAATCTGCTTTTTTTCTGGATCCATTTTCAGAATCAACAACACTGTTCTTCGATTTTTTCAACCTTTTTCCTGGAGATTTTCTGTTGCCTTTTTCTTTGGAGGAATCTAAAGTGACCTCTGAAGAAGGATCTATGTTGTTCTTCAGGGCAACAACAGATGTATCACTAGAAGAGCAACTAACATTCTCATCAAAATCTGGAAAGAAAGCAAACGGAATCTGGAACAATAGTAGTAATAAGTGGTTTGATATAGTTCATGAACTTTTTCTTTTTTATTAGAATTACAAGTAAGTCCAAACTTGCATCTCTACAAACAATCAGTTGTTTATTCTCTCAAATGCCATTCTGATACTTGAATTTTAAGCTAAAAGCTCTGAAACAGTCTTCTGCTGAAAAGTGAGCAATAAGATATGTGTGGTCTTTGATATTTAAACTGTGCTCGAAAGATTTACCAGGTAGATATGTACATTTTGATATTGTATAGTTACCTTGTACTTCAAATTCAGATTCTCCATTGCTTTGATCACACGTGAACTTTGACACATCATTTGACTCCTGATGTTGAGTTACCATGGCTACCTTTGACCTTTGTTTGACCTTTCCTGGACCAGATGCCTTTTGGATAAGACTGCTGTCTGCATGGTTTTCACTGTCACCAGAGAAACTACCACATGCTGTGAACAAAATGTAACTCATGCATGACGGTGTGTCAGATGGTAGAAAAGTTAAAGACTCTGGGTCTCCTAATCTATAAAGCTAACCAGTAAAGTGTTGTCTCAGAAATTATTCTACTGTTTGAACACTCTCTTGATACAAGTTAACCTGAAACACATTTAAAATACAGAATTTTTTCAGACACTCAAATTAACTTCTTTGCTCCACATAATTTCTACCTGATTTTACTGTACTGCTGTCCCTTCCAATGCCATAATCAACCATCACAGCCTTGGGTTGTACAATGTCATCCGTTTTGAGGTCATTGCTCGTGAGGGTGGAAGGTCTTGTTTGGGGAAGCTTTGGGTACTGAAGCTGTGTACCTGGAGTCAACAGAGCCTCAGTTTATTAAAACATTCTTTAGCTGCCTTTTAATTTAAAAGTTTTTAGGCTGTATGGCCCTGAACTGATCCGCTGAACATGTAGTCTCCATTTGTTCAACCTTGCGACTGATATATATTAAGAAATATATTTCTATTTCTTCACCAGACCTTTAAAAATATAAAGATAGCTGCTGCATGTATGCATAATAACACTTTAATAGGATTTTCTTTTTACACTGCTGAATGTTAATATATAATATAGTTTTTGACAACTATATTCTTCATTTATTCACAACTTTTCAACGCATGTAAAAAAAACTCTACCTTGTACACTGTTTTCTGTGTGAACATCATTGTTTTCCCATGTCTCCCTCTCAGCAAACAGAGACACTGTAGGACTACAGCCTCGGTTTATTCTAGCAACTTCCTCATCAGAGGCAGACCCAGTCATGGCCAGCTGTGGTACAGCATCACGCTCAGTTTGCCTGGCATGTGATGTCTTGCCCTCGCGAACAAGTTCCCTTTTACCAATTTTATCATTGCCCCCACACACTGAAATAAAGATACATATCTTCAATGGTTATTATAGAAGACATATAATCTTGTCATGTGAAAATTAATAGGGATCTTGTGGCACAGTACAGTATGTCATATAAAACATTTTACTGAGATGACCTGAAATAGGTTATTGGGTCAATTTATATCACTGCTAACATTGATTACTGAAACAATATTTCAACTTTATATCACTGTACCAATGATTGTATGATTGCTGACAATGATTGTTTGGGTAACTATTTTAGCTTTAAATAATTGTGCCAATGATTGCTGAGTCAATATTTCAGCTCTATCATAATCACTCCTTAACATTGATCAATGCTACAGGTTTTTTTTCGACAGATTAAATGGCAGTCTGTTACCAGGTGCAGGGTTGTTATTGGTCATGATACTGCGCCTTGACTGATCTCTGTTCCTAGTTTGGACTTTAGCCTTTCCCCCACTTGTATATGCACTTGTAAAGTCCAATCCTGAAGCACAAATACCAGTGTCAACATCCTCAATGGGCTCTGTTACCCGTTTCCTATTTCCATCGCTACGTTGTGCTGGCTGATTTATGTGAACAGTAGTTTTTGGCTTGAATTCTGAAAGAAAGGACATGTGAAATATAACAGACTGTCAGTGTCTTTGTTTAATGCATTCAATGTAAGTATTACATTATTGCAAACCATTTAATGGAGCAATAAAAACAGTCGTTTGAAACCATATATTATAACCTATACATTGAGTACATATTCCACTGATTACTTCGCACTTCCAAGACATCTAAGTTAATTTGACAGTTTAACTTTTAAGTTCTGCAAACTTTCATAATAAGACAATTTTATACAACTTCAGAGTTAGATCTAGCTAACAAGTCCCAATAGGAAAATACTACAGAAATTATTGACAACATAGATTTTTGTTATAAATAAATACTTATTTATTCCTAAAATTTTCTGTCAGTTTCCATGGAATGGGAACCATAGCATGACCTCATTTTAATTTGTCATACAAAGTCAGTTTTTTTAAGACTCTGTGTCTTTCCCAAAGAACATGGAATATATTATGCAATGTGTTACCTTGTTCCCATGAAGCAGTACTATATGTAGTAATGCTTTCTGTTTCAGCATAGTTGCCCACATGCTCTTCACCATCACAAACAAACTGAGCTAATGTATTCTCGTTTATTCTGGCAACATCGATGTCTGATTTTGAGGCAATCCCAAGCAGGTCAAGTCTCGGCACACAATTTGGTCGGGGCTGGTCAGTCGACACCAGTTTGAAGGGAACGTCAATGTGGTGGTCTCGAAGTAGATCTTCCCTAGTATCTGTCAACTCCAAATCTAACCAGTCCTTTGCTGGATCTAAAAATAGAATAGGAATAAAATAAGAACAGGAATAAAACAAAATTAAAGCATTAAAATGAAACCTATACCAGGTTACGCTCACATGATTGAAAATTGTCCATCTCAATTTCATATCTTTAGAGTAGATTTAAATACTGGAAATAAACACAATAATGTATTTTTCTACCTTTTCCAGTTCCAGTGCCAGTATCCAGCTGATCAGGCCTTCTATATAGGGTGGTGAATCTGTATTCTCCACTACTTCTGTCAGGAAAGAAGCATGCCACAGTTCCCTCGTATATCCTGTCAATGATCTCAGAGGTTGAAGTTATACCAGACAGATCCAATGTGAGACCTTCACCTTGTCTGGTGTGTGTCACATGCAGCTCAGAATACTGACTACCTGCATCATTCCATGGAGAACCATGTCGGAACTGTAATTCTGGAAATAAAAATTTGATATAAATATGTAGCAATATTTTCAAGATAATGAAATTTGACTATAAAGGGTAAAGGGTGCTATATTATATGGTTAAAATATATTACTGTGATTATCACCATCATGAAATATTTGTTTCAGTCATTTTCTACTGAAGTATTCAATGTAATTTATACATTACAATACATTTCACAGAATCATTTTGTTGTGATCTAGGTATTATCAATGTATGGCATTTAATAAGAATTTATGAATACCAAATTATGGAAAGTAATCAAGTTCTAGGCCACTTTTCTTGCTTCATCTTCTATATAAAGGGTAGATAACTGCAAGTCAAATTTTCCTATTATAACTGGTGAAGACATGGAACCATTTACCTTAATTTAATTCTTTTAATGTTACATTACTTCTTGCTCTCAATTCCTTCACCAGCTGTTCTATATCAAACTTCCATTTCCTATACAAGATCATTTACTGCTACAGATTCAGTCAGTTTAAGCATGTTTACAAAATAGTCCGTACCTTGTGCCTCTTCGTTGTAGTCAAGGTATGTGATCTTATCCTCCTGACCTTCAGAAGCACCTGATCCTAACCTTACTTGGTCAGACATGTGTGGCAAACCTTCCAACCTGATCTGATCAGAGGACACTAGCTTAAAGGGGATGTACAGATTGTTGTTTCCAAGGTCCACATGCTGTGGGAGGCCAAGGTTAGCAATGCCCTCTGATCCCAGGAGAGAGGAAACAAGATGGAAAGGGATATACAGATGGTTGTCTCCCTTTATCTCTTCCTTCACAGCCATAGAGGGGCTTCCACATGCTCTTTCTGGAAATAACCACTTAGATTATTTAAAATTAGGTTCATCTCATTTTTTTAAACAAAAATATAAAGTTATTGTTTATTTCTTCTTTATTCAGTATGGCACTGTATGTTGCAATAGTTTTAAATGAACAGATGTACCTTATATAAATTCTACATGACATAAAAAAAGAGAAGTCTATTTAAAAATTTGTTCTGATTATTTGTTAGAAAAATATAACACAATTAACATATAAAAAAAACTGACCTTGTTGTGAATGTTGTGATGTTTTGCCTTTTAATTTTAGACTTTCTAAAGATTTTTTGGCCACAGCGACATCAGAATCGGATGCGTGCCCATCTTGCTTTTGTACAGTCTTTCTCTGTCCGGATGGCTCATCAGAAAATGTGATACAGTCCATCTTTTTCTGTTTTTGTGGAGACTGATCATGGCTGGATGATGCTAAAACTGTACATGTGTCTGCAACACGGAGAAAAAAACTTAAATACAGATTTAGGTGTAAATGAAACACTTATATTAGGTAGTGCAAGTTAATATTGCAAGTGGTTTTTTTTAAATTATCTAATGAAATTTAATATTTCAATATCAGTTATATTTAAGGTATCATCCTGCATAAATGTGGTCTAAAACTGTTTTGCAATTATATGTATATATATGCATCCATTATTATTATGACTTAAGCTATCTAAGTATCTAGCATATATCAGGGACAGCGTGACATAAAAAATAGTTTGTCACACAATGTCTGGAAACAACTTGATTGCCTCTCTCTGTTTACCTTTTTGGATGTTGTTGGCTGTATAACTGCGTGACTGAGAGTTGTTACTTCTTTGTTTCTGAGAAGACGGCACAATTTTGACTGGGATATCTCCATTGGGAGCAGGATTATACCGTGGTACATTTCCATAATTCTGCAGCCTTGTCACACTTGTTATCTCGGAAGCATCCTCATCTATTTCAAAATGAAGGATGGTTCCTGAACTACTACACTTTGGACGTGCCAATACCAGCATACAGTCTCCAAGGTCTTGATTTCTTGCAGAATTTGTGTTGGTGTTTGTATCCAACGAGACATTCATGTAATCTGACAGCTCACAGCTTGATTTATCCTGACTACATTCAGTGGTACCAACATCTGTATCAGTTTTTAAGCAAAAAGACACCTTACTGTCTGGCCCTATTTCCTGGATTTGATAATCCTTGTAAATTCCTTTTGGAAAGTATTCAACAAGATCTACTTCGTTTTCTCTGAGGAAGGTTTTATTTGGTTTTGGAACAGGGACATACTGATTCAGAACCTGCTCATCTTTGTTAGAGTTTGGCAAATATTTCCTCCTCTGTGTGAAAACTGACTGCTCTTCATTATCAGTGTACTGTGCCAACACAGGCCTCTGTTTTCGCCTTGCTTGGTAACTCACAGTGCAGTTCTCCCTGGCCTTTTCCCTGTGGTGGGTCGAGTGGTGATCTCTCGTGTCCAGGTATCTGCTTGGGTTTGTTGTGGCTGCTCTGGGTGATAAATCTTTTGGAAGCTCTTCCAGAAATGTCTTTATCTCAGCTTCCAGTTTGCCAACACGTTTATAGACATCCTCATTAGTGACACCAAAGGAGACCGGTGAAGTATTGGATGAATGTGCCCCACTTCCTGTCTGCTTTACTTCAGATACTTTCCCCATTGTCTTTTGGAAACTGTTTTCTTGCAATGAACGATTTGCTTTGTTTGGCCGTGTTTCTGATCTTAATGCCAGTCGTTCATCATTTCGATCTGATCTAATCTTCACCAGCCTCAATCTCATCAGACGTAGTCTGTGCACTTCTTCCAGATGATCTGGGTGTCCAACAAAATCTTCAAATTGGTTGAGTTCCTTAGCAATTGCCATGTTTTCTTGCCTCCGTTCATGGATTTCTTGCATGATCTCTGCCTTAAATTCAAATCTTCTTTGCTGTAAACATGATAAACACATATATGTCAAATTATGTATGATACAGGAGGAAAAAACCAAAGAGTATCAACATTATATAACATCAAGTTATAGGTCTGCTGTAGGTCACTAGTGTATCATTATGTACACAAACATTTAAAAAATCAAAACCTGACTTCATTCTTTCAATTCCTTTTCATTTCATTCATGATTCAATACCATTTTTCATACACATGACAATGACATTTCATATACCATATGTTGAAAATAAAATTTATCCTTTTTCAAAGTATCTGTCCCAGTTTAGTTGTTACAAATTAAATTGTTCATAATATTTTTTTTATATATATATTGTAGCATTACTTACTCTTTGATTAGCCATCCTATGTTGAAGTTCCTGCGTTTCAGCCTCCATTTCAGGAGTGTCTGGCTGAATACGAGGTTGTTTTCCCTGAAGGTTATTTCTAAAACTGCTTGGTTGGTTGCTTTGGTAACTGTGTGTCCGGAATTCTGAACTGGTATTGTGATTATTATTTGGTTCGTATCGTGGATGGGTATTTTGGTCGATTTTAGGCTGATATTTTGAATGGGTACTTAAGTAGCTGTTTGGTTGATATCCTGAATAGGTATTTTTGTAGTCATTTTGCAGATATCCTAAATGTGTATCTTGGTTGATTGGTTGGTGTCGTGAGTGATTATCTGGGTACGAAAGGTTCATATTCAGTGTCAGGGAATACCCTGACGCTGTGTATGGGTAACCACCGGTGGGGCAATACCTCAAGTTATCTGAAACATAAAAATGCTCCGTTAAATACAATGCTCCTCATTGCCCCTAAATGACTGTAACAAAATAATGTCGGCAACTGACATGATAATTTCCATTATATTTTATATCATATTATATTCCATAGTAGGCTTAATTATAAATTATTTTAATGAGTTCATTTGTTGATACAATGTTATGTTTCTTAAAAAAAAACATTTGTGTATACAGTAGACTTCAAAATAATACAGGACACAAACAGTATTACATTTTCTGTACTTACCCATATTGCTTACTGCAGCATGAATGTTTTCTTTAAATACAATCGCTAAACACGCGGAAAATCCTAATTTTCCAAGTTATAAACTCGCGCTGAGAAAAGTTCGCCATTTTGTTCCATATGAACTACCGACGTTGCTATGCCGCAATAAAACTTCCGGTCATGTGATAAGTGTCATATCGCGAGAGTACCCAAATCGGATCACTTTTTGCAAAAACACTTATAAATAATATAACAATGATGTAGTCTTAGAAAAGATAGCCATGCACCATTTTTTTGTCTAGAGATGATTAGTTTTTAAGTTACATAAGTTCTTATGCATGCCCCTAACGTTGACCTCCTAGAGAGACGTAAAACATTCAGAGATCGCACCCGGCGAGTCTTTCTGCACGAGGAATATGCACAGAATTCCAAAAAAATCATAATCCTCTTCCAATTTCTGAATTCCTGGATTATTTATATCATGTGATTCTTCATCATGATTTGTTTTATTAACACTCCATTTGTCTTCGACAGCTGTTACTAAGATAATTGCTTCAAAAAGTCGCCCCTCCTACGTTTCTGGAAAACCTCGATCTTTACACGGCGAGAAACTTTTGACTGGCTTCGCAGTCGGCAAAATCATATCCGTTAGAAAATAGACCGACCAGCGGCCTTTTATGTCAAGTTATAGGAGTAAGATCCACCCATGGTTTCTTACCAATTGACCAATTGTTCCAATACGTCTTAATATTCTACCATGTTCCGTTATCTATAAAAATCCGTAAATATGTAACATAGATTTTACTAAACTCAAAATAATCCCAGTAATCAATTGACGTATGTCAGCATTGTCCACCGGAATTGTTGTTATACATTGCATTTGAACTTCTAAACAATTACTTCAAAGATCATTTAAATTTGTATCTTGGATATATGTGCTCATTGTTGGTCTTTATAACAGGATTGCCTTCTTATACAAGTAATGATTCATTATATTTTGAAACGGGTTTAGAAACATTATCAGAGAAGAGAAAAAGGCGACCTCCAGCTAGTTATCGGCCCTTTTGCCAAACACAGTGGGTAACAACAATCGGTACAATTTACGGAACCAATATGCTTTCGATATTCCTAAAAACTCTCCTCAAGCAACTCTTCTTTTCTGCCATCGAGTTTACGTCTTTGGAATTCGTTAGACAATACAATAAGAACATTACCATCTTTAAATACTTTTAAATCTGCTAAATCCAGTGGTGCAAAATCGTCTCCACACTCTTATTATAATTTTGGCGAACGCAATTTAAATATATTGCATACGAATCTTAGGCATCAGTGCAGCTCTTTGAAAAATGATTTGTTCCGTGTTAAGATTGTTGATAATCCATCATGCGCTTGTGGACATTCCTGTGAGGATGTTCGTCATTTTTTCTAAGATTAATACAGAACGAATTATGCGGCTTTTTTAAAACATAAGCTCGTTGAATATAATATCCAGTTATGTATAGCCGTAAAATAAAGGTTTTGTCACCTCTTACCTGAATAATTGACCTTCTTTGAAACTGAACGCTATAGATTGATTTTTATTTGGGAATGAAAATCTGTCCGTAGATACCAATACAGAAGTATTCAGACACGTGCAACTTTTCATCAAATCCAGCAGCAGTATAATAATTGTAAAGTATAATATGTATGTCTTGTTAAATGTTATCATGTAAATATCAATATGTACTGTATTAGAGGAAAAGGCGTTGATAAGTTGATATAGCTTGTGCCTAATCCTCTGCTCAAATTTGGGCAATAAATATGTTTAAATCAAATCAAATTAGCCGTTTGCATGTGAACATGCTCTTCAATACCTTACTTTTCACCGACCATGTGTTTTTGTCATGTCCGTAGAGTTATGACTGAGCAATTCTCTTCGTTGTTCCCGAGCCAACATACATATGATGTTGCTAATTTTTAAGACAGCCAAAGATACTAAGGAATGGGGAGGAGAGACGAATCAACCTCTTGTGCCTGTGTTATCGGGTTTTGCTATTAATATCGCACAGTTTAAAAGATTTTGAATATACAGTATACTATTTAAGATAAATTAGATATGACACGCTATACTCAAGCATTGCGTTTTTATGTGTTGCATATAGGTATTGAGCACAGGGACCTGATATTCCGTTACAGCTATTTTTGGACCTAAACTAATTAAGGTGTTCAGAGTAATTGTACATGTTTTAGGGGTTTATATCGAGATTCGGTAAAAATGATTCGCCCGAAAGTCGGTATGAACCCCTAAAACATATACAATTACTCTGAACACCTAAGTTTAGGTCCAAATATAGCAGTAACAAATGCTCAGGCTTCGGTATCAGAAACGTACTTAAGGTCCCTGTGGTATTGAGGTCCGATTACCGCCAAGTGCGTAGCTCGCTGGTACGTAGGTGAATCAACCAAAACTGCTTGTGGCATACTGAATGTGTCTTCAGAAATTAGGTATGCTAGAATAAAATGTAATTCAAAACTGTATTACTTTAAATACTACGAAAATGATACCGAAATCTTAAAATTTGTATTTTTAATTTTCCGCCGGCTGGGGAGCGTCTGGTCCTCTACTGGTCCTATTACAAGGCCCCCCCCCCCCCCGGACCAGTTCCTAAAGGAATCCAGTCTGAGCAAGGGCTAGCTACGGCCCTGACCGCTGTAAAGATTCGAAAACATCTCTCAGATCAAATAGCATACATGCAACATATAACCGCTGTTCTGCTTCGGGGTTTACCACGGTATTGACACGATTTAAAAAAAAAACACAGACTTAAATATCTTTGAATGGAATTATGAGGAATAGTTCAGGATGATGGTCTGAGGCCACTCTGAAGACGTGGGACATGTACACATAAATGGGTTTTTCTTCAAATCGAAAAGATCAAAATGAGAAAATAATGTGATTAAGTATTTGTTTTTCAAAGAAAAATGTTAGAAGGGATGAATTGTGGTGCAGAAATATGAATTCAAAACCCCCATGTCTCACCCACTGTCGTGTAGTCCAATCTCAAACCTTTCACATATGTGTAGACTAATATTTTAGTAAAAACAAGGTATAAGTGTCCTTCAGTTAAAAGTCTCAATGTTATATATCGAAAGTACTGATAAATACTGAAAAAGATAAATCATATTTGACTCCATAATATTGCAAGTGATTATCTTAATTCATTCTTAATCTTCTAAGACTCACTCTTGTCTTTATTGCAGACAACTGTCATCAATAAAAACACATTCATCTAACTTTGGAGCTAATTAGTTACCAGACACGTTTTGACAAACACATTCTCTGACCACAACACATTGTCTAGCTATGGCAATAAAAAATGTGCCGAACAATACATTGCTTAGAAATGATATGACACAGTGTCCCCTGCCAGGTCAGAAGATAATGTTTAAAATTATTTTAATATTTTGATCCCTTGTGACTTTAAATAGGGCCATGACAATCTATGTTTAATAAAACATCTGATTGCCTTTCTTGCCAGCATGCTCCTGGCCACATGTTATGGACCTGTATATTTCTAAAGATTTAGATAGATTTGACTCATGTGAATTTGAACGCAGTTCAAGGTCATTTATTTCAGCAAACTAAATATTCTTTTGTCTCAGCTGAATCAGCATTTCAAATATTTGTCCACTTTTCCCATTCGTTTGTATCATTATATAAAAGAATAAAATCCCCAAACCTCTCTTGGGAGACCCTATCATGAACCTTGGCATCATGGTTATTTAGAAGTTGTGCAAAGGTCATTCAACAGAACAAACTTGATAACCTTTCATCCTTAAAAGCTACAGCTAAATACCCTAAACCTTGGTATCTTTCTTTATCACTGAATAGAAGTAGTTCAAAGATTCAAATATATTTGACCTGTCACAAGGGTCAAGGTCATCTATTTGAACAACTACGCTTACCTTCCATCACAGCTAAAAATTAATCCAATACCATAACCCCTGGCCTTATGGTAAAGTAATTTGAATATTTAACACATATGTTATGAAGCTCAAGGTCATTTATTTTAATAAGTTTAATAGTCCTTCATTCCTGTTACCTACTGATCAAATGACATTACCATGGGCCTCATGGATCTCAAGAAAGAAGTCATTTAAACGTTTTAATGTATTCAAACACTCATGACCTTGAAAGAAATTAAGGGGAATTTATTTGAATAACTTTGATAGCCCTCTATCCCAGCTACTTACTGGTCCAGTTTTATGACCTTATTCTAAAGGTTCTTTAGAAGAGATATTTCAAAGATTTTAACATATTCGACCCCTATAAATGAAGTTTAAGGTAATGTCTTTGAACAAATCTGATAGCCCTTCATCCCAGCTACCCTCTGGTCAAATTCCATGATCCTTAGCTCTAAATCTTTGTTCTTTAAAATAAGAATTAAAAATAGTTTTTAACATATTTGACCTCTATGTCTTCAAATAAAGTTTAAGGTCATTCATCTGGACAAGTTTGAAAGTCTGCCATCCCAGATGCATACTGGTCAAATTTCATGCCCCTTAGCTCTGGATTCTGTAAAAGAAGCAGTTTTAAGATTTTACCATAATTGACCCTTACTGCATTGTATAAAGTTCAAGGTCATTCCTTCAAACAGTGTTAATAGCCCTTATCTAAATTATCTTCTGGTGCTAAATGCTAAGTTTGTTTTGAACACAAGCAGTTATTGAAAAGTTGTTTCGCAAGCTTATGCAAATGCCTGTTTCTTTTGTCAAGCAAAGAGTGCAAATATCCAGTGTTTCAACTCTAAACAAATGAAAAAAACACTTAGCCCCAATGTGCCAAGTCAGTTCATTCAGCTATCAGAAATTATCACCAAATAGCACTCTTGATACTATAGGCAGTCAAAAACACAGAAATTAGGGACACGCCTAAAAGAACATTAGAAAGACGTTGAATCTATGAAACAACAAGTCTTCACTAGAAATACAAGGAAGACAGCAGAGAAACAATACAATAAATCAGCTATTACAGACCATGCTAACACACACCACCACATCAGAGACTGGAACAACTCAAAAGTGCTTCAAAAAGAAGACAAGTGGAAAATTAAGAAAGTAAAAAAATCTATCTGGGTTAGGAGGGAAACCAGTGAACAGAGATGAGGGGGCCACCAGCGAAGGCATCTTTATGATCCCATTTCAACATCCAATAAGGTGTGGAATGGGTAAACATATTAACGAACCCCTTACTGCCTTTAAATAGTATTAGTGTTATTTGGCGAAATGTCTATAATTTCTGACAGCTGAATTTACTGACTCAGCACATTGTGGCTCAGTGAGTTGTTTTCAGTGGTTTAGAGTCAAGACACTGGTCATTTGCACTCTTTGCTTGACAAAGAAAACATTTTCGAAACCTCTTAAAATAAGTATTCAATTCAATTAGTGTTCAAAACAAAGTAAGCATTTATTATTTATACCAAAAGTTTTTTTTTTATACTTTTAAACATTTAACCCCTTTTACCCTGATTGAAGGTCAAGGTCATTTATTGAACTTTGATATTCAAAGCCTATTAGTCAATGCGATGATCATAAGCCTTACTTAATTATGGTTCTTAAAAGAAGTGTCAATTGTTAACAGATTTAGAACAAAGATGGATGGCAAACGGTAACTTGATTCTTTTTATTATACATGTATTTCAAATGCATGCAGTTATATTTTTTTAAGAACATAACACAATTCTCATTGAAATATTTACGTTTATTTCATATTGAAAACAGGAAACATTTAAAGTCTGGCTCTCATATACAATGGTATATATTTGCACAAAATCATGACCAGTCACATTCCTTCCATAACCAGTCAAATTCCTCCCATAACCAGTCACATTCCTTCTATAACCAGTCAAATTCCTCCTACAAATTCCTCCCATAACCAGTCAAATTCCTCCCATAACCAGTCACATTCCTTCCATAACCAGTCAAATTCCTCCCATAACCAGTCAAATTCCTCCCATAACCAGTCCCATTCCTTCCATAACCAGTCAAATTCCTCCCATAACCAGTCCCATTCCTTCCATAACCAGTCAAATTCCTTCCATACCCAGTCACATTCCTTCCATAACCAGTCAAATTCCTCCCATAACCAGTCAAATTCCTCCCACAACCACTATTTGTTTTTCAATTCGTTGAACATTCAAGGATATGGGAAACACTTCACATTACTCACATGTGGGTAAAAACATGGACTTGATTTTATTGGCCAGTCATTTAATTATGATGTCGCGTAACAATACACATTTCATTGTGAGATCTTGACTCATATGGTTATTGTTTCCCCAATCCAAAACAGGAATTGTGTTTTTATATTGAAGTATTGATGGTTTCTCAAGATATGATATGAACATTATGGGGAAAAAAAAACACCCAAAGTCTCGCTTGTAAATTTTCAAAGTTTAAAAAGACACTCGGCAAAACTTTTTTGAAAATATGTAACTCGGATTACATAAACATAATATTCAACCACCACTCATTGGCGAACCTCTGTGTATATGTTTTTATTACATTTTAATCATCGAAACATTTCATATTGTTTTCAAAGTGAAAATAAAGTCAATCTTTTTCTTCTGTGACCACAGTTTTCGTCATTTTCACACTACACCAGTCAATAAGGGAGCATGGCTTAGCATGGAAAATAACTATTGGTTAGCATTATCAATTGTGAGTTCACTGATGTACAGATGTTTTATTGCGATGTCACAATACACATCAATAAACAGTTATATTTCATTCAATGGTTGAATGTTTTATAATTTCCACACCTGCTACACACTTGTGAAAAATAATTATTTTTTCTCTCCACTCATGAGTTGTTTATGATCAAGACACCAGGTATATCTTCCAATACAACAGAAAAATTCCAAACAGTTATGATGCATGGACATATTAATCAACAGTACCTATACACTGGATAGGTTTAAATTCACACTCACATTTCCCACTTACCGGGTAACAGGGATAATCCTGGAGGGGAGCCATGGGCCTATTAATTAATAACCCTTCTTAAGGTTATAGGAGTGTATTGATAAACGGAAATATGAAGTACATCCCTAGTTGAAAATCCAATTTAGGGAGACAGTATCACAATTTCCGCATATTCTAATGTTTAATATTTAACTAATGAAAATTGTATGTTTATTATTGACAGAATAGTGTGTTCTCTCAATATTAAAGTATTTCAAACCAATCCAGGCATTAATTCAGTTTTTTTTTATCAATGAGTCACATGTGTCCATTATTCTGTACTTCAGGAAACCGGCTACCTATTTCACTACTGTGAAGTTTTTCAAGAAAGATATCTCTTACCTGCAATTACTATGTTTATATGGTTTTATTATAAAATGTCAAGTTTTAATCGTTTATAGATAATTAATTTTACACAATTTCACCATTTATTAAATTGATATACATTAATGCAATACTAATCTATGTCAGTATAAGTTTTATTGACATTATTTTGGAAATAAATGTCTTTCATTTTTTTTTCAAAATTCACTCCTTTTTACATAAATTTCCATTAAAAATCCTTAAAATTGTCACAACCTATATTTTTTTAGTGGCAGAAAATTTTCTTTTATTCAAAGCAATATAACTACAAAATTTCAAGAAATTCTACTGAGAAATGGTGACACAATCCTATTACCTTAACTGAAACTGACCTTTTCCATCTTCCAATTTTCTTTTAATTTCACATAGAATGGCCCCTTTTAATTTTGACATTGACTAAAAATTGCTGAAAATGGCCCACTGCTCTCAAATTCCAAGATTTACCCTGCTTAAACTATTATTAGCATTTATCACCAGTTATCAGAATAGTCATTCAATCTTGCCTTTGCTTGTACTGGGTTACAATATTTCGATTGGCTAAAAGAAAATTGTGAGACACTTGAATTAGACTTATGATCAGCTAATAGAAACTGAATATGAAAGAAAATTGTGTAAGATATTTATTGAAGCCTAGCATAGAGAACCTTTTAACAATTGAGTTTCATTGCTTATTAATTCAGATTTCCATGATATGTTAAGACTTTTCAGGATAAGTTAAGAATTTCTTTTTGACTCTCTACAGAATTGTCCCTTTAAAAATAACTTTTGTCAATCAAAACTCAAAATTCAAGGGGGGTAAGCAGACATCATAAAAAAGTTAAAATCGATAAATCAAAAAGCTAAAATCTATAGAAACAATCTTTTTAAAAAGTATTTCAAATTTAGATTTATGGTAATGAATCGATTTGCACTGGATTGTTCCCTATTTAAAACTTTTATTTACGAATCCTTCATGAAGGATTCGTAAATAGAAGTTTTATCGCTGGAAACATTGTGGAATATCGTAAGACTTCGAGTAAACAACAACAGGAAAATGGTTCACCGATCGATCATTAAAAAACGTGAGGGTTTGAGGACTTTCCGTAAATTCATGTCCCACGTCGTGAGACTTTATCGGAGGTGGAAATTCGTGAGATGTTGCCTTACGCCGTGATTTCTGGCATGTATGCACAAGATTCATAACAAAATTTAGAGGAGGAAGCAGTGCATGATTCGAAATCGATCAAAATTGTTTAATACAATGTACCATTGAGCAAATACAACAATAGACGTACAACAAGCAACTGTCTGTGTGAACCCTATTTTTGTGATCACATCACACTTCTGTTTGAGGTGATTTGATCTAATTTAAGCTGTGTAAATGTAGAACTTTTAAGTTGCTATAGAACAATTAATGTCAAAAAACGCTCGACTGAATCAGGAATTTAACACTTTAAAGGGAGATAACTCATTTAATTTACTTTCATTGATCTCAATACTTCAAGTGGGAACAGCACAAAGTTATCTCTGTTTACAGTGTTGAATCATTTCAAATCAAAAGAATATTTGATCTACATTTCATTCGTTTTTTTCTTTTTGATTATTTATAAAAAAAATCTATATATCTTCAAATGGAAATACATGTTTACAAAAAAAGCTACAGAAAAAGATTTGTCTGTGCAATATTAAACAATCACACCATAAGTATTGTCAGAAGCACCTTACACAGACAGTGGTAGTACAGTATGAATTATTTAATTATCTACGAGATCAAAGGCACTAAAACGGTTTGATACATTACAGGCAAGCTCAACTTCCATTTTAGGATCACTATCCTCATTCACAACTAAATCATCAGTCGATTCATCTGCTTTGTGTGCAGTTTTCTTTCTATCTCTTCTCTGCTTTTTTTCTGCCTTCACAGAAGAACAATAAAGATGTGACTCTCCCACCTCATCTGTTATTGCCTGGTACAAACGGCTGTAGTAGTCCAGCATGGGTGAGTGCTTTACAAACAGTTCTGGGATGTACAGGTCGATGTTAGGTCTGCTGTCCAGACTTTTAGTGAAACTGTACAGAAATGAACCATTGAACATTGAGGCAGGGTTTGGGCTTTGGAAAGGCTGCTGGAGAACTTGGTTTAATATCATTGTGTATAGAAAACAGGCCTGGAACTGAGAGAACCCATGAATGACCTTCACATCAACTGGATGCTTCCTTGAGTGTTCCAACTTGTTGAAATACTTCCGCAAATTTTGGAGAAATTTTTCCACTTGTCCAGATGAAGATCTATTGATAATTCGTTCAAGTTCACTTGTCTCTGAACCGGGTTGTGAGAGAGTTGTCTGCTCCTGGATCCTGCATGTTTCCATGGCAATGATACATGTGATCATAGCCCTAACCTGATTGACAGTTACACCAGGATCAGACTCTCGGATCCAATAAATCAGCAACGCCACTGTCAGTTGCATTTCTTCTGGAAATTCCAAATGTTTTGAACCAGAAACCTCAAGTGCAGCAAAGAGAAGAGACCTCCTTTCACTCCTCTCCATACCAGGAATATCTGCCAGGCCTGGTATTACATCAAAAGCTGGTAGCTGAAATGTTGGTTGTACTTTCAACCTTTGGATTTGTTTTATTTTTCTCGCATACTCTGTAACACAACCTGGAATCGCAGAATCTTTGACGGAGGCATCAAATGTTATCCCTTGACCTCGATCATTTCTAGAGGTCAGTATGCCGTATATCACTTTTCGAATGCCAAGACAACAGTTTGTGCTGGACAGAGCTTTCATGTCTTCCACCTGACAGCCAAGAATGACACTGTGTAGCATCACAACATTTTGACAGAACTGTGCAATCTCTCCCTTCCAAAATGAGCAGCGAAACCAGACTGGTAGTATAGATTCACATTTACGACACTGATCTTCAACTACCTTCAAAGATCCTTCAAGCAGCAATCGTAAATTCACTCTAGAATATTGTTCAGTGTTTGAATATGCTTTGAGAGACATTTTCATTATTTCTTTAACTTTCACACGCCTTTCCTCTTTGAAGCAAGACAAAACTTTTTCTATTCCACTTTCGAGTGTTTCCACACTTTCTAACCAATGGAACAGTGACCTCATCTTTGTATGACCGATTGGAATGTCAAATTTGTTGTTACCTTTCTTTGGTAAAGTCAACTTTTGAAAGAAGTCCTGAAATACCCAATGTTCCACAAAGTCATTGCCTAACATGGTGGCAATAAATGGCAGAACAGACTTCCCTAGTTCAGGGAAGTGTTTTGTAAGGTTCCCTGCAAAGTAAATGCAACAAGGCAAATATTTATAGTGTTTATCCTCAGACTCTGCTGCAATGAAATTTACACCGTCAAAAGGGATATATCCAGCCTTTAAATCAAACACGTAAAAGTCACTGTCATAGCTCAGAACAGGTGCATTCAACTCATTGGCTAATACAGCTATTTGATCATCTGCTTCAAAATCACAAACACAGTGTGGTACCTCAAGGTCCAAAAGTGTACGACGGAACGCTTCGTAGGCTAAGATTGGCATGATCTTGCCCTTTCCTCCATGTGAAATAAACCCAGCCAGATGACATCGCTGCCGTGATCTCTCTAAAGCCGTTTTTAGTTTTTTCTCGTCGATGTCATATCCCCCATCAAAGATGACATAAGGCTGAATGTTACATTCTTTCAGCATGAGAAAAAATCGGCTAGTGTGGTTGGCAAATTTGTCGTAATCCCCTCCATGTATGTAGTCGACTCGGTGATCGTAGAACAGTAGGTGGTACAGATTGTTTCCATCAATGATCAATTTTGTGTCATGAAGTTCAAACCTTTCCAACAAATGGAGATTGTTGTCAATAAAAGTGGTGAGGCCAGGAATACCCATGTTTGTGTCTCAACAGTTCCTCACATTTGTGTTACCCAACAGCTCCTCAAAACAGTGTTGTAATATACCCTATCAGGGACTTCAGAAACAAATCGTCACGTTTTCCATTTTTTATTCCAATCATCTGTTGTGACAGATCTGTGGATATAAAACAAGATATTGAGTCAGATATTTTGTAAAAAGAAATGGCAGTATATGTTCCTAAGTTTTCCCAGCCAAAGTTTCCTGTGGCCTTGACACCAGACATCCAGTGCAAGAAGAAACTAGGTTTCATGTTAAAAATACATAAGTAACAAATTATTATTATTTCAGGATAATTAAAAGAGACAATATATATTTCATTCTCAAGAGTAAATTTTCAATTATAACTATACTCCCTAAAAAAATATATTTATACTTGAGAATAGGCTCACTATATCAAATTTAATAAATCTCAATCATCCTCAGTTGTTAGATATCCCTAATACCTATACATGTATAATATTTCTTTACACATAAAATCATATTTGAGATAATGTGAGTACAAATTGTCATATTTCATGCAAGCTCTTTTCAAGACATGGTGAATTCTACAGCAACCATATACTGGCAATTTAAAAAATGTGTGTGTCAGACTGACAATTGTCAGGTACTGACTTAATGTTATCATTGGCACTATATTATTGAATATTTATTTAATCAAGTCATTTATTAGAGATGTGTCATAGAAAACATATTTTGCAGCACATTAAAGACATTTACAGAAATGTATTTGTTAAAAATTCACATATTTGGAAGCAAAAACGAAATTAAATATCCAGTGTGTCAAATTCAATACATTTGAAAATATGAAAATGAAAGATGAATATCAGTTAAGCAGATTGGGCACAACGGCGCATATGGGTAATAATCCTGCATTTGGGTAACATCTTTGTATGTTATGGTTGAATGCACTTCGAATCTACTTTCACTATCCCAAATTAAAAAATCAAACTTTTGTACTTCACTATCTTTATTTAAAATCGCTATTTATATGGTTATTATAAACTTTTGTTTGAACTTTTTTTCGTGTTTTGACATTTTCGTGAGTTTTGATGTCCCGACTTTTCTAAGACTTCAAAGGTCGTGAAATACTTTCAAAACCGAAAACTGTTCAACCAAAAGTTGTTTGTAATAACCAATAGATATGGCAATTTTCAATAACGTAAGTGAAGTACAAAATTTTGATTTTTTTATATAGGATAGTGAAAGAAGATTCGAAGTGCATTCAACCATAACATACAAAGGTGTTACCCAAATGCAGGATTATTACCCATATGCGCCGTTGTGCCCAACCTGTTAATGATTGTCTTCAACCCTTTACAGAATCACATGAATATTAAACAGAATCACATGGATATTCAATGCGACGAGATTATTTTAAGTTTACTATTATCAGAGACGTATAGGCCTAGTATATACGTCTCTGCTATTATGACGAGGCCTACTTTCGATTTCCTTACAAATGCTATCCGGTTTTGTAACCGATTTAATTATTAGAATGATAATTTAGTTTCCTGCCATCCACGTGAAATCGCAAGTAGGCCTAACATGTGAATCAGAATAACGATAACTTAGAAACAGATACGATATCCCCATACAAAAGCATCGATTGGAAACACCGGGTTAGTATGCTAAATACCATTATGAACACGCAGAGTTCCAAATCAATAAGCAGACACGGCGATGAATTCCTTCCGAACACCTTCCGGGATTCCCCTTGCTATAAACAGTCACGTGGTGTAGACTGTCGTGTGTCGTATAGTAATGCCGTTAGCAACTGTTATGGGCACGCAATGTTTTCCTTTCGTCTACTAAAAATTATGTTTATATCCAAGTGATTCAAATTGATATCATATAGATCTTTAAAACATTCAAGGGAATATTTTATTATAACATGTGAATTCAGGACAACTCCAATATATGACCTTATTCATGTTATATTGTGGGATTTTGGATGCGGATGGGGATCGCCAAAGGAAGCGTTACGTCATTTTGGTAATTCTCACCACGTGAGATATAAATAACGTATCCGATTGCGTGCTACTGAACTTGAAACGTGGATTTTTGCAGTATAAGTCTATTTTAGAAATAATCAACGAATGCGCGTATATAATGGTTCAATATATATATATCCGTCGTTAATTATTTTTTCCAAAATGTCACTCTTGTTATATAGTTCACCATTACCAGGCTGATCTGATTAGCAAGCACTTTATACGTTGAAACAACTTTTTTTCGAGCTCCGGAATATCAGGGGCGGGTCCAGGTGAGGGCGTTATGGGCGTACGCCCCCCCCCCCCCCCCCCCTTTTTTAAAAAAAAAAAAACAACAACAAAAAACTATCGTAATCTGCTAAAATTGTATTGAATATGGCAATTTACCATGTTCATTAATTAAACACATAAACACCCTGACACTTTAACTATAAAATATATATGCTCAAAGTCAGGAACCGTTATATTAGTGCATTTCACTTCACAATTATTTTATGTTTTTTAGCAAAATAAAGGTCCATTTTTTTTTTGACTCGCTCCGCTCGGCGAAAGATTTGATTCTACGCACCCACTTTCAAATATCCTAGAAACGCCCCTGAATATGCTATGACAAATAATATTATAACTGAACAGCTTTGTAAAAATAACATAATATATAATATTTAAAAACAAATACAATAAATTAGCTTAGCCTTTCGACTTGAACATTTGGGCTTTGAACAATTTAAGCATCTCAACATCTGGAGACAAAACCCAAACGATCTAAAATATTACCACGGATACATAAAATATCCCTAACGCCCCCTTCCCCCATGACAAAATTGTCATCGGGCTTAAACGTTTACATCGTGTCGAAGGGATTGGAATATCAGCCAAGATAACAGATGTGTAGCCTGGGTATTTGTAGTAAGAGCGAAACGAATACTATAAAATGTCAAAACTAATGCACATGGTGAATATAATAACGCAAAGTCAACGCGAACTGGTATTTCTTAGAATACTTGATTTTATGTTGAAAAGGTAATGCCAAGATTATTGTTTATTTAACAGGAATTTTAGAGATATTGAACCTAAATTAATGACAACGAATCGATTTATTGCAGACATAATTATTAAAGACATAATTAAAATGATTTTTATCTCGTTTCATTTTCTTCTGCTTCTTTTAATCTTGTGTTCCACTGTTTTCTCGAAATCGAAAATGGAAACTCGGATTCCGGTGAAACGTCGCATAAATATTGGGGCGTTTGTTTAGATTTATTTGCAGTTGTACATCCAAGATGGCTACCGCGGCCTCAGATTGACCAAAAGGGCGCCCACTGTTTACTCTGCAACCGCGGATTCCGATGAAACTTACTTGTTATGACTATTGTTGGACATGTGAAGATATGCAAGACACATGTTTCTTTGCAACAAATTGTTCACGTTGTAATTATTTTTAAAGAATGACATCAATCTAATACGGATTGGGGAGGGAGGGGGTGGGTGAAATAAAAGGTATAGAACTATTGATGTCCTGCATTTTCTTTTCTTAATTGATATCTGTCAAAACTTTAAATATCTCTAGATAGCATACATAACCATTCCTCATGCTTAATTGCGTCTTAAAACTTTGACGAAAAGTGCACAAAGGCGATAATTTTTCGCAATATCATATTACCTGTACACATTTATTGAAATTGATGGAAGAATGTTCACGACTAGAGCGGTATTCCAATGAAAATTAACTGTGATCTACAACCTGTTCTGAAATTAATCATATACATCCCTGTTTTTTTCTCATTTCTACATTGAAATATACAGTCTATTGGATTCTGAATAATAAACAGAATTTGAAGAGCCTTTAGCATCTGGTTTACTCCCAAAACTGTAATTAGAGGTACTAAAAACTCCTCTTCTTCAGTTTAATATATCACGACATGTACACGTAGCTATAGCAATACCAGTTGTCTTCAGAATTATATTTAACGTTCATGAAATTCCCTTTCCTCTGTAGTAACGTAACAGCCTCTACGCTTTATTTAGCACACCCCAAATTGATTCGCTACTACAGAGCCTGCTTTTAGTATGGTACTTTTTCGAGATATGCGTCGTACTGACTAATTAATCAGATTCGCATGTTCCATGGCCTTCTTAACGAGGAAACTTCCTTCAAATTGCCAAAATTTTTAAACATGTCTTCACTGTGTTGTTCAAGTTTGACGAGAATTACACGGATGGTGCCTTAAATGTGACCAGGAAACGCCTTCCCTTCCTGGTTTCGTTTATTTGGTGTTCGAGTTCATGATGTGTTTCTCTTTTTCTACGTTTCATTTAAGATCGGACATGATTTGACTGTTTTGCAGAAAATGGAGGTGAAGAGTATTTGGGGCTCTCTAGCACTGTCTGTACTTAGTCGAGTCGCCCTTCTATGGTATGGTGAGTGGCAGGATAAAACGATGGCCGTCAAGTTTACCGATGTGGATTACTACGTCGTTAGTGACGCCGCACGACTGTTGCACCAGGTAAACAACCTTCATATACACAGTATGAAGTTATGTATGTATTATTTAAAGACTGGAACGTTCAACGTTATTTGTCTTTATTGGCGCGTTCCTTTTATCTTTACAACACGAAGAGAAACTCGGTGTTCTGAAAGCAAAAAGAAGTTCCTTTACTAATGTTGTAAACTAAGTAATTGAATATAAACCTAGCTAGACATTATGTCGCTAATTGATACACATCATTTCCCACCACAGAACATGTCTCCGTTTCACCGCCCGACGTACCGCTACACACCGCTTCTGGCATGGATGCTGCAGCCCAATGTCGTCCTAACGCAGATGTTCGGAAAGCTCCTCTTTGTCTTCTTTGATGTGATGACGGGTTACTTGATCTATTCTTTACTGAGGTCACAGGGGTTCAATGAGAAATTGAGTAATGTTTGCGCATGTTTCTGGCTACTAAACCCTCTCGCTGCCGCGGTGTCCTGTCGAGGGAGCGCCGATTCTGTCATGACATTTTTGGTGCTTTTGACACTGAGATTGCTCCAAGGTCGGAGATATATCCTTGCAGCCATTTCCTATGCCCTCTCCGTCCACTTCAAGATTTACTCTATAACCTACGCAATGCCAATTTATTTCATGTTGAACGAGGAAAATTTAGAGAAACTGGGTAGAAAAGGACACAGACTTGAACAGTGTATTGCTTATATGTGGCCAACAGGGAGACGTCTCATGTTCGGTGCTGTAGTGACAGTGATTCTCCTTACAATGACCGGTCTGTGCTATCACTGGTAAGTACTCGATAGGTACTGCTACTATACGTATAATCATGTTACTGGCACTGACCGGTCTGTACTCGGTCTGTGCTATCACTATATAGGTTGGTAACTGTTCGTAGGAAGATGAATGTTAAGATACAGTTTGTCAAGAATGAATTACACTGCATCATACAGCTGTTTCGTCTTTCTAGGACTCATTGGTGATGATACTTATCTAAACTAAAGTGGAAACAAAAGTGGAGAAGCATAAAACATTACATTATAGAGATCAGACGAGTATTAGTTAATTTCAAATTAATAATGAGTAAAATGTGCATATAATGAGCCGTGCTACTTGTCAAAAGAGATAACTGTGGCTATCAAGAACACGGCAAAGATCGGACTGTAACTATCATGTTTGGTTCTGTATTGACAGTAGGCCTCCTGTCACTAATCGGTCTGTATGGTCACTGGTAAGTAAGTAAAGGTATCATCATGTTTGGTTATGTATAACAGTAGGCCTCCTGTCACTAATCGGTCTGTATGGTCACTGGTAAGTAAGTAAAGGTATCATCATGTTTGGTTACGTATAACAGTAGGCCTCCTGTCACTAATCGGTCTGTATGGTCACGGGTAAGTAAGTAAAGGTATTATCATGTTTGGTTCTGTATAACAGTATGCCTTCTTACACTAATCGGTCTGTATGGTCACTGGTAAGTAAGTAAAGATATTATCATGTTTGGTTCTGTATAACAGTAGGCATCCTGTCACTAATCGGTCTGTATGGTCACTGGTAAGTAAGTAACGGTATTATCATGTTTGGTTCTCTATAACAGTAGGCCTCCTGTCTCTAATCGGTCTGTATGGTCACTGGTAAGTAAGTAAAGGTATTATCATGGTTGGTTCTGTATAACAGTAGGCCTCCTGTCACTAATCGGTCTGCATTATCACTGGTAAGTAAGTAAAGGTATTATCATGGTTGGTTTTGTATAACAGTATGCCTCCTGTCACTAATCGATCTGTATGGTCACTGGTAAGTAAGTAAAGGTATTATCATGTTTGGTTTTGTATAACAGTATGCCTCCTGTCACTAATCGATCTGTATGGTCACTGGTAAGTAAGTAAAGGTATTATCATGGTTGGTTTTGTATAACAGTATGCCTCCTGTCACTAATCGATCTGTATGGTCACTGGTAAGTAAGTAAAGGTATTATCATATTTGGTTTTGTATAACAGTATGCCTCCTGTCACTAATCGGTCTGGATGGTCACTGGTAAGTAAGTAAAGATATTATCATGTTTGGTTCTGTATAACAGTATGCCTTCTTACACTAATCGGTCTGTATGGTCACTGGTAAGTAAGTAAGGTATTATCATGTTTGGTTCTGTATAACAGTAGGCCTCCTGTCACTAATCGGTCTGGATGGTCACTGGTAAGTAAGTAAAGATATTATCATGTTTGGTTCTGTATAACAGCATGCCTCCTGTCACTAATCGGTCTGTATGGTCACTGGTAAGTAAGTAAATGTATTATCATGTTTGGTTCTGTATTGACAGTATGCCTCCTGTCACTAATCGGTCTGTATTATCACTGGTAAGTAAGTAAAGGTATTATCATGGTTGGTTCTGTATAACAGTAGGCCTCCTGTCACTAATCAGTCTGTATGGTCACTGGTAAGTATATAAAGATATTATCATGTTTGGTTCTGTATAACAGTAGGCCTCCTGTCACTAATCGGTCTGTATGGTCACTGGTAAGTAAGTAAATGTATTATCATGTCTGGTTCTGTATAACAGTATGCCTCCTGTCACTAATCGGTTTGTGTGGTCACTGGTAAGTAAGTAAAGGTATTATCATGTTTGGTTTTGTATAACAGTATGCCTCCTGTCACTAATCGGTTTGTGTGGTCACTGGTAAGTAAGTAAAGGTATTATCCTGGTAAGTAAGTAAAGATATTATCATGTTTGGTTCTGTATAACAGTAGGCCTCCTGTCACTAATCAGTCTGTATGGTCACTGGAAAGTATATAAAGATATTATCATGTTTGGTTCTGTATAACAGTATGCCTCCTGTCACTAATCGGTTTGTGTGGTCACTGGTAAGTAAGTAAAGGTATTATCATGTTTGGTCTGTATTGACAGTATGCTTCCTGTCACTAATCGGTCTGTATGGTCACTGGTAAGTAAGAAAAAGGTACTTTCATGTTTGGTACTGTACGGACCGTAGGCCTCCTAGCACTGATCGGTCTGCACTAGACAATCCTCGATGCTCACTTGCGCTCTCTGTACCCCTGGAATATATCATAGCAAACCTGAAGGCACTTGCGCTCTCTGTACCCCTGGAATATGTCATAGCAAACCTGAAGGCACTTGCGCTCTCTGTACCCCTGGAATATGTCATAGCAAACCTGAAGGCACTTGCGCTCTCTGTACCCCTGGAATATGTCATAGCAAACCTGAAGGCACTTGCGCTCTCTGTACCCCTGGAATATGTCATAGCAAACCTGAAGGCACTTGCGCTCTCTGTACCCCTGGAATATGTCATAGCAAACCTGAAGGCACTTGCGCTCTCTGTACCCCTGGAATATGTCATAGCAAACTTAAAGGCACGCGGCTTCTTATGTGATTGGTCTCAGGTTAAAATAAATGTCCTTTGAAGATTTCAGAGGAACAACACCCGACTTCAAAGCCAGTCAATTTTACCGTTACGCATTTGGTATACATCAAAGGATCAAACTAGTCTTCTCGTCTCGCCCACAAGGCTGTGCACACCGAGCATTCTATTTTTCTGTGACATATTGTTACAAAATGGGCTATAAATAAGGTAATTAATGATAAGGAATTGAACCACCTTAAAACGTTTAAGATAAAAGGTATCAATAGAGAGCAGCCCTTCGGTCAAAAGTACATTTCTGGTCAAATCTTACGAAACAGACAGGGGTAACGGTACAACTAGTATTTTTGTTTTGGAAGGGGAAAAGATAGCTTAGAAGTTAAATGAGAGAGAGGCTTGTCACTGGGAAGGATTCACTGCAATTGCTGTTACACAGGCAATCCAACTTACTGATCAGAGGAATGCCACAGGCAATCCAACTTACTGATCAGAGGAATGTCACAGTCACTTATATATTTTTGTTACTGTTTTACCAAATCTTACTGATACATTGTTCCACTTGATTATTATTTTACTGACCACTTGATTGTTATTTGGTCATCCGTCTACGGCTTTTAGCTATGGATCGGCATGAGTAGTCACAAGTAGCCATTCCAAATTGCTAGTACGAATTTTCAAAACAAGCACAAACTACAGATTGTGGTGAGTTGTTATATTTGTTATAATATTGTTAGTTAGCGACATGTACATAGTTGTTGTTTTTTTACCTGTTAATTGTATATATATGACCCTACCTGTATATCGGGTGCACATTGTTTATATATTTGCGCGCAGGATACGGTGTGTAGGTTTTTTTTTATCTGTATAAGATCAAAGCGATACCTATAAGCCCGTTATTATACATTTTTTAATTAAACAATTCCCATTTAATGGTCCGTGACGCGATCTACGTGGTAATATAGGTAATACGCATAGAGCATAGGTGTTTGAAATTCTGACTGTAAATTGAGATAAAAATCGTATAAAAAAATTAGACTATTTCGTTTGAACTAGTAATCTGATGCTGGTTTCAGGCGAGCATTGACAAAGTCTTGCAAGGTCTGCATAAACATGTGCATGTCCGCCAGGATTTATACCTGAAATTGTTACATTTAATAACAGACAAACCGGTTGTCCGCATAAACGAACAGGCCCCAAATGTACGAGTCACGGTTGAGTGAACCGTACATGTAAAATTACCCTACATATATTTAAGGCGGCGTGTGTCGTGCTTTCATATTTTTATACAAATACTCTACTTAGTAAATTGATATAAATTGTGTAATAATGTCTTACAGTAATTGTCATTGTATATGAATAGGTAGTAAGAACACTTTACGTATGTTTATCCTTTATTGTCAGTAAGTATAGCTATAGGTAGTGAGTCTATTGTACGTATATTGTAGTAGTGTAACCATAGGTCGATGATGGAAACTAGTCAAACTCTTAGCTGAGGAAGTAACTACTTTTATGGTGATAATCATGTATGAACTATATCTATGTGCTCTGTGTGGACATTTTATGTCATTTGGTCAGTCTTGAGCACTAGTCATTACGTGAAACACCTCATATGGAGCTGGGAGAGCCCATCAGCACAGGAGTGCAGAAAGTTTTCATCATGGGGAGAGACGGGACCGGGGAAAACAGACCGCGGTGGACGAGCCTTGTAGTGATCATTAGCGATCACTGCTACCAGGCAGTGATTTTCCATAAAATGACAGTGATCTATTGATGTTTCCAGTATTGGTATATATATACTTACTTTGTGTGATTTCAGTATTGGTGTGTATACTTACTTTGTGTGATTTCAGTATATACTTACTTTGTGTGATTTCAGTATATACTTACTTTGTGCGATTCCAGTATATACTTACTTTGTGCGATTCCAGTATATACTTACTTTGTGCGATTCCAGTATTGGTATATATACTTACTTTGTGTGATTTCAGTATTGGTATATATACTTACTTTCTGTGATTTCACTATTGGTATATATACTTACTTTGTGCGATTCCAATGTTGCTGTATTAAATTGCTGTGTATACTTACTTTCATTTCATTACATTTCAACAGATTTTATTGATTTTATATATATGTCAATTGGATTGGACATTAGGTTAGGCCTATTTAAGTCCTTTCAAAAATTATTTACAAACATTACATATATTCTGTCATAACAATCCAGTTAAACAGTGTAGGTAAGATAACTCCAATTTAGCTTCTGAGATGAACATTTTACAACTTTTATTTAATCATTTTCTGTTTATGTTTTAGATATTTAACAATTAAATAAATCATGTATATTTATTGACGACCCATCTTGCGTAAAATCCAAGGGATAAAGGCCCAAAAGTCCCCGTGTATAAACACATTGGCCATCCATCCACTGGATATATAGGATAAGTTTCCAAGAAATAAACATTTTGTTAAATTTCAGAATATGATATGGATTCATATAGGAGATGTTGTGAGGATAGATATACACCAGTAGCAATACTTATTAGCAGAGTGATCATGACACATTAAACAATAGCATCACTTTCAATGTAAAGTATTGCTGTGAGTGAGATTACATATCAAGCCTATTAGTTTGACAAATTTAGTCAGATATACTTTGAAAAATGGATATGTTGATATCAGCGCTGCATATTACGCACCCATTTAATAGAGTTTTAGATTTAAATGATCATGATTACCAGTTATACCAAATTGAGATTTTTTATTACTAATTGCATTCTAATGTTGTTATAGAGTGGGCATTCAAATATAAAATGAAATGCATTTTCATATTCATGTCCACATCTACATGCTGGTGTGTCATTCACATGATCCATATATAAGTCACTATTTAGGTTGCTAGCATGATTTCTCAGCTGACAAATAATGATATCGAATTTTCTTGGCCCATAGTATTTAAATGTGCTAGCAATTTCTTCAGTGTTGTTCATATTATCAGACTTGATGACATTTTTAAATTGTTGAAGGGAAGTAGCATTAAAAGTTTCTGCAGATAGAAGGTTAAATTCTCTACACATTGAGGGAAAATAACTATTGAAATAATTCTCAGTTCTACAGAAAGGGGGATTGAAAATACGGCTATTTCGTAGTTGGTATCTTACATTTATATTGCTGTGAAGGTATGGTTCAATGATGTCTTCTAGGTACTTATTTCATTAATTCATTATTTAAAATTTTGAACATAATTACTAATTTATGATTTTTTCGCCTACAACAAAGTGATTCAAGTCCAGTTTCTGCATTAAGCTTACAATGAAAGGTCCCTCTACGCAATCCTGTAATAATTCTTAATGTCTCTAGCTGGATTGACTCAAGAATATTTTTATTTTGGTTACTACAGTTATCCCATACTACATCCTCATATTCAAGTATTGGTCTAATAAAAGAGGTATATATTGTTGTAAGACTTTTTCTGTCCAGTTTGTGTTTTAACATTCTCAATATATTCATTCTTTTATAAGCTAGCTCATAAATATTGTCAATATGATATTTTCATTTTCATCACTACTAAAAGTTAAACCAAGATGCTTATGAGTTTGTTTATTAATTACAGTTTCATTACCAAATGAGATATCTGGATGATGTTGTTCCCCTTTCCTCGAGAAGATTACATATTCAGTTTTAAGTGAATTAAATTTGATATCCCATTTCTTTGCCCATGCATTAATATAACCTAGATCATTATTTAATTTCACTACAATTTCATTTTGATTGTTGTCTATAACTTCATAGAGAGAAGTATCATCTGCAAAAAGATTTATTTTACTTGTTACACATTCCTGTTATGTCATAATATAGATTAGGAAAAGAAATGGACCAATGACCGAGCCTTGGGGTACACCGTCTTTGACATGCTTTTAGGTTGAATAAAAACCCTCTGTTGATGCTCTCTGCTTTCTATCAGAAAGATAATTGTAACATTTTTCCTTTTATGCGATACGATTCCAATTGAAAAAGTAGACCCTCATGCCAAACTCTATCAAACGCCTTACTTACATAGCAAAATACAAATCTGATTTCATTATTTTGATCCAAGTTATTTACAAAAGTATCATATATAGATAATAACTGGTTTACAGTCGAGTCTCTTGGTAAGAAGCCTGATTGGTGTTTCGTTATGATATCACATTCTTTCATATAATTAAACATTGTTTTCCAATTTCAGGTACGGTTGGGCATTTCTCGAGAATACTTACCTGTACCATATTGGTAGGAAGGACATTCGTCACAACTTCTCGCCCTACTTTTACCTGATCTATCTGACAGCGGAATCCCCTCACTCATCTATTCTTAGCCTGCTGGTGTTTATCCCACAACTCATCCTCATTGTCACATTCTCCATCACATTATACAACGACCTCCCCCTGTGCTGGTTCCTCATAACCTTCGTGTTTGTGGCCTACAACAAAGTCTGTACCTCACAGGTAAGAATTAAATAAGCTTGTACCCCACAGGTGATATTTCAGTAAAGTCTGCTATGACAGGTAAGAAGAAAGTCTGTCTTCACAGGTAAAACACGGCACAGGTTGTATTTCATAGATTACTTTATTATGAAATCTGAACTTTCTAGTTAAGAATGTACAGTCTGCACCTTGCAGGTATAATGATGCAAGAAAATCTGGCCTCACAGGTAAAACAAACCAAAGTCTATATTTCACTAGTATTATTATAAAAAAATCTGTACTTTGAAGGTAAGATATAACCACTCGCAAGTAAGAACAAAGCGAATTCTAAAGTGCATAGATAAGTTCGCAACTTACAGGAAAGGTTATCACAAAACCAGCATTTCACAGGTAAAAAATATTGTTACATGTTCATTGTAATGATTGTAAACGTGACAGATGAATGTTATTGTGTGTCTGTATTCCTGCTAATTGTCAGTAATGTACGTTCTGTTTTTCAGTACTTCCTATGGTACCTCTGCCTCCTGCCTCTCGTCCTCCCAAACCTACGCATGTCTGTAAAGAAAGGAATAGCAGTAATAACACTTTGGTTCATAGGGCAGGTAAGTGTGAATACACTGCTTTGTTTTGTATTCGTTCTAGGAAAAAATACGTAACTATAGTAAACAATTCTGCTAAATCCGACCAGAGTATAATCAAATCAAAAAGTAAACTGTCTCTCTGTCAATGCAACTAAATATTATGTGCAGATCGAACATGCTAACCCTGTGGTCCCTTGTTTGTAAAATATTGGAAGAGTGTGCTATAAATGATAATTACACATGTTTGCGGTACAAGTTTCTGTGTCAGGAAACGACTTTTCTATTTTGTTTTGGTACATTCCAGGGTCTGTGGCTCCTTCCAGCGTACATCCTCGAGTTCGAAGGATTCAATACATTCACCTACGTTTGGTCAGCTGGACTCGTGTTCTTTTTTATCAACGTCTATATAGTGAAGGTCGTACTGGACAACTACATAGCTAAACCTCACACAAAATCTCAATGATGGACCCACGTGCTTACTGGGATATATATACAATATTAATGTTTTCGATCATCATTACAGTCGAACAATTGTAGCTACTCATTAAACACATTTAAATTTTATTGTAATTTTTCTAAGGGTTGAAATGGCATGGCGAAAATGTTGATCAGGAATGACGTTTAGCATAGAGTTACAATTATCGTCCGGATCATTGTCAAATAGTGTACACATGTTGGCCTCCATGTAGATAGCATGACCCTTTACTGTTCCAAACACATGTGTACATGACGACACGACTTTGAAATATATTCAAATACACATAGTTGAATGGATTTATATATTGCTTCATGAATCAGTCATACTTATAAGACAGAAATCAACAACCTGATTCTGTAAAGCATACACGTCAACAGTCGGTAGCATGTGTATATATGTCATCAGTGTGTGGTATTATTTCCAGAGGTAAACCAGATGTTATTGTACGAAGCCGTCTCCACTCGAGTTATCATTATAATACCAGTGACAATATACGTAGTAGCTATATACTGAATGGCATGTAACGTTTACGCTACCAGTTTCCCTAGGGAAAACACTGACATTGATACTGTAGTTAGGTAGCTGTTGTGTAGTGGAGCATGACGTTTATACTCTAAGCGGAACGGCATTGATACATGTGTATGTGTATGGGGCAGCGTGTAACGTATGTGGAATGTTATATTGGGAAAATGACGCTGAGAGCACGCAGAGGAAATACCTTAGCTTCCTTCTGACGCTGTTCGTGGTTTTTACTACATCTGAATCCGCATGTACATGTATTCGGTATTAGCATCCTAATACCTAGGAAGCGTAACATCATCGACGTGATGGCCTCGTGTACAAATACTGAAATAGACTCTTCGATGAACGATCAATGTCCAACAGAGGATGAATATGCGTTAAGGAGTGTAGACTTTCCTTCCACAGAAACTGTGGAGATAGTGTATTCAAGGACAGGGGAACATGAAACGAAACGCACAGATGAAATACAAAAAGTACTTGAACGCTATATGCAAAGTATACTACATGCTTCTGATAGAACCATTTCTATTGAACGGTATTTGTATAAAATGTTACAGTATTACAAGGAGCGTGTCGAAGAGGGCTACTCGGATATTAACGTTGTGGGTAGCACTGGAAACAAGCTTTATGTGCCAGAACTTCAACCAAACGGATCTTATAATTTTGAAGTGGATGTTTTGTTTGAGAAACCCATAGCAGGGATGATTATACCAGTATTAGGTGAACGAGGTCCAGTCGTGGCTTGGTTTTCAATCGATACCCTTGATAACTTGCTTCCGCTGGGTAGTGTTGTATTGCGTTTAGAACACTACGACGGTCAATTCGGATCCGAATTCGAGGAACGGCAATGGTTTCACAAGCACACAGATTCCGGCAAGTTACTTTTATCTTCATTCCATTACTGGGGCTCAGTGGTGTCGTCAAACAGGTCGATTCTAGGCGAGCGCGAGCTACTTGTACATCCCTCACCATTGTTGCAACCTCTTTACAAAACTTTCAAATCGGAGAAGAAGAGCCTGCCTCTCCATGGACAAACATTTGAATTCGTCATACTTATGGATAAAGTAGCCTCGGTTAGAATACCTTGGCCAGAACAAGCTGCTTCGTTTAAAACAAGATCAAGAAAATGGCCTGAGGCGATTATCATTGAGAAGGTCGTCACAGATGGGTGTCACCTTGTGCATAATCCACATAACAGATCGGGAACGTATTTGATGGAGTGGAAGTACACATTTTCAACATCGGAACAGGAAATAGTTCTCAATTTTTCGCCCTTTCAGAGATCTGTGTTTCTAGTTATCAAGCAAATGAAACGTATCTACTTAGACTACGGAACGTCAGAGATTGGAGAACCGCTTGCGGGCTTGACAACGTATCATTTGAAGACCGTTATGCTTTGGCTGAGTGAAAAGTTGGATCTGACATTATGGGAAACCTCTCCTCATGAATGTCTCATCATGTTCTTCCGGGAGCTTGAGAAATGTTTGGACACTGAAGTTTGTCCGCATTATTTCATGCCTGAAATCAACGTCATGCAAAGTGCCTGGAAACCGAAAATGTTGCAAAACTATGAAAACGAATGGTTAAAACAAAATGGACCAATGAGAGAGAAGCTACTAAAAACGGTTAGAGACATTATTGCCCGTCCCGATGAATACCTGACGGACGAGCTACTTACGGCAGTGGACAGCAAACACGTTATGGAAGCTAAGAAAGAGCCCGTCAAGAAGATCAAAGGTCATGGTGGCACATACGCCGAACTGGACATATTAGACCAGGCAATAGTCAGGCTGAACGACCAACGTGCAGTAAATGAACTGAATGTTGTTACGTAGAGATTCACATCTTTCCCTGCTGTAAATCACCGACCATCCTCGATACTCCAGGGGTTACGCTCACTTACGCCCTTTTCACCTCTGGAATATGTCACATTCGAAGGCACGCGGTTAGATAAGTATTTGATTGGTCTCGGGTAAAACAAAATTACCGATCGCTAGGCTGATACCTGTCCGTTGAATATTACAGCGGAGCGACACCCGACTTCAAAGCCAGTCATTTTTTACTGTTACGCGACCGCGAGATTACATGTACTTTGATGTACATCATAGGATCGAACTAGTCTTTTTGTCTCAACAAGGTGGCGCACACTGAGCCTTCAATTTTTCTATGACATATTCCATGGGTGCAGAGAGCGAAATCGGAGTAACTAAATCAGGTACTTTTCGCTAATACTTACATTTATGTCTTACAGTAGTACTGTACAAATGTCTAAACAGGTCTACTCATTATGTCATTAAACATAATATTGAAGTGACCACATATACATAGCTTGTATGTAAGAAGTGACTGGACGTATTCATTCAAGTATTGTAATGTTTTGTTTGAATGAATGTGATGACTTCATTATTGTCCGTGTCTTTTTGCTTATTTTAAGTTCTTCTCGTAATCATATACAGTTCTGATTAGATATTGATAGCACATTGCTCTGTTCAGGAATTAAGGGCACATATTTACTAAATTGAAAATACACAAGAACACTTTATTTATGGAAAACAAATGTGTCAATTATGTGTTAAACTAATAAATGTTGTTGCTAAAATGACACTGAATAGGGTTTAGTTCTTTTTCGGTAAAAAAAGGGAAAGCGCTGTAACTTCATTGATGTCGTCGATTTTGCGGATGGTGAAACTTTTTTTTTTATATGCAAACCAATATTAAGAGAGAAACAAATAAAAAAGTTTCATGAATTATTCTTTACTCGTGCGGATATGACTGTAAACACCAATAAAGATGTGTCTATCGTTATTTCAAAAGCTTTCGCCTAGATGCTGTAAGATGTAGGTAAAATAGGAAACGATGACAGATGGTTCCAGGGATGGGGGTATTCCTGGCATGAACCAAAAAGAAAACAAAACATTTCGGTACATGATGGGGGGGGGGGGGGGGGGGGGGGGGATATTTCTGCAATTACTTAATCATAGCACACCTGACAGAATTAAAGCGGTGATCAAAAGTAAGTACTCTACAAAATATTAGTGCCCTTATATTTCTAATCGGGGCTGTACAATGGGTTATGGACAGCTCATATGTATATATATATATATATATATATGTGTGTGTGTGTGTGTGTGTCCTTGAATATTGATCTTGCTGCTCAACATTTCAACAAACTAAACTGAAATAAAACAAATCAGTATAAAATCATTGTGCCCTTTCGATATGCTTCATACTTATCAAGTAGCAACTTGCTCAATGGTTAGAGAAACTTTCACATCACAACATGGATATCATACAAAGAAGTGGAAAAGAACACTGAAATGCCAATGAGTTTTCGCCTTTTCTAGATATATATATACTACTCACATTTTGCTAAGGATCACTTTTAGCATATGTGGAAATAAATATTTCATTTGGTTTATACTGAGATTATTTTTGAAAAAAAATGATTGTTGTTTTAATTCATCAGCATGCAAAAGTTCCAAAAGTCGTAATTACAGTCGAAAAATGAGCCACAGGAAAAGGGTTACCCTTAAAACTGGTAACAACGAGGTATTCACTAAAAAACTTAAATTGAACAAAAAGCAGAAACTGTTTTAGTATCGATTGTGACGGCCATGATCATCAATTACAGCTTCACAACGTCTGCGCATGCCCCGAATGAGATCGCGTATCCGGTTTTGTTGGATAGCGTTCCACTCAGCTACCAAAGCTGTTCCCAGCTCCTGGAGCGTTCTTGGCTGAACATTTCTGGCAAAAAGAGCTGTCTGCAGCATGTCCCACACATGCTCGATGGGATTTAGATTCGAGCGGGCTGGCCAATCCATTCGTTGAATAGTCAGTCTCTTGCTGTAGATACTGCTCAGTCACCCTTGCTCTGTGTGGCCTAGCATTATCGTCCATAAGGATGAAGTCAATGCTGAAGCATTGGGTCTGACATAGGCTTCAAGGATTTCATCACAGTAAATCCGGGCCGTAACGGTATCATTATGGAAGACATGGATGTCAGTTGTCACACGAAGGCTTATGCCTCCCCACACCATCACTGAACCTCCGCCATATCGGTCATGTTCCACAACGTAACCAGTCTGGAACCTCTCCCCAGCTAGGTTGTCTCCATACTCTAACGCGCCTGTTGGTAAAGTCGAGACAGAATCTGGACTCGTCAGTAAAACGAACCCGTTCCAATACCTGAAGAGTCCCGATTCTAATCGGTCCCTAACATGGCGTGCAGTTAAGGGAACTCGTATTGCTGATCTACGTGACCTTAAACCAGCATCATGCAGACGGTTCCTAAATGTCGAAGTGCCTACCCGGGTACCAGAAGCATTTAGGAGGTCATTTCGTAAAGCTGTTGCCGTCTGGAACCTGTGACGCCGTGCCTGTATGAGCAAACATCGATCTTGGCGCTGCGTTGTAGCCCTTGAACGACCTCTAGCATGACCTCTGGAAGTTAGTTTGGAAACGATTCCACATTCTTGCCACCACACTTCGAGACACCCCAAGGTCTGCTGCAACCTGACGTTGAGACATGCTAACTTGCAGCATTTCGATGCTCCTATTCATTTCACCGTCATTTAACCGTTTTCTGGTTCGTCTTTGTGCCATATTAAAACAAAAACACGCAGAGAATATTCATCAAATTGATTTCTTTAACAATTGGAACAACGCCTTATTTAGCCTAACTTAGCTTTTGAAAGGGGTGCACACGTGGAAAAGCGTGCACGCGCTTTTACGGTTGACTGAACACAACCACACAGAACGATTTGGAAAGCTAACATATTCTCCCAAAACAGTACGGAAGGAAAATATAATATCATTTCTAACATTTTGGCTTGTTTTTCTAAATATAAGTGATCCTAGCCAAAATGTGAGTAGTATATATACTTGTCAAAGTCGTTGCCGCTGCTAGACTGCATTCCTTTCCAAGCGCAGGATACATGTATATTTAACGAGCAAACAACTTGAGGATCATTTGAAACTTGCTACTTCCTGAAACAAGTGGATAAGATAAATACATGCAGTGTTTATATAACCATTTGAATCATAATTCAGCGGAACGGTATAGCAAATGTCGTTGACCTTTCGTTTATAGTCCATATTGTGTTTTAAGTATCCGTTTAAGATATTTGACCTTTTTGTTTCTCGACAAGATATTCTATTCAAAATGTGGTTGGTAATACCGGACGCATCCTCGATATCTAGGAGTTTACATCGTAACCCCTGGATATTGCATTTCGTACGCGTACCATGAAGCCGGGTAAGCTCAAGATCATATATCTACGATATAAGTTACTCACCGGCAAGGGCAATGTCCACAGGCAACTACATCTGGTAGGTAAATATATACGTGAAAATATAAAATAATCCTCCCAACCCTACTATGTTAGTAGGGTAGGGAAGACTATTTTATATTTTCGCATATTTCCATACCAGATGCAGATGTACGTTTACCTTAGGAATGGAACGAGCTATAATAGACTTTTTATAGTCAGGTAAGAATGTCTACATGTATATAACGTATAATGAAAGTAATCATTTACAACATTTATTCATCTTTCATGAGTTATTATCACAAAATACGTTTATATACTAAATAGCCTGTATAGTTTGCATCGTGTATATTTACAGTATAAAAGCACCCTTAGTGTGGTTGTAAATGTGTAGTAGAGCACGACGTTAAAACTAAAAATAGAACGACAGTGGCATATATATAAGACTCCGTATGGGCCTGCTCGATTCGTTCATTAATGTCGACTGTCCTGTATAGGAACCGATATATTCAAATCCAGTGCCACCACATATGCCATTTAGAGATCGTAAAGCTCCGGATGAGAAAAAAAGAGAATTACCTACGCATCATATATGCGATAACACGCCACTATACAAGCAATCACAAAATCATACTGGCTGACGAAGCAGATATCGGTTCAGTCAATTCACGTTGAGAAATAAATTTACATTTAGCCACCATCGTTAGGAGCGCACATCGTGTAACCTGTCGATGTTTTCATTTCAACTGAGCGACGCGACCACCGGTTGTCCGGCGATGTTTCCGATGAGCGCAAATCGAGCAGACCCAAAACAAATGCTTGAAAACAGCTTGTCATTACCTCACTATGTTTTAACGGAAATCATGTCGGCAGATACCTGTCTGCTGTCAAAACATGACCAACTACCTGATAACCACGTCGAGGAGAAATTATCGCCTCCTTATCATGCTTTATATTGTCTTATCTACAGCAATGTCTGTCGCAATAGCTGCACTTTCCGGTGTCTCTACCCTAGAACTGAAGAGGCCCAACACAAAGTCAGACTATTTGATGGCATTGTATACAAACACTGACATCGACTCTGCGATAAACGAACAGTGTCCAGTGGATGATCAGAACGCCGCGGCACGGAGTGCAGACTTCCCTACCACAGAAACTGTTGAGGTAGTGCATTCAAGGACAGAGTCAGAGGAACATGGAACGAAACATTCAGAAGAAATACAAAAAGTACTGGAACGCTATATGCGAAGTCTCCTACATGCTGCTAATATGGCTTTACCTATTGAACGGTATTTGTATAAAATGTTGCAGTATTACAAGGAGCGAATCAAAGAGGGCGTCTCGGATATAAATATTGTGGGTAGCACTGGAAATAAGCTTTATGTGCCTGAACTTCAACCAGAAGGATCCTACCAGTTCGAAGTGGATGTTTTGTTTGAGAATCCCATAGCGGGAATGTCTATACCGGTATTAGGTGAACGAGGTCCTGTCGTCGCTTGGCTTGCCATCGATACCCTGGATAACTCGCTTCCACTTGGTAGTGTTGTATTGCGGGTAGAACGCTATGACGGTCAATTCGGGTCCGAATTTGAGAAAGGGACATGGTTTCACAAGCACACAGATTCCGGCAAGTTACTTTTGTCTTCATTCCATTACTGGGGCTCAGTTGTGTCATCATACAGGTCGATTCTGGGTGAACGCGAGCTTTTGTCCCATCCCGCACCATTGTTGCAACCTCTTTTCAGAAAGTTCAAATCGGCAAGGAAGAGCCTGCCTCTAAGTGGACAAACATATGAATTCGACATACTTATGGATAAAGTAGCCTCGGTTAGAATACCTTGGCCAGAACAAGCTGCGTCGTTTAAAACAAGAACAAGAAAATGGCCCGAGTCGAGTATTATTGAGAAGGTCGTCACAGATGGGTGTCACCTTGTGCATAATCCTCATACCAGATCGGGAACATACTTAATGGAGTGGAAGTACACATTTTCAACATCGGAACAGGAAATAGTTCTCAGTTTTTCGCCCTTTCAAAGATCTGTGTTTCTAGTTATCAAGCAAATTAAACGTATCTACTTAGACTACGGAACGTCGGAGATTGGAGAACCGCTTGCAGGCTTGACAACGTATCATTTGAAGACCGTTATGCTTTGGCTGAGTGAAAAGTTGGATTCGACATTGTGGGGAACCTCTCCTCATGAATGTCTCATCATGTTCTTCCGGGAGCTTGAGAAATGTTTGGACACTGAAGTTTGTCCACATTATTTCATGCCTGAAATCAACGTCATGCAAAGTGCCTGGAAACCGAAAATGTTGCAACACTATGAAAACGAATGGTTAAAACAAAATGGACCAATGAGAGAGAAGCTACTAAAAACGGTTAGAGATATTATTTCCCGTCCCGGCGAGTATCTGACGGACAAGCTTGTTACGGCAGTGGACAGCAAACACGTTATGGAAGCTAAAAAGGAGCCTGTCCAGAGAAACAAAGGTCATGACGACATATACGCTGAAGTAGACATACTGGACCAGGCATTGGTCAGACTGAACGACCAACGCGCTGTGAACGAGCTCAAAGGTACCTAGGGATTGACATTGTAAATCGCCTACCATTGTAAGCAGTATTTGCTTAAAAAAAATATTTCCATTTCTGATCTTCACTTTAAGGTTGGGTTTCATATAGAGCAATGCAGATTTTCATAAACATTGTATATTTCTTATAAAATATTCTTGAAATAACCTCATGTTGGAATTTCAAAGATGAACTTATGACACAAACATATGTGCTTGCACATACACAATTTCATTCTAGATACACGATCAGTTTGTAAAAAAAAATGAATTACACTGCAACCAATGTCCATAGAAATGGTTTGCCCTTATAGGATTTTTCGGAGATTCTATTGGCCGAAAATCCAAATTGGTGTAAACTGCTGTTGAAACAGAACGGGAGGCTCGCAACACCCGTACAAACAAAAGTTGTATTTGATAGGCTCAAAACTTTCCGCGCCATTTTCCGCTCATATATCGCAATAATATTGAACTCAATAAAACATTTGACGTTTTTATTTGGCTCCTGTCCATATACATGCTTATGAACATTCATCTTGCTACCTTATCTGCATAGAAATTGACATGAAACTAACTGACCATGATGATGCAGATAACCGCTGATAGTATGATTAGAGACGCATATTTATATGAAATACATTTACATATTCCGTCTTTGCATATTCTCTTGTGAGCAGGTATTGATTCTTACGTTATTGGTTTGTGTGAGAAAATTACGTCGTTTTCTCAAAAATTGATGACGTTACTCTCACAAACAAATGACGTAACAATCAATACCTGCTCACAAGAGAAGATAACTGAAATAGAAACAGATTTTATAAATGTGAAGACGACCTTCAGAACAAACTAGAAGAGAAATCAGTCTTTCCATTACTCATTCTCGATTTCAGAGCAAACAATGGCTAATGGGTAGAGATAATGCCGAGATGTATATTGCGACTTTTTTTACATGTACGTGTCTATGTATGTATTTCACTGTGTTTTTCTAATTTGCCTTCAAACTACTTTTTAGTTACAAATGTGCAAATACAAATTTTGAATTTGAATTTTGTATTATAAAATTCATATAATTCAGAGGTTTTACGCATCTCCCGTTAACAGTAGTTAAGTACACCTTTCTTGCCCTAGCATCACCGATGAGGACAAAACAGCTACATGATGCAGTGGAAATTCAGTTTTGCCATACTGTATAGTACATGGGTTGGTTAACAGATCGAGCGAGTGGTTCTATCAAAGAAATACTCTACAACTGAAAAATATCCTGATCGAGTTCAGCGTTTACATGGTACTTATAACTTGGACGTAAGATGTGTGAAGGAGGTCGAACACAAAATGGTGACGGTGATGGTTTATAAACTACTGACCCTTCATATCCAAAAGAAAAAATACTATGAACGTGTATACTTCAATTATTCCATGAGGACAAGCAACAGGGCAAATATTTTTCACTTTATACGTCAATGTTATTCAGCAAGGTCTATTTTGGAACAGGGAAGTCCATCAATGAAATTCAGTTTAATAACCAAGTAACATTTTATCCCAGCAAGCTTTAAACATATTACATAAAAATGAAAGCATCGTATTGCAGGAATAATTCGAAATATGAACACATTTTACCCAATCTGCCTCGTAAGAAGGGTCCAGGTAATTTATCTGATTTAACTTTATCCCAGCAATCTTGAGGCTAAATTTCATCAGTGAATATGTTATATTCTATAGAGGAGATCGTTTCAGATTCTGAAATCGGACTGGTTGATATATCGTTAATAAGCAGTATCCGCACTGAACGTGTGAAAAGCAGTTACATGTTTCTGAATTAGTACTAGTTAACGTTAAAACGCAGAAATTGAAAGCACGCATGGTCACTTGTTTGCAGTTTGAGCACGGACTTGGATAATCTTATTCCGTGGTTCGAGTAAATTTTCTGCCGCAGGTAAAATAAAAGTGTGATATACAGAAACATGAAACTGACATAAAGGTAACTAAAGACCAAATTTGGTAACTAGAACACAAGACATGTTAACATCTCTTAAACGGTTCTGAAGATATTGTTGTTTGATGTTTTAAATTTAAATTTTAAAGCTATTAATCAACATTGACCTTTAACTTCCGACTTGCACTAAAAGTTGACCTTTGACCTCATTACTGTAATAAAGAAATCAATTCACACAGCTGGTCTACATAACATATCAGTATCATGACTCTAGTCCAAATGGTTCTTAAAATATTGTTGTTTAAATTTTTAAACACATTTGACCCCTGTGACCTTGAAATTAGGTCAATGTCATTGAGGAAACTTTATAGCACTCCATTCCAGGTAACTACTGGCCAAATATCATGACCCTAGGACATATGGAACTTGAGAAGAAGATTGTTAAAGTGTTTAACCCATGTTGACATTTAACCCCTGACTAGCACTTAAAGTTGACCTCTGACCTCATAACTATAAGGAATACAAATATTCCCACTGCTGGTCTACATAACATACCCAAGTATCACGACTCTAGTCCAATTGGTTCTTAGACTATTGTTGTTTGAAATTTTTAACATATTTGACCCCTGGGACCTTGAAAGTACGTCAAGGTCATTTTAATGAGGAAACTTGTATCATCATGCAGGGAGACATACTTACAGCTCTAGAGAAAGTATGTTCTCATGTACCTGTATGTAGGAAGACATGCCTACATTTTAAGTATGTTTCTCCTGTCTGTATAGGGAGTGTTCTCATGTGTTTATGTAGGGATACATATGTACAGATCAAGAGAAAGTGTGTGTTTATGTATTTACAGTTCAAGGGAAAGTATGTTTATGTAGTTACATTAGAGAAAGTATGTGTTTGTCTTTACAGATCAAAAGAAAGTATGTGTTTATGTATTTACAGATCAAGAGAAAGTATGTGTTTATGTATTTACATTTGAGAAAGTATATGTTTGTCTTTACAGATCAAGGGAAAGTATGTGTATGTCTTTACATTAGAAAAAGTATGTGTTTATGTCTTTACATTAGAGAAAGTATGTGTTTATGTGTTCATGTGTTCATGTATTTACAGATCAAGAGAAAGTATGTGTTTGTCTTTACATTAGAGAAAGTATGTGTTTATGTCTTTACATTAGAGAAAGTATGTGTTTGTGTTCATGTATTTACAGATCAAGAGAAAGTATGTGTTTATGTATTTACAGATCAAGAGAAAGCATGTGTCTATGTATTTACAGATCAAGAGAAAGTATGTGATGTAGCTAAAGAGAAAGTGGTCTTTCCTTCAAATGATTGGTTCATTCACTCTGCTATATCAAAGTTATATAACACAAAACTAAAACAAGAACTTATGTACAAGACTGCTTTATTTCGGCTGCCGTTCTTTAATTTATGCATCCAAAATTGTTATGCAAATCTGAATGCACTTATAACAATAACAAAATAGTTGTGTTAAACAAGTAGAGATAGAACAACTTTTTCTTGCTTAACATGTTACAAAATATCACAACATAGTGTCTATATATATACACACAAGTATCAGATTCAATGTGAACACCTTTACCCAAGTTCCAGCATAAAAAAATAACAAGATACTTTATTATTGATAGTTTTTACAACTTCCTCAGTGATCTACACGAAATGTATTTTTAAACTAAAATCACAGAATTTGAGTAGGAACAAAGGTAATTTTTTGTTACATATAATGTAGCTTATGTAAATTATTATCAAATTTTGTAAGTCCGAAATTGTGTGGTTCTGAAGTTGTATTATAACATATCTGTTTGAAACTAATTTTTAAAAATATTACTTCTGTACTGTATATAGCAACTTTAAATATAATGACATGAAAAACATGCAGTTATTGCAGGTAAAGATCAAACTCACACTAATATAAAATATTATCTAAGTCTATGGAAAAATGGGTACTACAACATACATCTTGTAAATGAAATCTTGGATATTTTGTTTCAAATATGAGTAAGAATAAAGATAATCGGAATATTTTCATACTGAAGCCGTTAAATAGGAGATAGCTAAAAATTTAGTTATAAATGTCTATATTGAGAAAAATGTGTTGTAAAGCTACTTATTGTTGCATCACAACAACCAAACAGTGCAAAAAGACCACATACCTTGTGAGTTGAATTGATAACGAACTGTTTTACTAGTAACTGGGTATACAAAGTGAATTGACCAACAACACAACATAATCATAGTTTCATAAATATTCTACAGTACTTTTGTTCATATTTGAGATAAGGCGCCAATGTCGGCACTTATTGCTAGTTAATTCTGTGTGTGGAAAGTTTTAGAAGCAAAGAAAATGTTGCAATCTTTAACTCAAAACAGTTGATGGATCATCTAGCATATAAAGGCTTTCAAGAAACTAGATAATTGTCTGTCCAGCAAGATGTAGTTATCACAACTCGGAATAGAAACATCGGCACAACATCAGGTTTATAACCAACAGATACAGGTTCACCGATATCAAAATTAACATAACACAGTTATTGGTACGCCAATAAATAAAAAAGACAAGGCAAAGCAGGTAATTAACAATTGTTTTTTACATATTCATATTCTTATTTATATCTAATGATGGAATCTCAAAAAAATAGTTCTCTCAAAGCACCACTGAGGTTTATCTATGAGCTCTGTACATTTTTACACACAACATAGTTTGAAACTGTACACACACACAAACGTACCATGAAAGAGCACACACATAATACACCAGGCTCCACGATCACGTGACCTTAGACAGAAGTCCAAATTTCATATGTTAATTTAAAAGATAAATATTTCTCGTGCAGGTAAAATTTTGGTGAAAATACTCCATATTTACAATATGTACACATATGTAAAATCCCATATTGATATGAAAGTCAAGAATTAAACAACTTTTAAATTTGGACTTATGTTTAAAGTATTTCATGATCCCTAGTCCTGGTAATCTGGTCATATTAGTCTTCGTGAATAAATAAAAGGCGGTACATTTTAGTACATACACAAGTACAGAAACCTGTAGATATCTGTATTCATGAATTAGTATGGTATTTGGTATAAAAACAAGAGAGAAGTTATTTAATCTTTATTACTTGGTAGCTTTAGGAATCATTATATCAATAATTTCCGAAACAATGTATTTTTGTTCAGGCAAATTCTGGCAATTGCAAATATTGTTTTGAAAAGTGATTTGTCTGAAAGTTGGTATATGCGAATTTCCTTATCAATTTTTTATGTTTTTTTTCCTTCAAAATACATCAGATCAAAGATTGAACATTATTATTAAACAAATCAAGCTCTGAATACTTTTGTAAAAGTTAGCATTTTCAAAATATTTTCGTCAGCATGTGAAGCTCTACTCCCATAAAAACAAGCGATTTCTGAGAGGACAAAGCATACACTTGTTTTCATCTTGAAACACTTGTCCATGGCCAACAACAAGGGCAACAAATAGTATACCGATTTACAGCATTAACACAACAGTGCTGCACCATTATCAACATTTGCTTCAGTCACTTGGAACACACAGGGGTCATGCATACCTCATATTTATCTTTCTTGAGAAGCTGTTAAATAAGGAAAATATTACAGGGTAAACTTGAGTGCGAGAGGGATGCAAAGTTTTAAATAAAAGATATGTGATCAATATGATCTAATTTCATTTCAAAATATTTTATTAAATCAAGTGATTTAATGGGAATTGGGCAACAGACTATGCCTATACAAGCCCTCTCCCTAATCAGATACACCAATATATATATACATGGTATAATAATCTGGATTTCTGTTTAGAAAATTATCTTGTATTACCGAAGTATTGTCAATTTTAGATAAAAAGTATTAACTGTCATCACATTTGTTTAAATTAAACTGTTTTGTTAAGACCAAAAAATTAACAAAACCCCAATGTTTTCAGACACCTTTGAATTTTTTGAATTTGAGTAAATTTAACTTAATTAGTGTTTATTACAGCTTAACAACAAACAGTCTAGTGTACAAAAAAAAACAAAGATTGTATACCATGGTAATATTTATACATTGACTATACACCTATTGCTACTTGCTTGTTTAAGGTTATGATTCACAGTAGGTCTCTGATAGGATCATACGAGATGTGTTTCTAAACAAGTATTTACATGTGACGCATAACTGTCGGAATGATACACAGCATCGGAATCATAAGATACGCTAGAAGCCGTCCTTGTTAATACATGTACTGGTCCATGGAAAAGTCTTTAGTAAAGCACTCATATTTACATGGGAGTATACCGTCTTTGCCTATTGCAGAGTTATCTTCTCTTGTAAGCAGGTATTGATTGTTACGTCATTGGTTTGTGTGAGAAAATTACGTCGTTTTCTCAAAAATTGATGACGTTACTCTCCCAAACAAATGACGTAACAATCAATACCTGTTCTCAAGAGAAGATAACTCTGCAATACGAAAAGACAGAATACTGTATAACGGGAAGTTTTCGATGCAGTTTAACCCTTTCATCCCTGTGTTACTTAAGTAAACTCTACCATGCATTGACCTGGTCGAGTCCATTATGGTCTACAGGGTGAAAGGGTTAACTTTCCCCTTTTTTTGTCCTCCCCAATGAGGACGAATTTATCATGACATCGAATATCAGTTCACAACATATCCTGTACAGTATTTACATGTAAAGGGCAAAATATACACTGGGCAAACAGGATTCTATCAATGATGGGCAAATAATTGAAATTCCCTGTTATACAGACTACAGTACCTGTCAATTTGTTAAAAAAAAATCTTCATAAATAGATTTTGACTATTAATATCTTATTAATAATGGCAAACAGCAATAACAGAAAAAGTCATCTTTGATCTATAATAAAATAACAACAGGATTACATCAGTAAGATGTAGATAATGCTCTAAGAATATTTCAGTAGCTAACAATCAAACAAAAGTGACTGGCACCACTAGGTTTTATAGGTTAAAGAATCAAAAGGACACAAACATCAAGATTAATTTCAATAGTCATGATTGTAAATATTATCGTATTTTTTACAAATTATAATAATATTATATTACAGTTATTACTTCTCATTGAGCATTTCCTACAGAAATTCAACAAATTAACATTTATTTTGGATATCTGCTTGCTGCAATGATCACTCTTTCCTACCTTTCAAAACACACTATCATTTATATGTACAAATCTCTAGAAAATTGGAGGAAAAAGACGAAACTTTCTGCATATCATTGTTAATACATATACACATTTTCCTATATAATGAGAGTTATTCAATGTTATGTACATATCACAATGGACTACAAAAGGATAAAACCATTTTTAGGATAACAATTGTCTATAGCACATTTGGGGATTTGTAGTGTAATGGAAACATTTTGAGGTGTTATGAAAACCAAAGTTCATATTTTATAAAATTGCAAGAGAAAAGCTGGGATGACACTTTTAATTTGAATTAATATCCACGACTGTCCTTTTAATTTACTTATGTTAGATGTGACAATATTTCTTTAACCCTTTCACCCCTAGGTAACTTTAGTAGACTCTACCACTCATTTTTTGGATGAGTCCATTATGGTCTACAGTGGCAAAAGGGTTAAAGTCAGTTCTGTTACTTTTGAAGAACAAGCCCTATAGGAGTAACAGCACAAGAGTTTTTTTTACCCAGCTTAAAAGATGTCCTGCCAAACAGCCCCTTATCAATTCCTTTAATTAAGTCCAAAGAAGTCTGTAATCGAAGTATCCTTAATTATGTCCTACAACAAAGTAGTCCGTAATAAAAGTATCCTTAATTATGTCCTACAACAAAGTAGTCCGTAATCAAAGTATCCTAAAAAGATGTCCTGCAAAGAAGCCCCTAATAAAAATATCCTATGAAGGTGTTCTGCGAAGGAAGAACCTGTCACAGTGAAGATCTGACATTATAAGTTTAATTTAGGTGGCCTCATCATTTAACCCCATGCGTCTCTGTGCAGCCTTAAAAGCAAGTTCCCTCTGTCTTGTTCTGTTGTCTAAGTGTCCAGAATTACTGCTTTCTAACAGAAATTGCTCCTGGCTCTCATCGGAATCAGAATTTGACAGGTCCTCATATTGCTTTGGGTTGCACGTTGCCAAATATCGCCTGCAAAAATCCCCATGACAATACAATAACAAACTTAATGAAAATACATTTATTATTTCTAAAACGATTCTTGTAGCTGAATGTAAGCTTATCAGGTAATTGCAGTTCCTAAGTTAAAGCACTTGATCTCAGTGTAGCTGGAACTATTAAAGAAGGGAAAACCATACACTAAATCTCCGAACAGTAAAGCAAATGCATCCAAATAACTTTATTTAAATAACAAACAACTTATTCAATATTTTTTTTTTTTTACCTTCTCGCTTGTTCCAACATGGAGTTTTTCCTATCTTGCAACATCACCTCTCGCTCATTTGCCGACTTGGAGAATCTACTGCCAGTCGGGGAAGGCCCCTCATCCCTTCTATACTCGTAGAGAGGTCGACTCTGGCTGATGGGAGGGTCTGGAGAACTGTAACTACTTTGTGGGTCCAGAGAGGTGTAACTGTTTTGTGGGTCAGGGGTACTGTACTGATCTTCCTGATGACGTGCAGCTGTGGCAGCCTCAATCGCCATGACACTGGTCCGTGACATGGTCGTGGGAAGAGCTAACTGCTGTTAACATCAAAAGCATATCTCACATCAATGTATTTCAAATAGCCAGAATATTTCCTATCTCCTTAAACCAGCATACGGTTTTAAGAAACCTTTGCTTATAAACTTTCCAATAAATCTATAATACTGTAAATATATGTGCATAGTGCATTTGTTATGTAAATATGCCAACATCATATTATTGTTTATGCAAAAGCAAAGAAGCATGTTTATATTGTATTGAAATTGTTAGTAAGTGATTAAGATTTTCTTCTTCTTCTGGAAACTAGTGTGTTGGAGAAGGTGAAGATGTGAAAGTGGCCAGTGTAAGGAGTTTATCACGTCAGTGACGGAGCTAGTGTTGTGGTAGGTGTAACACACATATCTGACTGCCCGACGTTGCACTTTCTCCAACTGGTTAATTTGACAGATGTTTTTAGGGTCCCAAACTGGGGCACTGTATTCTAGGTTGGGGCGTTCCAGTGGATGGTCTTTGATGTGCTGAGAATTTACAGAAGATTTCGGTGTTAGAAGCCAAGTGATTGATTAGTCTTGGATGTAATGGATGGAGTTGATGTGGTTGTCGCATTAACTCATTCACCCCTGAAGACACATTTGAACTCTTCCAAGCCAATGGTTGGAATAGTTCATTATGAAATCTCAGGGGGTGAATGAGTTAAACAACAAAATACACATAAATGAAAACCAGACAATATTAACTCACAGAAGAAGGATCCTCTGATGGGGGATTCTCCGCATCTCCAAGTGCTGCTCTTGTCACCAAAGTACCCGGCTGAAATATTTGTAAATGGAAATTAGGTCAAATAAACAAGAGGCCCATGGGCCTTAACGGTCACCTGATATATTTATACAGAGAGTTGATTTTGTTTTTAACATGAACAGAAATATTATTCAAAGTGACAAAAAACAATAAAACCACCTTACTCAATATCTAGCATACAGATTTCAGACTAAAAAGGATTTGAAACTAGCACCTCTGATTCTTAACAAGGAAAATGAAGAAATTTTAGCACACTGACTCCTTTGAGCCCCACCCTACAGCCCTTGGGGGTAGGGCTGGCTCAAAATTTTCAAAGTATCAAACTGTCAATTCAAGGTTATAATTCCAATCAAGTTATTAACATGTA